AAAACTTAAATTAGCTAATAAATAAATTTAATATATAGGTAGTTCCAAGCTCTTTAAATATAATAGCATTTACAGCTAGCCCTAAGGGCTAAGCAGCTGCATTTTTAAATCATTTTTAAATTAAAATAAATATTACTTAAATTGCTATTATTTTTACTTAGCAATAATAAAAATAAATAGCTAATAAATACCATTAAATAGCAAAAAGATTCCATATTAATAACTAAATATAGCTATCCTTAAAGCACTTTTAAATTACTTAATTAATAAAGAAGCTTAACTAACTATATTAAAAATATATTATAATAAATATTTTTATACCTTAAATAATTATTTTAAATATATTAAGCCAGGTTTATCCTACCTTTAATATTAATTAAGTTAAATGCATTATAAAGAATTTATTACTTATTTAAATATTTATAAATACTTAATTAAGTATTATATTAATCTTAAATAAAGTAAATAAAGGCTAAAATAAGGAATATCTTATAAAGGAAATCTTAATAATTAAAAATGCATTAAAGTATTTATAAAATGGTTTCCTTAAGAAATAAGTTTATATTAAATAAAAAAGCTAAAATATATTAATATAAAAACCCTTTAGGAATATATAAAGATTAACAGCCCTTAACTTATTTAAGGCGCGGTAAGGAAATGCCGCTACTTATAAGGAATTATCTATTTAAAATAATTGCAAGGCAGGCCTGCATTAAATTTAATAAGCTTATTTAAAGGCAAGGTATAAGATAATAAGGGTTATAAATAAAAATAGAATAAAGATAAGTAATTTATTTTTATTATGCTATTTAGCTAAAGAGGCAGCTTTATTTATATAAGCTTTAAATAAATTAAGCAAAACAAAATAATAATAGGATTTAAACCCATAACCTTATTTATAAATAGGCGCTTTTAATTTATTAAAACTTATTATATACTTATTTTAAATTTAGCTAGCTCCCTTCCTTAATATAACTTAAACCATAATAATATACATTTTTATATATTAATAGCCCATATAAAACTTAATATAATACTTTAGCTAAGTTATTTAAAAAGTAAGAAATTTATAATCTCCTTAAAATTCCTTTATTTATTACTTTATTTAAGTAAGTATAATATATATTATCTTATTAAAACGCTTTTAAAATAGCGTTAAAACAAGGATAAGTTATATATATAATAATGGGAATTAAACCTATATTATTGCCAGCAGGATATAGCGCTTTTTATTACTTAAACTTATTATATATATAACTAGGGCTTATTTAGCAATGGCAATAATAATAGCGCTTACGCTCTTTAAAAGGAAATAGCTTACGCTTATTTAAGTTAGGACTTAAGATATAATTATAGCAATAAAACCTATTTAAACCTAGCTAGGCATCTTAATAAAGATATATAAAGAAATTAAGGCGGCTTAGGCTAAACGCAAGGCACGAAGAATAAGAAACTAAGCAAATAATAACCTAAATAGCCTTAAGCATTATAGCAAACTCTTAGCAATAATAATTTTTAAAATAATTAAAGCACTTTTATTTTTATTATTAATATAAGTTAAATTTATATAAGGGGCAAACCTTATTTTAAGATTTATTATAATGCATTTAATCTTTTATATGCTATCTTAAAGCATATTAAAAGTATTAGCTATGCCTTAAATAACTTATTAAAGCTAATTACTTATTATAAGCGCGTTAAGATTATAATATATAATAGCATTATTATAAATAAAGGTTAAAAGCTTTATTATATTAAGCGCATCTTAAGAAGTATAAAAAGCTAAGGCAGCATAATTATTACTAATAAGGTTAATAATAAGGGCCGGTTTGCATATATAGGTAGTTAAGGCAAGGATAAGCATAATTAGCAAGGGCTCTTGCTAAGCTAAAGCAAGTAAATAATTAAATACATATATAATAGCGTTAAAAAGGGCCGTAAACTTAATAGCATTACCCTTAATTATATTAAGTTTACCTTTATATTAAAATATATATAAAATATACTTATAATTAGCATAATGTATATTTAAAAAAGTATAAAAGGCATTATATAATGCAATTAATTTAACAAACTTTTACTTATATTAATAGCAAAAGTTATAATAATAGCGATAATTAATATATAAATTTTTATAAATATTATAAATATACTTAAGGAAAATATTAATATTAATTAAAACCTAAATGCAACTCTTATATAAAAATTCCTTAGCAATAAAAAGTTGCTAATTATTATTATTATTATTACTTAAAATAAGGTAGTTGCTAATAACGTAATAACCCTTTAAGCCTTAATCATTATTATTAAAAAAATAAAGCAAGTCCTCTTTAATATTAATAGCAGCAATACCTTAGCTATTATAGTTTTTATTAAATTTATTAATAAACATTATCTTGCTAATATTAAGATTATAATAAGATTAATATATTTATATTATAAGCATGGATTAAGCATAGGCTAAGTATAATAAGAATATTATTAAACGCAAGTTAAATGCATTATAAGGCAAATAAATTAGCGCAGCAAGGAATTATATAAATATTATTATTAATAATATAAGGGAAGCATTATTAATTAAAGAATTAAGTTTATAATATAGGCAGCAAGGGATTATAAGGGTATTGTTAATTAGCGGAAATATTTTTATTAAGGTTATTAAGGCTATATATTAAGCATAAATTAAAAAAAGAATAAGGTAATAATAAGAGTAATTTATTTAATTAATAATAATAATTAAGGCAAGGTAAGGTAATATAAGTGCATAGCAGCGATAAGTAATTAACATTATAGCTATGCAATAAAGTTATTAAGGAAAGGTTGCGATATTTTATAATTACGGCATAAAAAAAACTTAAATATAAAATAACTATATTATAATATAAATTAAGATTAAAGAATTAATAACTTATAATTATTATAATAAATAAATAATAATAAGCTAGGCATATAATTAATATACATTATACTTAATGCATATTATAATATAATGCTAACTTAATGCATTATAATGCTATAAAGTGTATAAATGCTAATAAGGCAAGATAGGGATATATAGCTTACACCTCCTTAATTAAGCATAAATAAGCCCCAATATAATTAATATATATAGCCTATATATAATCACAATATATTAATAAAGAACTACATATATAGCAGATATACAATTAACATAAGATTGCAAGAGCCCTAGGTTTAATTCCTATTACGCGCAGTGTAAAAGCGGGAAGGGGGCTATATAATAAGCTTAAGCTATTGCTTAAGCCATAATACATGCTTATATTAAGCCTATATTACACCCAATCCTCTTATATAATAGGGCATATACTTAAAAAATAAATTTAAAGTTAAGCCTTTTTAAAGCTTAACTTATTTCTTAAATATTACAATTTATAACTCCTTTTAAGTACCTTTCAGCAGACGCTTAAGGTTAACCTATAATAAAAAAAGGTTATTAATATAATTAAAAGCTTTAAGAGTTATTTAAATTATAATAAAAATCTTTTTAATAAATTTTAATATAAGTTTTATAAATAAATAAAGAAATGTTTTTAAAAAATTAAATAAAGGCTTTTTTATAAGCTTAAATAAATATTTTATTATTATAAGATATATATAAAATATAATTATATATTAATAATAAAAATATTAATTATTTTAACTTAATTAAATAATTAAAAATTACTTTAATAACCTTAAAAAAAGTTTATAATAATAACTTTTTACTTATAATTAAAGGCATATAAATATTAAAAGAAGCTTAAGTTAATTAAAATAAAGTTAATTATTATAAAGCTAATTATTAAAAAATTAATACTTTTTCTTTTTTATTAATTATAACTTTTTTATTAACTAGCAATGCTCTTAATATAAGCTTTATAATAATAGCCTTTTTTGGAATAATAACTTCTTTATTAAAAAATATAATAATAATAGCTATTATTAATTTAAGCTTAATTTATTTCTTGAGCATTTTAGCTAACTTAATAATAAAAAGAAAAAAGCTATTAAAGTAATAATTAATTAAAGCATAATATTTAAATACTTTAAAGCTTTAAAGTATTAATAATTAAATAATTTAATTAAGTAATTTAAGCAATTTAAGCACTTAAAGCATTTAAGTATACTTATACTTAAATACTTATACTTAACTTATTAAAGCAATAGCTATAAAGTATTTAGCTCCTTATAACCTTTTAAAAGATAAGATATTTACGTTAATTAAGCAATTTAATTAACTAAGCAATGATTTAAAAAAAAAACATGATTTTAAAGTATTTATATGCATATATAAAAGACTGCTAATATAGGAATAATATATATAGGCATTATATGCAATGTGCTTATATAGTGGGTGCATTGCAAATAATGTATAAATTTAAAGGTATAAGGTTTAAACTAATCTTATTAATAGCAGCTGCTAGCTAATGCCAGCCAGCTGCTAGCTAATAGTTATATACTTTATGTATAAACCACCATAGCTAGCCTATAGCCAAACAGGGAAAGGCTGCAGCTTCGCTGCAACCTACCCTCCATACCATAACCAAATCAATTACACACTCTATTTATCTATCACCAACTATATAAAAGCTAAACCAACAATAATTATATTAATTATAATTTTATTATAAAATATAACCTTTTTATTTAAAATAAGTAGGGAGTTTACATTAAATTATACATATTCTTAGCTTAGCATTATATGCTATAGTTATTAATTCTTTCATGCAGCTTACCTACTTAGAATGGGTAGGGAGGTTGCGCCTCCATATTATGTCCAGGCCGCAGGGCTGGATGGTAAATGGACACCTGAACCTTTGAGATAAGGCACATCCACCCTTCAACACTGCAGCCACTCCACAAACACAGTGGCTCCCGAACGTAACATGCCATGATACAATCTCATGTCATCTTTATGAGGAGATAGGGGAAGCTAGACTTTCAGGCCACATCAACCCAAGTCGCTGCTCCCTGCCGGCTTTTGATTCGACTTCTGAGGGATGGGGATCCCAGGTCTCACGGCAGCACTCAGGCCGTTTGCTTCATGGGAGAAGCTGGCTGATAGCGTGGTTGTTGACGGCCCAGCTTTCGCATACCACATATTCTTTGCTTGTCGTTTGGAGAGCAAGGCCTGTACCGCACTCGAGGACCCATCGTATTCTGTCCTTGGTTCAGCGGCGATATGGTGGCTCGACAACTTGCAGTCGCGTAGAAGTCAAGTGTATGGAACCTACCCCATCCCCTCGTCGCCTTGTGCCTAGGTGCTGACAGCTTCCAGAGCGGCAATCTATTTTGATGGCTACCTACCAGCCTCCAAGAAAGATGTGCGGCTCGGCCGGGTAGTCGAGCAGTCAACTGCATTCAACAAGTACTTCCTGTCTACGAAATCTGGCATTGCGCGCGATGGCGATGTCAGGCCATCACCTCGCCAAGCGTATCCCCGTATCCCCGTCCCGGCGTTCACAGTCCCGGCAATTCTCGAGGCTCTAAGGACATCAGAGCGATACGGCCACCTCACCCATCTCGTCTCCGGAGAGGCGGACACCTTCTGCGCGGACCACGTGACCCGTGAAGGCGGGGCCCTTCTCACCTCGGACTCGGACCTTCTTCTGTATGATCTCGGGCAACACGGAAGCGTTGTGTTCCTCAGTGATATCGAAATCACAGCGGAACAGTCCGAAAAACCGCTAGTTTTGACATACAGCCAACATGCCATATGCGAAAGGTTGTCCCTCGAGCCGGGCCAGCAGGCCATGTTATCCCTCGCGTTTGAGATGGAGAGGGACCCGTACCAAAAGATTGCATTTTGGGCAGCACAGTCAAAGAAGAAACATTCTGCCAGCACATATCCAGCCGAATACGCGGACTTTATTTCCGAGTACGTCAAAGGTTCACATACCAGACTGACAATACCGGAGTCCTTGAGGTCCCTAGACCCGAGAGTGTCAGAGTTTCTACTGAGTTGGTCAGAATTTTTGCCAACCTGGGGAGCTAATGTGGGCGTTGGCAGCGCAGCCCCCCAAAACGTGCCAAAAACAGTAGGATCGATATTCTATCTCCCTCTGCTTCTCGACCGATGGGATCATGAGAGTGCGTGGGGCCCGAGCACGTGGATACGGCAGCTGGCGTACAGTTTCTGCCCAAGTACCTCATTCGGCGAGCTGATGGTTGCGGAATATCGACGAACGATGTCTCGCCAGTCCAATGGACAAGCTATTGAGTTGTTACGGAAGCATGAGATGACAGAGACAGCTCACAGGCTGTTGAGCTCGTGCAAAGCGCCCACGAACACGGCGGCTGGCCCCTCAGCTCTGCGATGGGTGATGTTCTGCTTAAGGCAGGAAATCGTGCATGCCTCGGAGCAGGGCAAGGAGTCACTGGTCAAGGAACTCTTGCGAAGGGCGAGCAAGTCTAAAGGAAAGCTGGACCCGGGGAGTTGGACTACCGTCCACTCGACGGCACAGATCCAGGGGACGCTCTACTCGCTGCGAATACTGTACCAAATCCTTCAGTGTCTGGGAGGGCCCTTGGTCACAACTTCTTGGCCGCAGCTACCAGTGGCCAAGCTGATGGAATGCCTTGCGACACTGCCGTCTATCGAAGACTACCCCAGCATCACAGATGTTGCAGGCATGTACGGGCGGCTGAAGGACGCCGGAGAGCTGAAAGACATCACTGGCCTGCCAGACCCTGTCCCATCAGGAGGAACTGGACGGGCATCTGATAGGATGAAGAGACGGGCGAGCAAGCAGGAACAGCGAAAGGCCAGGCCACTGCCGTCTACGAACCCGTTCGACGCGTTGAGCCCAGGCTCTTAATAATGTGGGCAAGATCATGAGTCTTGGACTACCATAGGCATGGAAAGCAAGTAGGTCCTTAGGTAGGTATTAAGCGGGAGATGCCCGAGAGACATCGAAACTACAAACTTCGTCCCACGGACGCATATGCCGTACCTGCCTGTCACGCCCTGCCTCTCCTGCCTCTGTTTCCCATCGGTCCATTCCATGTAGGTAGTCACTGATCTCATCAAGCGATCTGGCGTGGCCGTGACGCTCTCCTATTCCATGTCCCAATGGGCATGTGCAGTGAGTAGTCGAGTCAGGCATGTTATCTTGAGCACAGCTTGCCTTGCACTTTGAAGCCTAGAGGTCGAGCCATACTGGTGTTAAATCGATTCAAGTAACTGCCCAGGGTTGGTGCTGCCCACCCCAGTACTGTCTAGATCTAAAACCGAGTAGGTGCAGGCGCGACACAACAGGGGTCAGACCTTCCGGGGGCCCCGCACTAAATCTCTTCCACTGTCGAGCTCCGCCTGAAATCCAGCTGAGGGACCTCCAAACCGACAGTATTTTATCTCCCAACCTCGCGCACTTTTTCCTTTCCTCCTCCAACCACCTCCCGACACGATGCGTAACACTCTGATCTTCGCGGGCTCATCGTGCCCGGTTCTCACAAGCAAGATATGTGAGAGCCTGGGCATGCCTCCTGCAGAGGCGGAGCTCTCGCAGTTCTCTAATGTGGGTGCCAGTCGGCCCTGCGCCTGTCGCCGGGTCTGAAGCTCGCCGTCTGCCGTCGCCGCGACTGCGACCAACCTCTGTTGCAAAGTGACCTGGCTCACCATGTTTTCTTCTGTGTAGGGCGAGACAAGCGTCAAGATTCTCAACAGTGTCCGAGAGAAGGATGTCTTCATCATCCAGTCCGGCAGTCCCACCATCAATGACACAATCATGGAGCTGCTCATCATGATCTCGGCCTGCAAAGGCGGCTCTGCCACCAAGATAACCGGTCAGTTTGCCTACCTCCCTCAGCCTGTCGTCTTTCAATTGTGCTGACCTCGATTACCTAGCCGTGCTGCCCTACTTCCCATACAGCCGACAGTCAAAGAAGAAGTCGCACAGGGGTGCCATCACCGCCAGAATGCTCTCCAACCTTCTCGGCGTTGCTGGCGTCAAACACGTCATTACGGTCGATCTGCATGCCTCGCAGATGCAGGGTTTCTTCAAGTGTCCTGTTGATAACCTCCATGCCGAGCCGCTCATCGCCCGCTGGATCCGTCATAACGTGCCCAACTGGAAGGAAGCTGTCGTCGTTTCGAAGAATGCCGGCGGTACAAAACGAGTGACGTCCCTCGCCGATGCGTTGAAGCTGAACTTCGGCATGGTCACAACCGACCGGAAGAGAGGCGGTACCGGCATGACACACAGCATGATCTTGAATCAGCTCGAGGGTCTCGAACCATTGGAGCCGGCAGCAATCCGGATCGCGAGAAACAGCTTTGCCGAGCCGCGGACGCCGACACCGCAGGCCGCCCGGGTGCGCCGCAGCCGCCTTCAAGCGGCCAACGAGGAATCTTCACAGCGCGCCAACGGTTTGCAAGTGCTTACCAACGGCCAAGCGGGAGATGCAAGTCCCTCGTCCTCGTCCGTTGCTGTTGAGGACCACGTCGATGTGCCCACCGAGGCGCAGACTGAGGGCCACGATTATAATGATCAACGAGCCCGAGAAGTCACCCACGGACGTCTCGTGCAGGGCCACATCGTGCCTGATGACTTCCCATCTCCAGCTACTTCGGCTGCGGATACTACCATCCCTGATGAGGACCCCATGGCTCAGTCTCAAGCATCATCCTACTTCTCACCGGATGGGCACGCGCTAGGCGGCTCTGGCGACGCAGAAGCGAGCTCAGACGAAGAGGAAGACAAGCTCAAGGACCCAAAGATTGAACACATGATCACGCTCGTCGGCGACGTGCGGAATCGTACAGTGCTCATCATCGACGATATGATTGACAAATCTGGATCATGGATCGCTGCCGCCGAGACCGTCGTGAAGCGGGGCTTCGCCAAGAAGGTTTACTGCATTGCGACTCATGGCGTCTTCGGCGGTGATGCCCTCCAGCAAATGCAAAAGTGCGAGTGCATTGATGCCATTGTCGTCACCAACAGCTACCCCATTAATGAGGAGGCGGCCAGGAATGCGCCGAAGCTTACCGTGCTCGACCTCTCTTTCCTCCTGGCTGAGGCCATCCGGCGCAATCACTACGGTGAATCTATCAGCCCACTGTTCCAACACATACAGGACTAGCACTGCCGCAGAGGCATGGTCCGACAGTGGCACAGATTCTCGTGCACAAAAAAAACGGCCTGGGTTTCATTACTGTGCGGTTTCATGGGTAGGGATGGCAACTGTAGAGACATTCAAAGCGAGGCGTCACGGTATTTTTAAAGGATCAGGAAGGAGGTATAGGAGGCAAGTGTGCGGTCATCATTGCTAATTGACCACAGAATAACAGGACAGTCAGACAATGCAAATGTGTATGTCTCTCAGAGCGCGCGGTCTCCGTGCTGTCTCGTTCCCAGTCGAACACTTCTAAACGATGCCCCCCCCCCTTTCCCCCTCCCCAGCGTTGCTACCCTTTGGTAGCAGGGGCTCAATCCGCTTCTCCATGGATGAGTCCTTAACGGACCGTTGGCATATCGACCTGAGCCAGAAGGCCCGTTGTCATGATGTACTGTCACCTTCCTCGGAATGAAAGTAGACAACGGGCAAGATAACACCTCAGAACAAATCATGAGAACGGATATTCGCACCCGCAAAAACGGATGGTACACCCATACATCACTCGCGCCACAGCTAAGCCATCAGAGCACATCACCCAGGCCTATTCACACCCCCACCCAACACCCACATACCCACACACCTAACACTAATACACCCAACACCCACATACCCATAAACCTAACACCTACACACCCAGTTTATTCCTAACTTATACACCATATAGATGTTGAGTGTGCGAATTGGTCGTGTGAATTGGGTGTATGAGTAGTGGTTGAGTGTTAGCGATGTACAGGTGTACCATCAGTTTTTGCGGGCGCGAATATCCGTTCTTCAAATCATATACCCTGTTGACCTTCATTAAGGTTGATCAAATCTAAGTATTGTTCCTTGAAAGCAACTTTCCTCATTTGAATAAGCTCCTAACGGTGCTTTGGCTGATGCCTCTGGATCTCCACTGCCCTTGTTACTGCTGCGAATAACTGCCCGTCATCGCGATCCTGAGCGACTCCCTATAGAAGACATGATCGACTGGCAGCGCGCCCTTCCGCCTGTCCAAGTTCGCGCCCCACGTAATCCTCCATCTCAGATCGACCGAACTTTTGCCTTGGTCTGTGTCACGCGACCACGGAAGCCCTTTGACGTTTTCGTACGTGACCCTGGGGAAAGTGAATTCCGAGGCCAAGAACTCGTTGGGGACCATCGGCTGGTAGTGAAAGCCGTTGAAGAGTAGGAAGACATGCCTGGCATTGTAGGATCCCTTGACGTTGACCTCGGTTACCAGCGGGTGCGTCCGGGTCGAGGACTCGTTGATCGTATATACGACGATAAAGAGATTATAGAGGTCCGCAGTAACGTCGAGCATATCCAGCGGCATCCAGGCCTGCGGGATCGAGAGCAGCTGGAAGAAGTTCGCCAGCGTCGCCACTTCGCTGTTGAGTGCCGAGCTTGTGTTGTCTGTCGAGATGGTGGTGCTGTAGAACTTCTGGTTCAACATTGTGTACAGCTGGTGCCGTGGGTGGTCCTCCCACTCCAGCACGTCGCTGTAGTGCTGCAGGTGCTCGGCCTGGACCCGCTGGTAGAGCGACTGGTCGCCGTACACGAGGTACGCCAGGGCCTTGAAGAAGCAGGCCGACCGGGCGCCGCCATAGTTCATCGCGCGGTATAAAACTACGTTCCCGAGCATGGGGAACCCGAAGAGGAGGGAGGTTGGGGAGCTATCCTGGGTCCAGTTCCGGCTCACAGCCTCCTCGAAGCCCAGCGGCGGGTTGCGCATGAACATGCCGTGGTCCCAGGACGGCTGGACGTCCTGCAGTGTCCTTATGGGGTCCGCCCACGCCTTGTCGCGCCTCAGACGGGCCATGTCGAACCCGAGGCCGTTCTGGCGAGAGGGATACTTGTTCTGGCGCGCCAGGCTTTGGTCCTGATAACGCATCATCCCGTCGGCTTCGTCTGGCTGGACTCCCTGCTGCCCGTAGAACCTCCGCACGGCCGCCGCCGGCTCAGCTTGTACGTCGTCATCGTCGTCCACCACCACCACCACCACCACCTCGGGGCCAGCCTGGGCGGCGCTCGTCGCCGTGGTGTCCCCTTGGCTGGCGGACCAGGCTGCCCCTTGCCTCGTTGCGGGTGGTGCCGCGACTTCTACCCTTTGCGCCATGAACAAGGTGGGACTGACAACTGGCCGCTCCCGCCGTATGGACTCCAGGTCCGCGAGCCATATGTTGAGCCTCTCCGCATGGTTTGAGCCCTGTTGCGGGGCGACGGGATTTTGCTGTACATTTGCGCCGTGGATTGTTGCCATTGACGGATTTGAGGGCCTCTGTTGGCCTTGTGGACCTGAGTGCGGTCTTGGTAGCCTCGCTCTCTCGGTCGCCTCCCTGTCGCGGAGTCAGCGGCGGTGCTCACTCTATCTCTTCCAACCGCACATCTAGGCTGTGTTGTTCCATACCCTTATTGCTTCATTACTTCCTCTTACAGAATGTGATCGTGGCTTATCGAGCGGCGTTACGAATACCAGCATCTAGGTGATGGATTGAGCAACGTGAACATTGGCTTTATCCAAGAAAAACAAAAAGTCGACGTGTATGCTTTCCATACTGAGACCCAAAGAGACACACGTGTGTTCATCGACGGATCCGGTGCCTCTGAGGTTTGTGGCAACCCGAGGGGACAAAGATGGGCTGGACAACGGACGGACAATAATCCCAGTGACGACACAGGCTTGGTCATTCGGTCCTTCGGAGTTCTGAAAACAATCAGAAAACCCGCAGTGGATCAAAAGCCATGCGGAAGAGAAGACGAAAAATGAGGCGAACCACACACGGGTTCAAGTCAGGACTACGAAGCCTACGAAGGCCGAGGGCAGTCGGGGGTATGGAGACTTCCTGAAGATACTAATGGGTCATACCCAGTGATAGACACTGTACCAGGGCGCACCCTCTGCAGCTAACAAAAACATCGATTGGCCTTTGGTCTGCCTATCTCCTCGCCTCTGCAATCGAAGCCAACATGGCTAGAGCTTCGTCCCGATAATCCGAACTCTCTGTAAGCCTACCCCTTGAAACTAGCCTTTGGATACAAGCAAAGCGTGCCGTGACATTGAGACATCATACTTTTACACCCTTTCCCTTTTCTTTTTGGAACCCGCCAATGCCTGTAACTCGATAGGACCGCCCTTTCCACACAGAAATCCGAGTCATTCAAGCAGACTGATGTCCGTGAATCTCATCAATGAGCTCCGCGAAAGAAGCGTGCTCAGCTTTTACATCGAGCGAGGCATCCTGCAGGAGATTCTCCTGGTTTGGATGTTTACCGGCGTTTCTGATGATCCGCCATGCTCTGCGGAACTCATCACGGATCGACACAATTCCATTGTGAGTGACGGTGCGGGCGACGTTGTGGTCCAACTCAAATGGGTCCTCGATGGCGAACAGGTAGCGATGGCGGACCTCCTTCACTTCGTGCTTGCTCCGGTCCTGAGGCGCCCTGGGCGCTGCGGCCGGATCTTGAGATTGTTGCAACTGTGGTATTGCGGTCAAACTGCTGCCGCTTTGCACTTGGGGTTCAGGGGCGGGATTCGCCTGGGGCATATCTGGTTCGACAGCTGGAGGCTTGTCTGCTGACTGAACTTCAAGAACTGTCTTGGCACCAGTCCAACCTTTAGTCTGCTTGCTAAGAATCCCGCCAGGTGTTCGAAGGCTGATCACGTCCCTGCCCCAGTCAAAACCTCGCATATGTCCCGTGCTCATCATGTTGCCCTGAGCGTAATATTCGAAGAACCCGCGGAGAAGGTGACCGATGGAATCTCTGTTTTGTGTCAAGCCGCCCTGTTTGGCTGCGGCTTTTATCTCGTCCTCATTTTTCCAGAACCAAACGTATCTGCCTTGACAGATAGTCATGTTCTCGACTTGTTCGGGACGGAGATGCGGGTCCACCGGCGGGGCCATCACTTGAAGATTCGGGCATACGGACGGCTGAGCAACATTGATCAAGTAGTGAAGCACCATGAGTACATACCCATAACTGGAGAGTGTGCCACGGTAAGACGTGTTGATTCCTCTAACCTTGGCCCAGTGTTTGACGAACAGAACGAGTGGTCTGACACGAGGATCCGTAAGAGAATAGCAGCGGAGCAGGTGCGTGTTGTGGATGGCGAGCTGGGCAGAGAAGTTGATGTCACATTGAACGCCAATACCTGAATTTGGGAATTCAAGCTTGTCCCTGTACGGGTCTCGAGGCAGGTTTGGTGACATACGGGATGGGTCTGGGATTTCGCGCATCCGTGCTACGAGTGCCCATTGCTCTGGTGCTATCGACAAGATGGAGTCATAATGGACATCTTCCGGGGCATTGCGTGTCATCGGACCCCGAAGTAGTCCAATATAGACCTGGATGTCTTTGGCGACTTCAGTGGAGTACAATCCCTTTTCCAAGGCTCTTTCGAATTCTCGGGCCAGCTGCAGGGATTTGTGTCGTCTTGCGAGGGCTCTCAGGGTCGTTGAAGGGTTGAATTTCAACCAGTCTGAGACTTGTGCTCGAATGCCGAAATCATAGATGCCGTGACTGTACTGCCTCAAAATGATAGGCAGAACTGGTGACTGAGTGGATGGCAGATCATTGCCGCCCAAGTCCGTCAAGAGCCTGAGAGTCCTGTTATGGTAAGAGGCGGCAGACTCGTACTGTCCTTGCTCAAGAAGCAGCAGACTAATCGAAGGTATCTTTTTCAGATACTCGGTCGCTGATAGTAAGTCCTTGTTGTAACCGAGGGGGTCTAAGCCGAAATTTGGCCTGTTTTGCAGCTCCTTCCAGTGAACAACGCGGTTCCTTGCCAGATGCTCAAAGTGGTCATTTCTCTCCAAAATTGTGCGAGACTCACATGCCATGACAAGTTTTTCTCCTTCAATCTGCGCCATCACTCCAAAGATGGAACGATTGTTTGGCACAGCAGCTTGTTCATCAAAAGCAAGAGATGTATAGCCCTCGAGGCGAGTTCTCAAAGTGTCGTCCGCCAGACCGTGAACGAATGCCTTGCACACATCGTTGAGGATACGAAAATCCTCCTCACCGAAATTCGCTGCCGTGGAATTGGTGATATCTTTGCCGCCCAATTTCCGCAAAGTCTTCTTCGCGGCGCCATAATAATTGGGCAGAGACTTGGCACCCTGCTTCAGGTCGTCAAGCAGCGGTTGGTACTGATCGATGCCGTGCTCATCATTGCTGGTAGTAGCAGTGTTGCTGTTGATTTTGCTGTTATCAGCCATCGGAGCATGGTCATCGGCGCTGGCCTTTCCAGTCTGGTGACTCTGTCCGTCAGGATTCGGAGCCAGTCTGTGCTCTACTTCCTCATCTTCCAATTCGTGATCCTCCACAACTCCCTTCTCCCACTTCTCACGTTCCTCCAGAAGATCCGAGTAGAGCTTTTCTGTGGGCTTCTGACAGACTTTGATGATGGGAACTCTGGTCTTACTTAAAAGACGGGCGCCTAGGCCCATTTCAAGAAATGTCTTCTCGATAATCCGAGGGATTTGGGATTCAGGATTGTCTGGCTGGGTTTGCGAGCACGGTGAGAGGAGACCGAGGTCCATGTCCGAAGACTTGGTAGCAAACCCAGATGATAAGCTGCCGAAACATCGCAGCTGAACTGACATGGGGGGAAAGTTAGCCTGACCGTTGACGATCTTCTCGTGCCTGTCTATTGCGACACGGCAAGCATCCTCGATGAGCACACGGAAGTTCTCCTTCTCCCGGATTTGCTCAAGTGCTATCTCGGCGTTGGCGAGAATATCCCCAGACAGCTGTTCCAACAGGGCGACCTGAGGCCCAAGATCCTCCGCCCGAGGGAAGTAAGGTCGAGCGCTGTAGGATGAGCCAAACTGATTGGTTGAGTTCCTGGAGGCGTGGTTAGGGCGTGAGAAAGCGGGCTGGGCCCCGTTGAAGCCATTCGAAGCTCCGCCAGGTTGTCTCCAGTCAAAAAGGGTAGGCTGAGGCGCGAAAGCCGGAAGCGACGGTGAGGGTTGGTGTCTCGTGTGACTGGCGTTTACATACGGGGACTGAAATGCCGCAGACTGAGAGCGATGGTTCCGGCCCTGCTGGTTGATGTTATTATGGCGTTGAAAGTTCCCAGCCGACTGCCCACGAGAATGGCTGGGTTGCGGCCCGGTGGCGCGAGGGTCAATATCAACCGACAGCTGAGACGACATCTGGCGTCGTTGGGCCTGATTCATGCGCTTGCGATTGGGCTTCTGTGTTGGTTTGGGCTGTCCTTGGGTGTCCTCTTTAGGGCCGCTTGCGGATGAATCCGTGACGGAAGGGATCAAGGGCTGTGAGGACGATCGTGGGACGTCGGCAGCCGCACTCTGAGCCTGAGCCTGGCTCGAGTTGTTTAGGATGAGGTTGCGCATGCGGGTCTCAAGCGGCACATTGTCTTGTTGGCTCGAGCCTTGCATGGCGGCCATGATGGTGTGACTAAGATCAAGTGGATGGACGATCTCTGAAGTTGGCCTGACCGGAAGGGAGAGGGATTGAGGCTGGGTTGTGAGAGGGCCACACTGAGAGTGTGTGGTACTGGAGGCCGATCTCGTCAAAAAAACTGAACCCGGACGGCTTCTCTCTTGCCGTGCAATGCAGCTGGTACAGGCACTTGGAGTTGCTCGAGCAGCGAAGTCGCTTGATCCGAATTGAGCCGATTTATCTGTGCGACTGTATCTGGGCAGTCATGTATAAACTGTCCAGTCTGTGGATTTTTGAGGGGGAGGAGAGCAGCCCTGGGATCTGAAACTTGTCTTTGTGAGTTCTTGATCCGAATTGTATCGTTTTCTGCAGATACGAGGCGAGCTTGAATCTGCAGTAGGAGTGCTGAATGTTGTTGTAGTGTTCCTCGGATCTGATCCTGTGATTCTACAATCTGATTGAGTTGATTGATGATGTGTTGGTTCTGCTGCGCAATATGTTGGTTCCCTACGCGTGGGACTTGGGCCTTCAAAGTGTCGAAGGCCTGGGCGATTTGTTCGAGGCTGGCGTTTTCAGGAGGAACATCATCTGCCATGATAGGCCAATGATGTTGAGATCAGAGCACGGAGCCTGACGATGAAGTATGTCGTTGACCCAGTCTTGCGTTTGTTTACTGTCTGACGATGATTCCAATACCCCACTGGGTCAATCAGCCGACTGGTGTGGGGCTCAAGGCTAATTGGCGCTGCCAGCCGCGAAGCTGTGGCCAGTGTGGACCTAGGTAGGTACCTACATCCAGGCAGCCAGGCGCCCACGGTGCACACAGTAGGTCCAGTTAGCCGCCGTTCGGGGACGGTCCCAGCACAATGCCCACGAGAAGAGACGTGCAGGCAGATTGCAGTCCAGGTCAAGAATAGAGCATTGGAAAGAGGTGTCTATTTCTGCATCGCAAGATCCCCGTTAATCCACTCGACCTCGCCCATAGTGGTATCGGTGAATGGAGTGCCACTTTCCCTAGAGGTACCGGGGTAGATTTTGGCAGCCTGGAAGGTACGTACCCATGTAACCACGTTCTGGCAGTTACTGTACAGTGCTTCCAATTCCGCCCAAACAGACGGATCCGTCAGCCTTCCCAAACCTGCGCTGCTGCGGAGCTCCTTCTTTGTCACCGTCACTGCCGACTGGCGACCTTTCTCAGACTCACAACACAACACAGCACAACACAACAACGACGACAGGCCCTGCTAACACAAAAGTCGTTAACAAGGTACAGCAAAGCATCAACATTTACGGCTGAGGCATAAACACTTTGCCGCACGCAGTTCTTGTTTGTCCCCTTGCGAGCGCCGCCAGGAGCGTCGCCTCGGACCTGCACCCACCCCGACACGTCCACGCCGCACGCACCCTTTGCGCCCTTCCTCGATGTCGCGCCAGCTCCAGTAAACCTCATTGCCAGCCCTTCGACTCAATCGAACCTTGCGGTCTGGTCAATCTATCACCATGAGCGCACCCCCAAACGGCGTGCCCAATCCCAACGGCGCCAACCCGCCGCCCCCCGGCGCACCGCCGCTGCGTCGCAAGAAGAAGAATGCTGATCCACTGGTCGCCCGCAAGAAGCCCATACCTAAGCCTCCACCACCCAAACCAAAGGCAAATGCAAGCTCTTCCAAGCCGAACCCGGCCCGGTCATTTCACACCCAGCCCAACCTCCTCGGTGTCCAGGCTCCCAAGGTCGACCAGAAGACCCAGGAGGAATGGAAGCAGCGCCGTCGTCAGAACGGTGGCTGGTGGGACCCCCCTCCAGCGGCCCCGGATTTTAAGGAGTACCCCGTGTACATCACCAAGAAGGATATCAAAGAAGGGCTGCGCTCTCACATCATGCGTTTTGCCAAGGCTCGCGGCGGTGGTGTCACTGACATCATGAACGATTCCGAGTTCGCGCGTCCAGTCACTCTCCATCGGAAGGATGCTCGCAGCCTGAACGTCACGCAGGCCAACAAGGAAGGAAGCCCAAGCCCAACACCAGTGGACCCGGTCGAAGCCGAGCGCCTTGAAAAGGCCAAGCTCGAGAAGGAGGCTCAACGAGCGAGCGATCAAGCTCAGATTGCGCCTGTCGCCGCCAAGGATATCGTTTCCAAGAAACAGCCTCAGAAGCAGGAGAAGACTAGCACCCAGACCTTCTATGCCAAGAGGAGCGACGCGCACAAGAAAGAGTCAACGATCCGCTATGAGGAATCACTGCCCTGGGTTCTGGAAGACGCCGATGGTAAGAGCACTTATGTGGGCGCTTACACGGCCGCACTTTCTGAGAGCATGGCGGCCTTGCAATATGAGAACGACAAGTGGCGGTTGATACCACTGGAGAAATTCTACAAGTTCACCCACAAGCCACCCTTCAAGACCTACTCAATCGAGGAAGCCGAGAAGTTGATGGGCAAAAAGGTGGTCCAAGGCCGTTGGGCTATGAGAGATGGTGAGAGGGACAAGCTGAAGGAGGAGATGGCGGCTACGAGGAACGCGTTGACGGGAAGGGCAAAGGTCAAGACGGAGAGCGATACCTTTAGGGCAGCTGCGCGGTCCGAAAAGCAGGAACATGACGACCTCGACATGTCAGGGGACGAGTTCCAGGATGACGACGAGAATCCAAACATGGAGCCGGATAACGACGAAGATGTCAAGGAATCTCGGGAGCGAGTCCGTCGTGAGCAGCTAGGTGCAAACCTCTTTGGAACAGCCGATGAGCAGGCTCTTGAGGCAGAGCTGAGACGAGAATTGATGGAAGAGGAGGCCAGAAGGATTCATGGCAAGGGCATTGAGAAGAATCTCATCAAAATCGACAAGAACATGCTCTACAAGCAGGACAGAGAGGATTCGGACAACCTGCTTTCCTCGGTAAGATCACCAGTGCCATGATTGAGAGCCAAACTAACTAGCTCCTAGTCTGAGGACGATTCCGACGAAGAAAAGGAGGTTAAGCAGGAAGATGGCGAGAAGGCGGCCGCAGACGCGGCATCCGGAAGCACTGCCAAGGGAGCAGGCCCTGCCTTGGGTAAGCCGAAGTCACTTCCTGATGGCAAGAAGGGCAAGAGCCTCAAGCGTCCTGGCTCTCCAAACCTCTCCGAAATGGAGTCCAGTGGGAATGAGTCCTCCCGAAAGAGGGCCAAGAAGCAGGCGACGGGTTCTGTTCAGGGCAGTCGTTCGTCGACTCCTTTGCCTAGTTCGCAACGCGCCAAGCTTGCCGCAGGTGCCATGAGCGATGGTGAGGCTACCGGTGGAGAGATGTCGGATGCTGGTCGTGCAAAGAAGAAGGGCCACAAGGTCACGGTGGTGAGCGGTACTCATGGCAAGGGCACTCCCACAGGCTCTCGAGCCGGCAGTCCTGCCCCAGCTGCGGGTCAGACTCCTTCAGGTATGTGTCTCCACGCCACGCCGCTATTTCGCAACTCGGTGTTGCGCACAGGAATCTTATCGCAGCATTGCTAACGTGTACGGTGCCCAGGTTCTCAATCGCCCACTCGTCGTGTTTTCGACTTCTCCCAGCCCCAGGGACCTGTCAGTGTGAGTGACGTTGCGTCGGCCATCCTGAGTCAGCAGCCACCGGGTGTGCCCATAGGCAAGTTGCTCACACAGTTCGGCAATCGCATTGGCGACGGTCAGAATCAGACCCCTAGGTCGACTTGGATATCGTACGTCAAGCAGGTCGCTAAGTGGGGGCCTAACAAGCTCTTGCAAATCACTCCTCAGGGACGAACATATCTGCCTCCATCTTGATGGGACGTTGGACTCGCTGCACCGGTCTGGTAGGGTTGGGAAATGCCATAGCGATTCAGCAATAGAGAATAGTTGCTCGCTCATCCAGTGACCTTGACCAGGGTAGGCTGGCAAGAATGCTCTTTTTTTCTTATAGACGTATCTTCCCGATGCCATAAGCTCCTAGACGGGCAAGACATCAAACTTCGAAGAGGCTGTGTGTGACCCTTGCTCGATCTGGCAATGCCTTGGGCCTCCCTCACCGCACAGCCAGTGTAGTTGGAAGCATAATGTTCTCGAGGATAATTAGCTGCCTCAAAAGACATTCTGTTCTTGTGTCTCATTTACTAGACCTGCGGACTTCACAAGCCCCCTGCCTGCTCGCTCATTCATCCATCTGCCATGAGTACTCTAAGCCTTTGTTCCTTTCCCGCCGGTTGATGGCCTTGAACCTCTCCGCCTCGAAGCCGTTACTCCTGTCGACGCCATCCCACCTGTAACCCGGTTTTATGCCATACCGATTTGGCGGCGATGGGCCCTTGTATAAAGGCCGTCTGCTCGCGCCACCGCCTGCCTTTGCAGCCGCACCACCCCGGGTGCCTCCGGACGCGACCGCTCCACCCCCGGCGGCCCCGTCCGCCTCGCCCAGGAACCGCGCCATGGGGTCGTTCCACCGCCTCTCCTCCTTCATGGCCTTGTTCATGTCCTCGTCGTCGGCCGTCCGCGCGAGACTCATCGTCTTGGCGTCCTCGAGCATCTCCCGGCGGCGGCGGGCCTCCTCGGCCTGCACGTCGCCCTTGAGCGCCTCCTTGGCGGCCCTCTCCTTGTCCTCGGCCTCCTGCGCAGCGCGCCGCGCCTCCGCCCGCTTCATGCTCACGTCGACGCGCCGCCCCGTCGCGTCCCGGTAGTACGTCTCCTCCTCGCCGTGCCGCACCAGCCCCGCCCGCCGCTCCGCCTCGAACTGGTCCCGCTCCTCCTGCTGCCGCCGCTCGATCTGCGCCGTCACCGCCGCCGCCGACTGCAGCCCTGCGTGGGTTCCGTCTGCCATGCGCGCCGCGGGTGTCTGGTCGTCTACCATTGTCGGAGCGTCGTCCTCGGCCGCCCGCGCCGCGGCTGTCTCTGCGGCGGCGGAGGCGAGGATTGCGTCTGCTGCTGCCGCGGCATCCTTGTCCTCTTTCGATGTTGGCCCGCTGCCACCCCCTAAAGATTTCCAGTTTGCCTTTGTGGTCTTGCGGACGTCCTTGACCTGGCCCACCGTCACCGGGGCGTTGTCCCCATCTTCTCCGTCACGACCTCCGTGCCTTGACTTGCTGGAACTGCCCCAGCCTTTGTCGTCGTCGTCTTGGATGAGGAGCCCTCCGCCGGAGGATTTGTCGTGCTTGCGCTTGCGCTTCTTGGAGGAGGGTTTGGTGTCGGGGGTGAGGTAGTGTGTGGCAAGGTAGGAGGAGAGGTCGGAGGGCATCGTGGACGATGAAACGGAGGTAATGTGGGGTGGAGAGCAGCCCTGCGTGTTGAGTCTTGCCGTCTATCAACTGGTATGTTTATTGCGAGGCTACACAAATGTGTGGCAGCTATCGCCGCCTCGTCTGAAATTTGATCGAGTTGTTCAGCCTTACGGCCGAGCTACCAATCCAGATCGGCGGTCGCGATGACAAGGCCGCCCTCAACGGGTACGCAGGTGCAGGTATTGCCTGGTCTGTGCATACTCCCAAAGCAGGGGGGCGATTAGTGACGGCCAGCCGCGAATGGCCCCCACACGCCAGCATGCAAGAGCGCAGGCTGGTGGAATCTCGATAACAGCTGATAAGAGAGATGACATCATCTCGGGGCCAGGGGAAGCAGCACGCAGCAGCATCCTGCCGCCGGCTTGCCCGATGTAGCCTTTCCCCTTTGGCAGGGCGCTTTCACATGGTCACAGCCGTCGCGCGCACGCGCATCACATCACATCGCAGGGTGAACGTGAGGACGGATAAGACCTGCAGACAGCTCAAATGCAGGGCGGACACTCATTGCGTATGGAGCCACGTTGTACGGTAATCGACTTCTCCCGATTCGATTCATGTCAAGTCCGTTCTGGCCTGGTTGGATCTGAAGCACCGTTTCTGGTTGACAGAGTCCAGGCCCTCCTCGTTTGCGACAGAAACTCCGGAATGACGTTGTCTTGGCCTTGCAACAGAGCTGCAACCCGTCTCAAGGACGGGCCCTAGGCGACATCTCGCACTCGGTTCCAGAGGCGCCAAGGATGATGTCGAGGTGCCGCACAGTTGCGCTCCTTCTGGCCTGACTGATGGCGCTGGTCTATCCCACGCCGTCTGGATCACTTCATCGACCATCTGCCAGCTGAATGACCCTTTTCCGGCAGTCGCCATCGAGCTGGTACGGAGTCAAAGAGGCCTGGCACGGGCCCCGATATGCCCAGGCCGCACTCTCTACCGCGGAATGTGTGCACTGAGGTATTATTCCACATGCGGGGGGCCTCGGGTGAGTCGGTTTCATGCAGTCAGCTCCCAGGCACTGTGCTGCGTAGCTGCATGACACGATGGAGAATTGCATGCGTTTCTGAATCACCACCCGCTTTTGCACGGCTGCCGATGGCGATTGTGATTTGACGACGGCGCCGGTGCAGGGCGCTCCACCTCAGCTCCGAGGCGCCCGGCCAATACAGCTGACATTCTGATCCTCAGGGTCCCGTGGAGACAGACAGCCGAGCTTTCTTTGTTGTTGCCGGCACGCTGCGCTGCCTGGCTGCACGGTCTGATGGAAATCCTGTTCCAACCCGCCATCAACATGGGAGCTGAAAATAAACACATCGCATTGCTCAGGCCGTTGGCACAGGTTGAAACAGCCTGCAGGCCCAGCTAGCGGCCAAGCCTGGCACCCGGCTGGCCGGGGGCGAGTACCTGTTTGGCCCTTCGCCATTCCATCATCTATGAGAGAGGAAGCGTCACTGCCACCTTGTTCCCACCTTGTTCCCACCCTGTCCTGCCCTGCCATGCGCTGCCATGCGCTGCCATGCCCCGCCATGCCCTGCCAGCATGCCATGCCCTGCGATGCGATGCGATGCGACTAGACTTGCGCAGGAGGCCAAGCTGAGGGAGGCCCAATGATAGCGATAGTGCAGCCACGGGAAGCCGTCCCTGGAAGACCGTGACGGAGTAACAGGCCCAGACGGAGACGCTTGAGAGGTCAGCTGCAGCAGGAAGCGTGGGATGACCGAATCTGAGGCGAGCTCCCGAGGTTGTGCTGTCATTGCCAGAAGGAGCCGCAGGTACTGCGCGCGCGTGGCTGTGGTGCGGAGTGACTTGCTGCTCCCCAACACCTCCCAGTCATCCGGTCTCACTCGTCCTCATCGGGAAGTGGACACAACCATGTCACCCTCCCACCCAACGCCGAAGCTTTATCAGCGACCTTGGGTCCGTGATCCCGACCACGATAAGCTAACGTGTGGTAGCCTTCCCAGCAGACAGGGCCGAGAACGCCTTCCCCCTGGCGCACGTATACTTGGGCCTACGCGCTGCCCCCGATCTCGTCCCCCCCGGGATTGCTGCCCATGCTTCATAACACAAACAAAACACTACACACTTCAAAGAACAACACTGTTGGATTTATTCTGGCTGTTTTGTCCCCCTCCCAGCCTCTTGCGTCACCCCAAGAGCTTCTGCCTACGTCTTCCGTCATCACGCCGAGCCTTTGTACCGTGCCTATCTGGCTGCATTATCGTGCCTCTTTGTCTCTGAGTCACCCCGGCGGAAACAGCCTCTCGCTTTCTTGAGAGCTTTAGACTGCCCAGTATTACCTACCTGCTCCGGTGCCAGACCACACAGGTCCCGCAAGAGCCACCCTCGAACAAAGCACGGTCAACTGGACGGCCCTTGCCTCTTTCCCGAGTGATCAGCAGGTAGCAGCCCGCTCACCGTCTGACTGATTGCCTGCCTCACCTTCAACCGGCCCCTTTTCCTTCCAGAAGATCCCAGATCTCGCTGGACTTTCCACTCTTCCGCAATCCATATTACCCACCTACGAGTCCTACCTCTTCCTGTATCCAGTCCCATTCCGCTGTATACGCAACGTGTAACCAACATCTTCCCACCTCATCTTCACTTAAGCTCAACATATCCTGTTCCTGCAATCCCGACATCATGGCGGCTTCCGTACAGTACGAGCGTGACCTTCGCAGCGCAAACCAAGAGTACAAGCGCGGAAAGGACGCCACCGTGAAGTGGTCCTTCGGAACCACGGCTTCTCCGTCGTGGTGGAGCGCGAGCGCGCCGGAACCAGACAACGAAAACATCAAGGCTCGACCACTTGGAAAGTGGAGTGACCAGTAAGCTTGCCCTTGACCTTGACCTCACCACATGCTTGTGTCTTGACGCGCCCTAACCATGAGGCAGGTTTGGCAAGGAGGACAAGGACAAGGGAAACATCAACAAGTACACCCGCACAACAGGCCGTCTGAGGGACATTCCCTCTAAGCGCGTGCGCTCCAAGGTGTCTGCACAAGAAGAGATCGAGGAGGCGGCCTTCACGTCGCGGTCTGTCCTGGACTACCTGCCCAGCCCCGTGCGCCGCCAGAATTCGGCCGCGGACAATATCCTGTACAGTTTCGACCGTCAGGACTCGCCCGGCAGGCCGTTGACCCTCGATATATTCGTCAAGAAGGGCGGCCGCGAGACGGAGCGCTTCGTAGAGAAGGAGTACGAGATCCTGGACGCCAACGGTGATGCCCTCAAGGGCCGCAAGGCGCGTCGCAACCTACGCCGGGGCGTGACCAACGGATCGAAGTCCGCGGACGACGATATGCCTGAGATGGACGAGGATGGGTTCGAGCTGGTGTAGACTTCGACTCGGAGCGATTCGGGACGCGGATGGGGGATCACACTCGACTGGCTTCTCTGGCTGATCACGTCGGTGACCCCGTTTGGAGCTTTCCCTACTCTTACTTGTTCACTTCACCCGACATCTCCACGACATCGACTCGTTGGCGTGTTAATACCTTTTTCTGTCTATTTCGAGTCGGTCACTTCGGTCGGCTCGCAGGAGTTTTGGGAGGGATCGGTTGGCTGGGAAGCATTGCGCTGTCGTGTGATGTCGCAGGGAGTTGGTGTCTGCTTTGGGCTTGATGGTTGTACATTGGAGAGAGTCGCTCTATTGAGATGTTGTGCTGTGGTTCTTCACACATTAGTTTGAGCATTGGTTACCTACCTTCTGCAGAGGCGACGACGGTCATTTGGCTTGGTCGTCGCCTCCACCACCACGTACACCACCTAGAAACAATCCGTGGACCTGGATGGCTTGGGATGATGAACAGAAGAGCATTTTCCACATAGCTGAGCAACCAATTACAACAGCGTGTCGTTGGTTCATGATCTTGGGCCAGATGTGTTGGGTGGAGAGATCAGTTGCAGTGCTCAATGCAGTGTGGCAAGTTGTTTTGTGTGGGAAGGGTTTGCTCGAGACTAGCAGCCAGGTGCCCAGGAAATTCAATTGAGCAGCACCGGCTGCACGTGCAGACCGTTCCGTTGCCCGCTCCAGGAATGCTACCCTCCCTGCTTGGTACGCTACAGAGTGACAAAACCTCTTCCCTTAGTTTACATGTTCAGTCGCTCAAGTTTCTGTCTCAGTGGGAAACAGAAGAGGATGAGCAATTGCATTGATACGGAAAGAAAAGCCTCGAGAGACTTCGAGATGTTGAAAAGCCAATTCGTTACCGCAAGGTTCTGTGATTGAGGTTCTGCACGCACACGGTCTACCTCCACAACTACAATGGGACGCTCCTACCAAGTGACTCACGTCGGCGAGCATTTTCGGAATCTGACTCCATGCCTCGTTTTCCCCGTCTCGCAGTCAGGTGGAAACTTGCCGGCCTTTACGCAATAGCTTGATGGCAATTAGGACCAGGTAGGCCACGTCGGGGCAGGCCAGGTAGGATCAGAGCTGGACTCAGCCTCTGAATTCGACCCCAATCTGTTTCCCCGTAGAGTCATCCCATCGCACCGCCCCTTGTTCTATCTGGTCTTCCACTGCCTCGGTGGGCCCCCGTAACAAGCTGCTACCCTGGATGCATTTGAGAGATCCGCATGCTCAATTGCATATAACGTTCTTGAATCGGAGTTGTTTGATGGCCTGTCAAAGCTCGAGGATCACTCTTTCCGCCAAAGGCCATTCATTATAGGAACGCGGAACGCAACACAGTGTCCCATCAGGCGATAGCCAAAGAGCCGTTCACTTACAAGACCAACGACTATCTGAAAAAATACCACCGAAAGTTCAACACCCACCAACCCTACCTTATTTCAATTCTTTTTTTTAAAAAAAAAATAAAAAAAAAATTAAAAAAAAAATTAAAAAAAAAATTAAAAAAAATCAAAAAAAAATCCGAGGTCCTAAGGCTGTCATGGCGACTCCCACGAAGCTGTCGTTGACATCTCGTGACACCGCCTTATGTATCATACCACCAAGGAGCCAGTGGGGCAAGGTCGACCAACTGAGGTCTCACTACGACAAGGCATACGGAAAATGGCCTCCACACATCAATCTCGTTTACCCCTTTGTTCAGGTTGACGCCCTACCGCGGGCGGCGGAGGCAGCACGTTCAGCAGCAGCCCACCAAGAGCGGAAACCCTTCAACGTGTGTCTTGACTCGGCCGGCGTTTTCCAGCACAGGCACGACAACACTATCTATGTACACGGCGAGGACGACGGCCAGCTGAAGGATCTGCGGGCCGCCATCCTGGGGGCTGTGGGACAGTATGATGATGGAGAGTATCGCATGCATATGACTATCGGTCAGAGCGAAGATAGTAAGTCCGTCCCGGAAAGAATTGTCACCTAGTGGATGGCAGACGCATACAGAGGGGGTCGCTTTTTAGATTCTCGATCAGTGGTGATAGAATGCGGGTTATAGTCTGGAGAAATCACTGACTTGCGGGCTGGTAGTGAATGCGTCCTGGCACCAATTCCTCCTTCAGAAGGCACGCTGGCTTCCCAAGGTCGAGTGGTCTGTAGATCAACTACATATTCTCGTCCGAGAAAAGTCCCCAAATGGAGGCTCAGAAATGAAGACCTGGGCAACAGTTTCCCTGGAAGACGGCGACATTTCCAGATTTGACCCACCCAGGCCATTCTTCGATCAGCCACCAACAGCAGTTGAAAATAACGGAATCCCATACTCATACCTTGGGGATGGTCTGTGGGGCCAATCCTCTCGGAGTGACTATTCGATATATTCATCTGACGAAGTGTCGACATTGGCTGTATCGACGTACAACGTGCTTGCCGAGTTTGAGTTCCCACCTTCGCAGGCGCGTTACCCTTTGATTGTCAAGAATATCCTGGCCGACAGCGCAAGGGCCGACGTGCTCGTCCTGGAAGAGGTCACGGATGACTTTCTCGTGTTTCTTCTACGAGAATCCGACATACAGGATTTGCTCACCTTCTGTAGCTGGGGCCCCTCAGATCAGGAGGGCGTCCAGCCGCTTCCAAGTCACAACAACATTGTGGTCTTCAGCAAGCATGCCTTTACCTGGGAGCATGTGCCGTTCCATCGCGAGCACAAGGGCGCTATCCTGGTCCAGTTCCCAGCCTTCGGACAATGGGACGACGCAGATTTTAAGCCACTGATCCTGGCTGCTGTGCACCTCACGCATGGTCTCAAGGACGGCTCGATTGCGGCCAAGAAGACGGAAATCGAGACCATTCTGAAACATTTGGACGACAAGTACCCAGAGCACCCCACACTTTTGACCGGAGACTTCAACATCACAACATCTTCGTATACCGTCAACCAGGCTCTTGAGAAGAAGGCCGTGACGTCTCAGTCGATCGCACACCTCCAGAATATTGAGAAAACACTTGTCGAGAGTGGTTTCGTCGATACCTGGACGGAGGCGCAGCTCGAGAACGCAGCAGAATCTGACGGTGATCTGGATGGAGCCTTTGAGGGCGAACAAGGAGCAACTTACGACCCGACTACTAATGCCCTCACGGCAGAGATCGTCGGCAGTGGCTTCAATATGCGCCCTCAGCGATACGACAGGATTCTTATCAGAGCAGAAGAATATCTCAAGACTCTGAATTTCAACAAGTTCGGCTTCGTTACTGAGGAAACTGGCAAATTTGCGAGCGACCATTGGGGTGTGCGAGCTGTTCTGAGAATTGGCCCCGAGGCAGAGAGCCAGGCGGCCTCCGGTGCGGCAGCCCATATCACGCCTGTCCAGCTGAAGCAGTCCAGACACTTGTCGGAGAAGGGGTACAATTTACCGGAACTGCTTAAGCAAGTGCAAGCTATCCCGTCGGAAGAGGAAGTTCATGAGCACGCCGCAGCTTTCAAGCTGCTCCGCGAGACCATACTTGAATCCTCGACGCCGACCGGTGGGATACCCTCCCCTGGGATAACCGACACTGGACGATCAAGCACGCCCCTGATTCTCGTCCCTGTGGGTTCGTATGGACTGGGCGTGTGGACGGCTTCCTCCGACATAGACTGTCTCTGTGTAGGCCCATTCAGCTCGTCGACTTTCTTCTCCCTCGCCGCTCAGCGGCTGCGCAAGGCTTCCGACAAGGGCGTAAGGGTTATGCGCCGTGTAAAGGCTCACACTGGTACAATGCTTGAACTGGAGATCAACGGTGTCAAGATCGACCTTCAATACGCCCCTGCTGGTGCCGTCGCAGCAAAGTGGCCCGATTGCCTCAGGCTGCCTGCCTCAGATCCTTCTTGGATGCTGTCGGCACAGACCCTGAACAAGCTGAAGCCGATCCGTGACCTCGACTATGTCCGCCGTTCGGTGCCTGACATTGTCAAGTTCCGGCTTGCCCATCGCTTCATCAAGACGTGGGCAAAGAGAAGGGGCATCTACGCACTGAAATATGGGTACCTAGGCGGGATCCCGATCACAATTCTTCTTGCACGTCTGTATAAGCTCCTGGCTCACGATAGCGCTGTTGTGTCGCTGTCTGATCTCCTGGCAACATTCTTCAACCATTACGCCAGCTTCGACTGGCGAGCGGACCTTGCTTTCGACCCTTTTTTCCACAAACAGCTCAACTACAGGCGGACTGATCGGGAACCCTTGGCTGTTCTAGGCTACGCACCGCCGGCCCTGAATACTTGCTTGGCCGCATCCGTGCCTTCAGTGAGGACTATCACCGAGGAATTCCAGAGGGCAGACAAGCTGCTCGCGGAAGAAGGAATGACGTGGTCAAAGTTTCTCGAAACCGACGGGTCGGCCGACTTCCTCGAGTCGTTCAAAAGCTACATCAAGATCAACGTCCAGTTCTGGGGAGGCTCCCTAACCAAGGGCAGAGGTCTCGTTGGCTGGCTTGAGTCGCGGTGTGTGTCACTGCTGGTCGACCTGAACAGGCGGCTGCCAGATCTTCACGTCAGGTTTTGGCCCGCTCGCTTCGTTGAGGCGGCGGCGGCCGGTGCGACTGAAGACGAGCAAGGCGACTACGAGGGCTTCTACCTGGTTGGCCTCGACAAGCTCGAGGGCAGTACAACCGACGACAAGAAGATGCAGGAGAAGCTGGTCGACGTGCTCAGGAAGTTCGAGGAGCAGATCCGCGGGGACCCGAAGTACTTTGACGAGCGGACCTCTTGGGTGGAAGCCGGCGTGATCAGGCGGGCGGCCCTGAAGCCACTACAGGTAGACGCCCGCGAATGGGGCGAATACACTGTCGGTGACGACGAGTCCGACGAGGAAGAGGAGGAGGAAGATGAAGCGGCACAGGGCTCTAGTGTCTACGAGGACTACCAGGCTGTCCACTCCGCATCAAAGAAGGGCAGGACTACCAACCAGCCACGGTCTGTCGTCGTCTCCAAGCCCGAGGGGGCCGGGAAGTTCAGGACAGCGTCCGACGTGCTGAACCGGCTTCGTTGGGTAAGTTTGCACGCTCTCTTCACCTACAGAACCCTCCTTTGATATACTCCAATGACTATACTACCACTCATTACCACCACACACAATAAGCTAATCACAAACCCCCTCGCAGGACCCATCTCTGGATAGCGGGGACTTCATCGTCGGCTACGAGGACCGCTTCGCCGGCGCGATGGAGAAGGCGCTGGACACGTGGAAGTCGGAGCAGACGGACGAGGAGTTCATCCCGCAGCACCGCATCCTGTACTTCAAGCGCAAGAGCGACCAAACAGTCGTTTGGGAGAGGAGGACGAGAACCGACCTCTTGTTCGGGAGTGGTCGCGGCGGCACCACTGGTGGGTCATCCACCACCTGATGGACTAATTGTTGAGCCCGGGGAGAGAGGAAGAGAAGTCCTTCTTTTTGTCGTTTGAGCATTGCGTAGCATAGCGTTTGCGATTTGACTTTGAACAAATAAAGCCAATAGCCTTGTTTTTGTGCATAATAGACCTTGCCGGAAAACCCGCACTCTGTGACGCCGTCTCGCTTCAGTTGCTCGGCTCGGGTTGCCTGTATGAATTGGGCACATTCGCGCAATGGGAAACACGCGGCCTCGATGGCTTGGCCCGCCCGCGCAGTCGTCCCAACTTTCGCCGGCATTAGCATACCAATTCAGGCAAGGCCGACATTCACACACAAACTTGGCGAGATGTTGTAGACAATCGCAAAACACACTCATCCGCGACTGCCAATGTGAAAAAATCCTGGCCATTTGGTCGAGCATCTCAATCTCGCTCACATACCAGCAGAGAAGCTGTCGTGATGATCCTTGACTAAACGATACAGTACTAGAACAACATACGTAAGTGGTATCGCTGAAACCCTTGGGAGAATGCCTGTGTGCTTTTTGCCTGCTCAAAATATAGCAATGCCACCTTTCATAGCCGAGATGAGATTCGCGGCGAGAAAATCGCCGCGGAACATGCAAATCTCTTCTCTTCTTTTCTTTCCCTTTTTATTTGTGTGCCATGCCATGCCATGCCATGCCTGCCAGCCTGAGCGAAATGAAAACCCAACGCCAAATGCACGAGCGAAATATGCCACCGCTAGAGACAAGGTCCGGCCTTATATCATGGGTCCATTGGGGTGCTGATGAGGGTTGGCACCCCATAGTGCTGCGCCAACCACCTGTTGTGTGTTGTCAGGCCCACGCTGCGCACCCTGCGGCTCGTCTGGGCTGATGGGCTGATTTGTTGCGTTTGGCACCTGGTAATATCCATCTGTGGACAGTGCATGAGTCTGAACAGGTTGCCGTCGGTCGTGGAAAGGGTTTGTTTGCGACTGGTAGGATTCGGGCGCCTGCTGGAATCGCGCAGCTCCTCGATATCCTAAATCGGATTCGTAAGGTTGGTCTTGTTTGTAAATGTCATACGGGTCGAGGGGAGAAGTACCCGACGGATCCCCTTGTGCATGGGCGATCAGGCCTGCTCCCTCCTCGTGGTCCTCCTCCTGGATCGGACTGACAACCCCTTGGCCTCCTGGGTGTTGATTCATACCAAATGTGCTTCGTCCTGGGAGCAGTCAGCACCTAGTGCCTTGAATTACAATACATCTGACGGAGTGAGGGCGGGTAATCTGAGTCATTGAGCTATCAATCTTCGCAGCCCCATGATTATGCCTCAGGTGAAAGCAGCCAATTCATGTTGCTGGGGTTTGCTTACGAAACTCGGTCGCAATGGGCAAGTGGTCGGTGCTCTTTCCGCCAGGCACCCGATCGTATGGCTGTAAAGGATATGATGTGTCCTTACCATCCATATTTATGTCGGTGTTCTTGCGATAGCTGACATCCTGCTTGCGCCGCTTAGCCCCGACAAACAGCCAACGCATGCCGCGGCCAAATGCCTTGATGACGTCCCATAGATTCAAGGCATCCCAGAGCGCCTTCAGACCCACAGAGCCTCCGGCCGGCGGGATATGCACATTCTCCAGGGGCGGTACATTCGATTCCTTATTCGGCAAGGGATAGAATATCGGAGGCGCGTCCTGTCGATACGGTCGCCAGGGGTATGCCCAGATGTGCATTATGGAAAATAGCAACATCTCAACGCACAGTAGCAGGGAAGGTATGCCAACCGCAATGTCGGGATAAGCAAGTGTTGCGGTGGGAGAGATGATGTCGAACTCCCCCGTCCCGACAGATATGGCCATTGTCTGCCAGAAGCTGAGGAAAATGACACCCTTGATAGCCAGGACCTTGAGGAAAGGCTTGTGAGAGGAGAGCTCAGTCTTGAGCTGTACGTAGAACTGGATGACACAGTACATGGCGATGGTGACGGCGACACAGTTGATGCTGGCGCACTATTTCGGACGGCGCGTGTTAGCCAGATAGAATACGCTGCGGCAACAGCAGTGGCAGATGGACGGCTTACCCAGATGTGCGCGAAGTAAGGGCTGTTGGAGCTTTCGCAATATCGGTCGAATTTGTTAGACACGACGGCGGTGATGGTCATGGCAACACGTATGAAGCAGTAGTGGTAAATTCCGATCCAAATGATGTTGAACCAGGTGAGACCGCTGACGGGTGTGCGCCATGGGCCCCTGTCGCCTCCACAACACTTCTTGAACCAATTGAGCGGCCATACCCATTCTTTGACGGGTTGCAGTTCCCTGAAGAATTGTTTCTGTGAGTGAAGGTCGGCCGTGTACTGGCACAGCAATGCAAAGAACGATGAGATTGCAAAGGCCTCGTAGCAGTCAGAAATGACTGCAAAGTAGACGGCCTGGTGGTAGTATCTCAGCTGGAGGAAAGCCGAGGCGGCGTATATGGGAATCATGAGGAGGATACGGATGATACTGGCGAAGTGGTCAGCACGGTTAGCCGGGCGAAGATCCCCATTTCAGCTTGGGGGTTGGGGACAGGGGATGCGTACTACTTCTGCTCCTCTGGTTTCGTGTAGTTCAAGGCGTGCATCCATATTAAATAGAAACTGATGAACATGGAAAGGAGGGCTGTTGCGGCAGAGACCATGAGAGCCAACTCGTGGAAGGTGAAGGGGCCGGCCATGGGTATCTCGGAGACTGGTAGCGGCGGAATTAGCATGGGTTCGAGTTGCGCAGCGCGGGCAGCGGCGCGCAATCATTTGAGAGGCTCACTCTCCATGTCCTCCACCGTCGTGTTGCAATATGTTAAATTCATTTTTGGTGACTTGGACCACCGGGCTCAACCATGAGCCGCGTGCTGCCTGTCGCGGCGCCTGGTCAAGATTATGGTCGGCGGGATTGGCGGTCGGAGTTCCGTAGGTCCCGGCAGCGCAAGACGCCGTGGGTTGTTGTCGGCGGCGTCGCCCTCGCTTCTGCTCGCCCTTTTCCTGGACCGATACCCAACGAGCCTGTGACCCAGCTCCAGATTCCTAAGTTCTTCTTGTTCAAGTATTCTTGCAGCGCGAGGCTTGGGTTTCGGCGGCGGCTTGTTCCAGGCGATTCGGTGTCTCGTAAGCAGCTGAGAGCAAGACGACGCAGCGAATTGAAGCAGCCGTCATGAGAAGAGAAGGCCAGGTGAGACGGCCAGCAGCGGTGACTGGCAGGAATTTACACTGGTTCGCAGTTTGGGGTGAGGTGGGCGCGTTGAATGGGCGCGATTGTGGCCGGGTTTCTCGTGGGCGAAAGGTCGTGATTTCGAGGCCAAGGAGATCGAATCGTGGTCGGCGGTGGCAGCGCCTGGTCGAGAATAGAAGGGTAATTTTGACGTTGACCAGCAGCTCAAGTAAAAGGGGTCTCCTGGCGTCACCGGGAGAAGGCGCCGGTGTAGTTGGAGAAAGAGGGAAGCAAGAAAAGGAGGAGGATCGGACGGAATGCAGCCAAGTTCGAAGTGCGCCTTGTCCAAGGCTTGTTGTTGCAGTTGGGGGGGACCTAGGGAAGGCTTGGTTCCCTTAGGTTACTTAGCTGCAGGCGGGCGCCCTCCTTCTCGTCCCCCCACCTCAGCTTTCCGCCGCCTGCACGCCAACACACCTGGGCACCCACCCATCCACCCGGGCAGCCGGCTGGGCTTGCAGACACGGCAGCCGTCCCCCCTGTGTGGCAGGTCTTGTCAGGGACCTCGGGAGCCACCAGGGGGCCGCATAACGGGCAGACAGGGCGACGAGGCTGAGCGCTCTGAGGACCCTGTCCGTCTCAAGTCGCTCACTGGTTCGTTCGTCAGCTCCCCCATCAGAGCAGACCAGAGCAGACCAGAGCAGCGCAATACGTATACGGAATTGCGCAGGACCCTCTTTTGAATTCTGGATCGACTCTCAGCCAATCTCGAGAATTTCGCAAGCTGCGCCAGATCACAATCTGTTTCCCAGCTACAATGTCCAACGTACAATTTACAACACATTTGTCAACCAGGCAAGGGGCGCAGACAGATATTATCATTTGTACCTGTTCCACATGTCCTCGTCATCTCTCTCTCTTGTCCTACAGTATCTGCAACCAAATCTAGGCGAAGGCAGTCAGCCAAATCAGTCAATCAGTCAATCAGTCAGTCAGTCAGTCAGCCTGCACATTTACAGACCGATCGGGGCCCAGGGCCCCACTCTTGTAGCCGCTGGTTTGGCATGTCTGACGAGAATCGACTTGTTTTAGATTTTGTCGCTCAGATCCCAAAGGGACCAGGCGTCAAACGCCATCCCCCCAGCCACTCATCCCCCACCCAAAGCCAGCAGGACCGGAATCTCGCAGTCCAACAGTCCCGACGTCCGCCTGCATAACCCACACATGATGCGTACACTAGGTACTAGCTAGATACAGCATGTAGATGGAAATGATGAGAGCACGCGAGGGGGCTGCCGCAGCAGGGCCCGCGCAGATAGGCGCTGACGACGCCTCTGAGATCGCCAAGGCTCGGGCGGACTCCGCACCCTGACAACCCAGAACTCAATTCGCCCGAGCTCCTGCACATCATCTCGACGCCCTCGATTCGAGCTCCCGAGTCAGTCGCCGACGTGATTGGCAATTTGGGCACACCCGGCTACGGTCCGTTCAATCCTCGGCGCGCGCCGCTCCTCCGCTCCTCCGCTCCTCCGACTTTCCCGGCCGAGATTTCATGCAGCCGGCCCCCCGGTGTCATAGATCTTCGGGGTAGAAAGCCCCACACGCGGTCTTGTGCCCAGTTCCCTGAGCAACATCCTCACTTCAGATTTGCATGCTGCCCGTGTCATATAGGCCATGACGCCCTGTTTCCACGTCTGACGGTGGGCACCTCCTCTGCATCTTCTTGGAGCATGCCCTCGTCTGGTATGTACAGGCGGTCGAATGGTCGCGGCGGCACATCGATCTGGCCACTATTGTAGCCGCTGCCCGTTGACGTAACCACGCCCTTCCTCAGCGTATCGTCAGCTACTAGGGCGGTCACACACTCGATTTCGGTGAGTACTTGCTCGACTGATCCATCCCATCTTGTGCAATCTCAAGAACCTGGAAGTCCGATTCTATCCTTGTTCTTGAGGTCTGGCGAAATGGTTCCATCGAGACCAGGATTCCGATATCTTGTTGGAGTTGTTGAAGTCGGCTCCACCATGCCATGTGTTGAAACTATGGACTTCTTGTTTATCATCATCCAAACCGCTTTCCCATCAGCAGTTCGTAGTAAGCCTTCTGGTCCTGCTCACTTCCCAGAAAAGGGTCTTGTTCGTGCGGCTGCTCTAGTGGCTCTGGATTGAAGCTCATGTCTAGGAAGTCCTCGAGAGTCTCATTTGGAGCGAAGCCAAGTGAGCCTAGTGTCTGAGTGAATCCAATAGAACTGTTCATGGGTCAACAGGTTGAGGTCAACATCAGGCACAATACTGAGACTCACGATCTTGCCGCATCCTTTGCCACTATGTCAGACAACGATATTGACTCTGCTCTGGGCCGTGGCCGGCCATTCATGCTGAGCTGTCTTGGTCTGCTGTTGCCATCCTGTGAAGAGGGAGACGGGGTCGGGACAAAGTTGAAAGGGTTGCTGCTGTCGAATTTGGGCATTGGCATCGTGTCCAGCTGAGGGGTCTGGGCGAGCTGTGGTACTGGCGGCCGAGAAGGCGATATGACAGAGTGCGGTGCTTGTGGTATGGGATCCGGGGTCGGCTCAGAGTTCGCGAGCAAAGGCTGCTGTGGTAATGTAGGGGCCGATGCAGGAGCTGCTGAGGTAGATGTCGCCGCATCCGGTGTGATGCTTCGTCTCCCCTGATATCTCATCCGCAAAGAAGGTCTTGAACACGCCGCTCTGTTGCCATGCCTGGATGAAGAACTCCTGCTGAGCCGGGTCCCGGATGGCCTTGACGAGCCTTTTGCCCTCGGGCTGCTTCAGGTAGCCTTCAACCACGGGGCCCAGGCTGGGGATGAGATTGAGGGCGGCGCCCCACGCGGCGGCACTCTCCCTCAGGGTGTGCAGAGCACTCCGGTAGCCCTGCGCAGGGCCTCTTTTCTTCTGGGGCCGCAGGTACAGACACGACTTGTTGTGTCTCTCGCAATAGCCACACCGTGGCTTTGCATTATCACAAGGCTGGTGGTTCACATGGCAGAAGTCACAGCTAGAATATGACCAAGGTCAGCCCGGCACCCAGGTTCAACACCAGTCATGATGGGGAAAATGAGTGGTCGAGCGACGGGGGGATGTGTGGGGCTGGAATAGTTGGGCTGTGTCACGGAGGAGGGAGGCAGCACCGAGGCCCAACACAGGGCAAGGCAGTGAGCTGGGAGTCTGATGAGAATAAAATGCTGGCAAGGGACCAGGAGGACTAACGCGCGTGATGACTTCTTGCGCTTCCGGGGGTTGACAGGGGCGGCGGCGGTTGAGTCGCCGGCGACCGAGACAGCCGCATCTGCCTCGCCGGGGTGGGCGGCGGCGGGGGCGGCATCGTCCCTGAGGTCGTCGAAGTCAGACATGGCTGAAGTGTGAAGCCTGGAGGAATCAGCAGCAGGTTCACGCGAAAAAGGGGCCAATGGGTCGACGCCCGGCCTCAACTCGTACATGCCTGTGCTCGTGCCTTTGCCTGAGGGTGTGAGACAGGCCCCGTTTGCGCGGCAGTCTGCCTCTGTGCCCGTCTCGAGTCTGCCGGTGGATCGGATATGACGCCCAGGAGTGACAGCAGCGTCACAACAGAGTGCGGCGAGCGCGGAACAAGGAGGGCAATGTGGAGGCGGAGATCGGGACTCAAGCAAGCGCAGTGCAAGGGCATCGGCTGAATTGAGCAGCTGTGGACTCTAGTCACGCTGGGCCGGGCTGAAGTGCTGCTGTTTGCGCTTCCCACCAAGGCCCGTCGACGGCTAATTGGAGTTGACACCTCGGGTTTTGGGGTAATTGTCGGGAATATCTGGCGACAGAACCTAATTCCAGAAACGGGCGAGTCGAGTCCAACAGTGGGCTAGAAGCCTTCCAAGGTGCGTGCGGCGCGGCGCGTCGCGGCGTTGTACCGTACAGCCGTGAGTCCTGCATACTGTAGTCGGAGCGTCGTATTATACCGTATTATTCGACATCTGTAGGCTACACGAGGCAGCTTGATGGCCCCGAGCGGGGGTGGGGTACTCTAAGCCCTGGGCGTTGATAAGCATAAGCCCATGCCCAGGTACAGAGCATGCCTCCTAGGGAGGTTGGTGGGCAGACAGCAAGCAGGCCAGGTGCAAGACAAAAACCTCCAGGATACTGCCAGGTGGGCAATCTATCAGCGCCTGCGCTGTTCTTATTGCATTCCCACTGCAAGGCCCACGGGCCAGACTATATTCGGCCGTGGATTCCGGGTTTCAGCATCTGCCGACAGATGAGCAATCAAGCAATCAATTTGTCCTGGCAGCACCAGTTCTAGACGCCTGTCGCAGCTCCACGGGGGAGCAACCGGCGGGGCACCTCTGCCTTGTGTGCGGGAGCTGCCCAGCAAAGCAAGCTCCCTTTCTGCCAAAAGTCCCGGCCTTCAAGGCCTTTCTTATAAGTGCCGAGGGGTCACACCCTGTCGCAGCCCTCCACCATCTCCCGACGCCGGCTCCGACCGACGAGCGAACCTTGAGAGACAGGCGGCCCGGAATGTCTTGCGACCTCCAATTCCCGCCCCTGGCCTTTAGACACAGCAATCTCCTAATAACCATCTCGTAGCTCGTCTGCAAAGTCATTCTCGAGCAGAGCTCCTCTTGCGCCTTGATCGTCTTCCGTCGCAGGGACCCGACAGACCGCTGCGCTGCGAGTGCCTCACCTCCCCTGCTTGGAAACCCTCACGCGAGCGCTGCTCACATCTGGGAACATATCTTTTCCGCCCTCACTCCGAGGAACACGGCCCGGCCCATACAGCCAAAACTGCGAGCAAGGCAACCTCGCTCGTTTTGGTCGCCTCTAGTCATCAGCCACACGGACTCGGGACAGACAGGTACACCTCTGACGTCGCTCAGGCATTCTTGTGAAAGGCTTCCGGGAACCCACACCATCCCCTATGTTGGGATGCTCGAGGCACCGTCATGACCGTCGAAGATGCCTTGACGTCCGCCCCGCCAAATGAGCGCCTTTTCCACCCAGACGCCTCAATCGTCCTGGTGGGATGTCGAGGCGCCGGCAAACGCTCCCTTGGCTTCATCGGTGCCCTCCATCTGCGCCGCCGTCTGATCACTGAGGACTTCTACTTCCAGCAGGTCACCGGGCTCAGCCGCATGCAGTTTCTCGGCCAAAAGGGCAAGGACGAATTCAACCGGCGCAACGATGAGGTCTTCAAGCGCATGCTCGACGAGCATCGCCACAAGTCTATCATCGAGTGTGGCATGAGCAGTTTTTCTGACGAGGCACAGAGCGCTCTGCGCCTATTCTCCCAATCAAACCCTGTCATCTACATCCACCGGGAGAAGGAAGAGATGCTCCGCCTCCTGGACTCGGCGGACGGAGAACGTATCCTGCGTGCCGATCAGAGGCACAGGACTTGCGCGAACCTCGAGTACTTCAACCTGTATGACCACTGCAACTCGAAGCCTTCCGTTGCCAGCGACGCCTCGTCAGGCGGATGGGACATGCAGATGGCCACTCCTTCCAGCCTGCTTTATGCCAAGCAGGACTTTACCCGCTTTATTGACTTCGTCACCGGTCAGGGCCTCACGAGGCTCTTCCTCGAGAGCCCATTCGCTGTCAGGGCAATCCCGCCCGAGTTCAGACAGTACTCGTACGCTCTGCGCCTGCGGCTGTCCTACCTCGTCAACATGGACCTCGAATGGGAGGACCTCGAGGCCCGGGGCGACTGCGTGGAACTAGTCATCGACCACTGGCCAGACGACATGATGAACCAGATCGCCCGGATTGTAGCTCAGATCCGGAGGAAATTGGTTGTCCCAATAATCTACCACGTCGAGGAAAACCCGAGGGAGGAGCGGCGCAGGGCCCCGCAAGAGAAGGTCAAGATGGACATGGAGCTCCTGGAGCTGGGTCTCCAGCTCGGTGTTGATTACCTGAGCCTGGACCTGCAGAGGAAAGACATTCCGCTGCGAAAGATCCTCGCCCGTCGAGGTCGGTCGAAGATCATGGGTAACTACTGGAACGTTGGCTTGATGTGCACGCCCTGGTCAAGTGATTCTCACGTGCGGGACTTCCAACAGGCCAAGGACCTCGGTTGCGACCTCGTGCGCATGGTCCGCTTTTGCTCCGGCGACAGCTCGCCTGAGATGCTTCAGGAATTCCGGGAGAAGATTGCCACCACTGTCCCGGATCCGAAACCACCGCTGGTAGCGTACGACTTCTCGGTCCTCGGTATCAGAACGCCCCTTCAGTCAAGGATTTTGACCCCAGTGAAGCACCCCGATATGGAGAATGATCGAGAGCACCTCGCTACGGTCTGTACCGCCTGCAACTCCTTCGAGGGGCTTTTCCGCCAATCTGAGTTGGACCCCTTGCAGTTCTACACTGTAGGCGCAAATGTGTCGTACTCTCTTTCTCCATGCATGCACAACACGGCGTACGAGTTTTCCGGCATGCCACACAACTTCTCAGCAGAAACATGCTCTACCATGGAAGACCTTAACAAAATATGCAGCGATGCATCCTTTGGGGGAGCCTCGTTGGCAGCACCTTTCAAGGTCGCCATTGTGCCTCACCTGAAACTAAAGAGCCATCATGCCACCGTCATCGGTGCCGTCAATGTGCTGCTACCACTACGCGGCAAGACAAACTTCATCTTGGACCACGCAAACTCGCGGAACAAGTCGGGTCTTACCAACGAGTTTTATGGTGACAACACCGACTGGCAGTCCATACTCACCTGCCTCCAGAGGAACATCAGCCCTCGGAATTACGTGCGGCCCTCCAAGACGACAGGGCTGATTATTGGTGCAGGAGGCCAGGCGCGAGCCGCCATCTATGCTATGATCCAGCTGGGATGTCGGAATATATTCATATTCAATCGGACAGTCCAGAACGCACAGGTCATCGCCGACCACTTCAACCTCTGGGCTCAGAAGCAGGGCATGGCTCCTGGGAAGGGAGGCATCTCCCAAGTCTGTCATGTCCTACCGTCCATCGCTGTTCCGTGGCCGGAGGGTTATGAGCAACCGACAATGATTGTGTCCTGCGTGCCAGCCACAAGCGTTCATGGAAGCCTGCCGGCGGACTTCGAGATGCCTATGCAGTGGCTCGCAAGCCCTACTGGAGGCGTGGTGTTGGAGGTGAGTTGCGTGCCAGAGACACCCAACCCCAACTTTCTGACTGGTTATGACCGAGTGCCTTGTCAAAAATGTGAAGGCATTAGCCGACAATGCTAACAATTGACCGCAGCTGGCTTATGAACCCCTCATCACACCACTCGTGGCCCAAATGCAAGTGTACAGAGACACTGTCAGTCCCTCGTGGGTAGTGGTCGACGGGCTTGAGAACGTGAGCGAGATGGCCATTGTAGCCTTCGAGCTGATGACAGGGCGGCTGGCGCCCAAGAGACTTATGAAGGAGGTGTGCCGGAAGACCTGGGAGCAGCAAAAGAGAGAGATGTCGTCAATGTCCTGATTAGAGGGAAGACGCCAGTCCGTGGTCAGCGATGCCCACACGTCTCGCAGGAGCATCCTCATATCTGGAGGACATAGCCTGCCACATTTGGGATCTTCCGGGAGTTGGATAGCATATACCAACTTGCATGATGAGTTGCAAAAGCAAGTGAGCTACGCAACTGGATCCGGTAGGAATAGGAGGCCTGGGATGTTTTAAGAATTTAATAGTAGAAATTAGGAGGCTTGTGCAATTGACTGGTTCAGAGTTCACATGAGGCAACCATGCCATGAGCTAGCTACGTTTAGTTCTGGCAGACCTAACGCAAAGCCGGAGACTGTATATTACAATCGTATTGATTCACACGCATGTAACCTGTCAGTTATTGAATGGAAAGGGATTTCGACATGTCATAGCCTCTTGTGGGGTACGCCTTGTGGGTTGACTTCCAATAGGACAGCTTCACATAGGATAACCTGACATAGGACAGCCTGATATAGGATAACTCGCCTTCGGATAATCTATCATGGGATGTCCTCCTGTGGGATAAACTCTCATATTCTGTGGGCGATTCTGCTCTGGCATACTGTCTCATGGGAGACCACCCTTTAGGATAGCTTCCTACAGGATAATCTCCTGTGGGATAATCTCCCATGTTCTGTCGGATAACCTCCTCTGGCATACCTCGACTGTTGGTATACCCTCCTGTGGACTACGTTTTTCTGGCGGGAGGCTTATTTCGATTGGTTTTAGCTTCGACAGTTGGGCTCTGTTATGAATGGATTAGGCAGGGCTTCAGTCAGGTACAGCGACACGAGTTCTGGATTGGAGACGGATGACGGTGGCGGCAGCAGACTACACGGGGAGCGAGGCCTCATTGGGGCCAGCCTTCTCAGCGACGATGACGACGACGGGATCCAGGCGACACTGAGTGCACATCTATACATGATCGGCCTCCTGCAGAGTGTCGACTCGTCCTGCCTTTATGTTGTGCCTCGCCTCTCGTATATGATGGGTATTTCCGTATGTGGTGGATACTTTTCGTGTACACCACGATTTTGCGTCTTCGGCGCCGTCGCCCGGCAATATTTTTAGCCATCACTTAGATTTGCCCCTGGACAAGAACATGTATGGTTTAGAATTCTCGACAAATAGCCTGGCCCTTCCGGCCCCAAGAGGGTGATAATTTCCTAAATTGTCGTACATGTCCGTTGCAGTCGGTGGGTTGGGGCTGTGCCGCTCACACCCAATGTTCTCTCTTGTGATCTTTAACAACTGAGCTTCACAGGAATAATGATTTCTACTCAGTTTGACTACCACCCTCCCCAATGTTGTTCATCTCCTCTTTTCTTATTGCGTGCTTTATCTCGTAGCACATCTCTTAAACAGCCTGCGAAGAATCCTATGACGGCTGAAGTTTCCCTCAACTCACAAGACCAGTAATAGAAACACAAACAGATCATCAAGGACCGAAGGTGACTGATTGACTTATCCATAATCTAATCTTCTTATTCGGCCGCTGCTCGCATAATGGCCAGAGAGGAGGGAGCACCGGCACCAACAGAGAAGGATATTATACGCGCCCAGCGAGAGATATTAGCAGCCAGGGAGTCCCCGTCGGCGCCGAACTCTGCTTTCCCCGAGACTCCCACCGCCCCGAACGATGACCGTCTCGGTGCCGGGGCCTTCCCTGAGGCCCAGCCCAATCTCAGCCTGCCACCATACCCGGGCCTCCTGGTGGTGTACCCTGAGCAGCAGGAACAGCGGCCTGAACAACATCCACCTCCTCAGCCGCAGGAGTACCCAGGCCTCCCCCGCCTCGACTACCGCCTGTATTCGCCGCCGCTCTTCGAGCTCTCGTCCGACTGCACGACTATCAAGTCGACGGCGCCGTACCTCTCCAGCACGGTCGAGGCGCTCACGGCCCTGGTTCGGGCGCAGGCCACCATGCCCCCCAAGCCACAGGTCCACATCACCGGAAAGAGGGGGAGCAAGATCGACTTCGCAGTCAAGTTGAATCTGCTGCCCCTGCTCGTGCCCGAGGGAGGAACCGCTGGTGATGGGAAGCCCAGGAGCTACATACGCTGTATAGGATCGGGTGAGACGGCGCTGAGGGGCGGGACGAAGCCCGAGCTGCTGCCAGATCTGGGCGACCACGCCGGCCTGGAGGTGTGGGCTCGCAGGTTTATCAACGACCCAAACCATGTCAAGGCGTTCGTGCTGGAGCGCGTCGTGACGAACCTCGACACGGACTGGCTCTCCAGCCAGATCCGGATCCTTGTCAACCCATTAAACTGTACGTGCTGCTTTTCGTGTCCCTGACCAGTCCCTTGACAAACATGCCAGGAACAACCGAGAGGAGTATCTCCATATCATTGACACATCAAACAGACAAAGGCGTCGTCACGGTCTCGTTCCCAGTGACGCACTGCAAGGTGGTGGTGCAGAGCCCGGACAGGGTGAACAAGTTCTTCACGGGGATCACGACGCTCTTCTCGGGGAAGCGGACGTACGAGGTCGTCAAGGCGGTCTGGCCCTTCGCGAACCGCGAGAGGACCGAGCCCCTCGGCGGCCGCCGACGCGGCCAGCCCGCGGCGCTGCGTCGTGCAGAGCGAGGACCAGTGGTGGCGGGAGTGGGCGCAGCCCATCAAGTACGCCATCGCCACCAAGAGGCACGGCTGGGTCACCAACGAGGACAAGCTCGAGGCCATCATGGAGGGCAAGGGGGAGGGCCTGTCGTCTGTCGACTGGTCTGAGGAGTTCGACAGCACGCCGTGAGACGGCGGGCGTAGCAGCTAGAACTGTAAGATATATCGATGTTAGGGCAGGCGCTTGCTCTTCGAATGATACCAGAAGGATACTTAAAGTCGTGAGTATAGACCTCATTAAAACCTTGCGAGCGGCTTCGAAGAGTCGCCATCATATCTGTCTCGTTGAGAAGGCTTCGTCCCAAGATTCAACATGTAAGTCAAGGTAGTGTCATCCGCTCCATCTTATGTTTGGCTAAAACCCTTCTCGCCAGCTCTGCTATGTTACACGTACAAATTGGTCCGGACATAGCATCACTTCCTCTTCCATTGGTATTGTGCACTTGATTTCTATCTTACAAAGTGAAATCTGGGTATATCGCCTCGCTCGTGCTCCGTTCCAGAAAGCAAAACTGAAATGCACCTGGTCGACTATGACCGCCCAAAACGCCTGGCTTGTGAAAATACGCTCCATCTTATGAGACCTTGCGGTCTGAAAACAATGTGTATAAGTCTTCGGTGCACTTGTGGCAGCTTTACGATGCAGGTACGGACCCGGAGTATAGGAGGTTTTGGCGCGGCCGAGACTTGCAAGGCATAGGCAGGCGATGCGATGTCATGGTCTCATGCATGTTGTTGCGTGCTCAGCTCTGGGGACGAGCGTCGACCGAGTAACGCCTGCAGCCCTGATGCGTTGCGGACTTTTGTGGGAAAGTGAGGTCTCCATTTTTTGATTTGTGTAAGAAGCTTCCCTCCGGAACTCCAGCCTGGGCGTCTGTCCTTTTGACGCTCGTCCGCAGCGACATGGATCTTTTGACAGTACAGCAGTTCGTCGAGCAATGTGCGGAAATAAAGTAAGTTTGGTATGATGATGATGCTTGTAGTCCGCCACTGCAAATTTGTTCTCAATCTGGTTGTCTCCCGAGCCAAACAGCCCGATTTTCGCATCGCAAAACCACCCAAGTGTCGGTTAATGAAGACCCCGTCGTGTTGTGTTCTCGCTTGTACCTCTTCACATCTTGAACGACGGACCGTATGGGGGACGCTTCTAACGTCGAGGTCGCTTGTCTCGGTCGCTTGCCGGCACTTCCGAGATGTCACTCCTCCGCTTCCTGCCCGAGCTTCTCTCGTCACCTCTGGGATCTCGTCGATCATCACCCAGCCGTGCCGGCCCGTCTCTGGGCCCTTCTCTAGGCCCATCTCTTGGTCCCTCTCTCGGTCCACCGCGCATCGATCCACCTCTACTGTTACCACCCCATTCATCGCCTGGTCTTCCTCCATTGCCGCCATCGCCTCTGCTACTGTCACCTCTGCTATCGCCCCGATGTCGTGGTTCGCGACCGGAACCCGAAGCTTCCCTACCACCACCAGGTAAAGAGTCGCGGTTGCCACTTGTAGAAGCAGGTTCTCTTGCAGGCCGTCGAGGTTGGATCGGTTCATGATTAGGGTCGCGGATGCGATTGCTGTCAATCCCTGGTGGCAAGCCAGACCGGCGATCGTGGCGCTCAATCTGTTCATTTCCACGTGGGTCTTTTATATCCCGATCTCCGCGGGGGCTTCGTTCTCGCCCACTGTGACGGCCTGGCCTGTCGGGCCTTTCGCGATGATCCCTACGCCCACTCCGTTCGTGCTCACCTCTACTACCAGAGAAGTCCTCGTGCACATCGCTCCTCGAGTCACGAAGTGGCAGACCGCTAACGTCGTTCCCGGGCGCAGGGCGGTCCTGCGTCACGTTTCGCCGTATGGGGTCGGGCCGCTCCTGGACTGGGGTCGAGACTGGTGATGCGCCGGTAAGTATTTGCGCATCGGAATCTGGCATGCTCTGCCTGGGCCTACGGTGGTCACTATCCCGCTTGTTTCCGGGAGTGATATTGTCTTGAAGCTTCTCAAGCTGTCTTCGAATGCTGCCTCGCTGTCGCTCCTTGTTTGCGGACGGGCCCGTCGGGGCAGAGTGTGGGGCGTTTTGTTCCGCAACAGGGGTGTTCGGGTGACTAGTCTGCCCTTGACGGGACGCTGATGGTCCCGTAGGTGTGGCAACTCGGTCACTCGTATGAATAGGAGGCACCTGTGGACGTGAGTGCGAGGGTTCCCTCGGCGGCGGTGGTGGCGGTGGTGGGACGATGTGCCTCAGGCGATCCGGATGCATCGGCTGCTCGAATTGATGAGCGCGGTCGGAATGCAAGCCACCAGCAGGCATCGAGGGTTGGGCAGTCGAGGAGTTCGTCGCATGGTCAAACTGAGCCGACGGGCCTCTGCGCGGCCTAGATGACGAGGGCCCAGTTGGAGGTTGCCGGTCCGGCGATGGTGCCCGATTCGTATCTGGAGGCGGCATACGTCCATCAGACCTAGGACCTGATGGCATAGACGATATCCTGGACGAGTTCCTTGCGCCGCGTCCACGGGGCCCTTGAGGGGCTTCTGCTACCGTAGGGATTGGGTTCAACCGACCGTAATTCGGGTCCTGCTGGGCCGGCCGGCCGCGATCCGAATCATGGGACCGAGGTGGGCCATGGAATGACGAATCGCGGCTGCGCTCATTAGGCTGGCGATCCTGTTCCCGTGGTTGCTCAACATCTCGCGCTGAAGGTTGAGATGGCTCTGCGAGATGCCCATTACGACGAGAGTGTCGATCTTCACGAGCATGTCCTTCGGAGGTGGTGGTCACATTATACCTATCATCTCTCCTGGGGGACTGCGTGCGAGACGAAGCTCTGTCGCGCCCGCCATCCCTAGGTGAACGGGTCGAAGAGTGAGGTTGCTGTGCCTGCAGCAACGCAGCGCGTTGGGGGTTAATCATCTCAGCGCGATCCTCATTCTGAAGAAGAGCTGCTCTCTCGGGGTTAATAGGCGGCTCAGCTGGAGGCGTTTGTCCGGCTGCTGAGTGAGGTGGCTGGTTCGCCGAAGCATGCTCCCGAGGTCCTCGACTATCGCGACTAGATGTCGTAGGGGCACGATCTCGGGACGTTCGAGCCTCTCGGTCGATTGACATAGGCTCACCGCGCGTTGACTCACCGCGTGCTGGCTCACCCCTGGACGTCTCTCCTCTCGTAGGCTCCCCACGGCGCGGGGAAGGGTCGGGCCTGCTGGACCAGTCGCGTTCCGAAAGCCGACCTGGCTCACGAGACACGCGCTCGTTCGCTCGACGGTCTGGTTCTGGGTCACGTCGCTCCACACGACCGCTCTCTGGCTGACGGTGCTCCCTCGAGTCTCTGCCGTCGCGAGAGGGTTCCCTCTGCTCCCGAAGTTGATCTCGGAAACGATCTCTTGGATCCCTCGTCTCACGCGGCGGCTCCTTCTGATCACGGGCTTCTCGGGCTTCTCGTGGCGGGTCGCGGCGGTCCTGCCCATGTCCTTGCGGGAAAAGTTCTGGTCGATAGTGAGGAGGAATTGGAACTTCTGGGCGGCTGGGTAACCCGTGAGGCACTCTGTCACCTCTCGGAGCCGCAGTCGCTGTCCGTGAAGTCTCGCTGCGTCCACTAGAGGCGGGCAGGGGCGCTGGCGAAGGCACGACAATGTTTGACTTTGGTGTTCCCGGCCGACTGCCTGGCGCAGAGGCCCTATCCTTGAATGCCGGCTCTCTATGTGCGTCTCGATCTTGGCTCGGGGCATGGCGCTCGCTTCTCGTCTGACTGTCTGGAGTAGGGGCAGAGGTTGCTTTGCTGTCTTTTCCATCCTTGACTTCGCCGTCCTCGTCGTCTGCCGGCGGGGCAGATGTTGCACTGGTCTGTGTCAGTGATTTCATGTTGACTGGCTGCCGGGTATTCATTGGAAGCACTGACGTAGCAGGTTGTTGAGGCTTGAATTCTGAGGCTGTGGGACGCAGATCAGACTTCGTGTTTTGGCCAGACATTTCTACATCCTTCGGTCCGTCTTGCGGCATGCCAGACTGCTGAGAGTTAGTCCGCGCGAATGCCTGAGTTCTTGATAAGTTGCTCACCATGTTGGGGCGGAAAGCTGGGACAGCAACCCATTTGGACTCTCGCTTCTTTAGCATGGAATAGACGGTGAGAGCGGTGACGGCAAGATCAACACGGTGCCCTTCTTCTGACGAGCCTTTCGTGACCTCTTCGCGTGTCTTGATCTCGTCAAGCACCTTTAAGAGCTGGGTCCCCATGAAATTGACTGCCGGGAAGAAGCTTGAAACTGCCTTGAGAACTGTGAAGGCGTTCCTGATGTGCATCCACTCTTTCGTGCCTTGCAAGCAGGCTTTCAGCGCTACATTGAGGTTCTTATGCCACTCGTAGTGAGAATCTCGGAAGAACGGATGTTCAATGAAGCTTGTTGGATTGCCCTCGTCATCAACTGCCGTCGCGAACCCCAGAAGATTTCGTTTGGTTTTGCCAAATGCCTCTTTCTCATAGGCTGTCTTGTCGGCATGCCATCTGGCCAGATCCTCTAGTATGCACTTGATGAAGCGTCCCAAGTGCTCTGCTTCACGAACCGTGCTTGAGAATATCATTGCTCGAAGTCTGTTGGCGTTGAAAAATCGCTCGTAGAAAGAGAACAGCTTGAAGTTTGGCGTCTGGTTCTCGTGGAGGAACTTGATCATCCTGAAACAATATTCTGTGTCCAAGGACGAAACAAGGAGCCGGGGTAGAATGCAGTGTTCGAGCAGGGCGTCCGAAGTCAGGTTAGCCTCAGCAATGGTTCCAGAGAACCACGATTTAGACTGTCTCGCCAGCCGGAGCTTCGTCTTGTGGTACCGCTCGATGTGTACTGTCATTTCCTCGCGAATTGACTTTGCGAGGCCCAGAAGTGATTTCTTCTTCTCCGCTTTCTTGTTCATGCCCTGTCGGGTCAGATCAGATCGATCTTTCATGACGTCTTCTGCTTCCTTGTTGAGCCTTTCGTGTTCAGCCTCATAGTTCGACTGTGGAACGTGCAAATCACCTAGTGATAGCGACCAGAAAATAACGTAAAATTCTGGGCTTAGGTGTTGCCAGGTCTCCGGCGGTCGCAGGTCTTGAATAGTGTTGACGAGCGGCTGAAGAACATCAGCGATTGGGTCCGACTTTCGCGTGTCAGCCGTAGTAGGCGGCGATGGTGCAGTAGAGGTGTTCTCGTCCAGAGCCATCTTGTCCTCATTCTCGTCCTTCTCCGGATTGTCCTTGGTAGCCAGTGATTCAGAATCTCCATTCATGGCTAGATCACCATCTGCATCCGCGCCCTCTTGGGCGGGCTGGTTATCACCCCGGTCGTCCTTGGCGAGAGGTTGAGTGGCGATCTTGCTATTTGCCATGCGGTGTGCCAGGCTAGCTCTGCCGACCATGAATGCTAGATCCACATCCAGACCATACCCAACCATCAATTCGATTATGCCCGGGATATTGGCGTCGAAGAGATCGGGTGTCAAATTGCTGCGCAAGAAATCGAGGTACTGTACCAAGGCCTGGTGTACTTCGTCCATGATTGTGGCCAAATATTTCACATGTGCTTCTTCCTCGGGCAATTTGTAGAGAGCCGATTGGCGGTACTGGGCCAGATTTACCAAAAGTCTCCCGGCGAGCTTGGTATCCATCAAAGACTGCACAAGGCGTTCCGCGCCATGCACGGATACGTCTCTGCGATCTCCCAGACTTATGAGTGCTTGTCGACGGAGAACTTCGCCGCCTGTCATGGCTCGCATTTGAGCGTCGGTGAAGTCAACATCAGGCACCACGCCGGCCATTGTTGAGATGAGCTCTCGAAGAATTACCAGGTCTGTGGAATTGCCCTTGGACAGTTGGTTGTTAACGTACTGCAAGACAGGCAACGGCTTCATGTGCTGGTATCGCTTGAACACCTTCCCGGAGAATCTTGAGAGAGCCTGGAGCCACTTGCTTGTGAGCAATACGGACGTTTCCTGGGTTCGGCTCCTGGCTTTTCCGCCTAGAGCACTCATCAAAGACCAAGTTAGGACATCGTAACCTAGGTCAGTAAGATATCGAGCGCACTCGACGAAAGCCTCGATCAAATTCGGGTATGCTTCGATCTGGTCGAAGGCAGTCTTGAACACCACACCCGGAGATGCGTACGCAGTCTTGGCTAGTTTCTTGGCCATTGTAGACAGGTTCTCCAGGGAGAGTCGCTTGAGAATGCCGTTGGTCTCTGATCTGGTTCTTGCGAAAGCCGACTTGATCCACGAATTACGTGAGGTCTGGCCCTGGAACCACTCTGCGTAGATGTTGTACCGGGTGGTAATTGGATACAGCTTCAAAAGATCCCAAACAGCCTGGACAGCGAACGAGTTGGCTTCAGTCATGCTCAGAGCAGGAACCAGCAATCGCTTCAATAGATCTTGCCAACGTCCCATGTTCTCGGGAGACTGATCCTGGGCCAGGCTCGCAGCTCCGATGGCGGCAATTTTGGACAGTAGCGCCGCATCCTTGCCGATGTTCACTCCTGAGAAATTCATGAGTGTGTCGCATAGCGTTAAGACATCCTCAATCGTTTGGCAGACTGGAATGTTGTCGGCCCAGTCATCCCAGTAACATCGGTACAACGTGTTGTCCTTCTCGCCTGCTGGATGTGGCCAGCGAAGTGGCCGCTTGGGAGTGGACTGGGTAAGCCGTACGGATCCCTTCGAAACCCCTCCCTGATCAATATCTGGCATTCTCTTCAGTGGGATCTCCAAGTTACTGCCAAGCTCGCCGGATGTAGTTCTAGTCTCTTCGAAGACTTTCTGTACCGAATGCGAAATTATGCGGTTGATGAGCTTGAGAAGCTCTGGAAAGGCTTCCGTCAGCCACGGAAAGCGGGTCAAGACGAAGAGGGCATCCGGAAGTGCGCCGAGAGTGAGAAGCTCAGTGACCAATGAGAACTTTTGATAGTATTCAGGCTTGCCTTTCTTCGCCGGCTCGGTGGTGGGTTTGGTCTTGGTCTCCGTAACGACCTTGCTCGGTCTTGGCGCCTCGGGCTCGTCAGAAGGTAGTGCTCCGGCCATAGCGAGAGCACCACGGCCTCTGCCGGTCTTCGCCCTCTCCTCCTCCTCAAGGATTTTCAATCTCTTGTCTCTGACATCTGTGTGCATTTCTTCATCAGACGGAGCAAGATGCGGCCACAGGTCAGCTAGTGAGATGAAGCCTATCTTGATAAGCAAAGCTGTCATGAAGAAGAGGTTGGCAGGAACCACTTCTTCGCCCGCAGCCTTGGACTCGTAGAACCTCAACTTGAACCCTAGCAGCTGTGCAGCGACTCTGTTGCCCTGTGGTGGAAAGGTTTTGGTGGTCACCATCCACTGCGCCGTTGGGTCGAGCAGAGACATGGCGTCGTCAGACTCCGTGTTGGCATCGAGGACAGCCTGCAAACGATTGAGCTCGGCATCCTCGACTTGCCGCCCACCAAGTTCAAAGTAGGCGTCAAGGTGCGCTTCACGGGCCCTGTCCCAGAATCGAACATCGCGCTGGCGGCGCTGTTCCGTGATGACGACTTGTTCTTCCGCACTAATTGTCCAGTGCGCTGACTCCGGAAGCGCCCATTTGGGGAGCCCTCCCAGAGCATTGGAAGACTTGGTGTGGCTGCGTGGCCACCATGAGCTGATTCGGAGGAACTTGACGAAGAAGCGGTTCTGCTTTATGAGAACAGAAGCAAAGACGTCGAGCGTTACATCGAGGACGCGCCCAACATCCAGATCGAACGTTCCAATCAGACCTTTCACCCGCTCAAAGGCGTTCTGGATAGCTTCTGAAGTCGGAGGTTCGGTGTTAGAGGTTGTGAAGAGCTCCGTGGCAAGCTTCGCATATCCTTCGGTTTCCTCCCGCAACAGATTGTAGTTGGCCTGTTTGTAAAGGATGTTGGTAGCTTGTCGGATCCCCATCTTGGTGAATGTTTCGCGAATAAGTCCTAGTTGCTCTAGCAGAGCCGGTTCTAGAACAGTCCGCATCAGCGCCGGATCGACGCCTGTGGCGACCAAAAAGTCACGTATGTTCGCATTGTAAGAGCCAGATCCGACGTCAACGTAGATTGCGAGGGTGTCGAGGAGTAGGGTGTGGGTGTCGAACGCGCGAGGGTTGGTGTCTGCATCTCCAGGTCGAGTGCCGATGATTTGCTTGACGATCTCGCCAGCTTCCGCTGATCTCAGGCGAAAGTCGAGACATGACTGTACAAGCTCCTGGAATATTGTTGAAAGCTCCTGGACATCTTCGTCGTTCCGTGATTGTATTCCATGATCTACCACTTCTTGGCGGCCATTTTGTGACCAACTGTTCAGCCGAGCATCCGTCACGATTTCGTAGTGGAACCCTGACTGCACCGGGGAGGGCAGCGCTGACGAGGGCAAGTTGGATGCCATTTTTGTGTTCAATGGTGCGACGGCAGGCTGGGAGGAAGCGCTAGAAGGTCGCGGCATGGTGGGAGAGTTCAGAGGTGAGCCAGCAGCCGGCGCGCCTGAAGAGGCAGTATTCTGAAAGGAGTCGCGACGCTCGTTACGGCGCGTCAATCTGCCACCAGCACCAGGCCGATTTCTGTCGTGTTGGCCGAGAGGAGTGTTGTCAGGACGGTGAGGCGAAGGCCGGCCGCTGCCCGAGTCGTTAACCCTCTTGCGCTTCGGGCCCATCTTCAAGTCGGCACCTGCTATTGCTGTACCATTGACGCTAGCAGGCTATGACAGACGGGAGTCAATCTGAACAAGTTGGTGGTGAAAGAGACCAAGCGGCACGCACGGCTCAGGGCGGGGTGCGGTGCTTTGTCCTAGCGCAATGGTCCGCGAGCTGGTGTGCGTGGTGGACGTGTCGGGCGTGTCGGGCGCGAGGTGAGAGATGTCTCGACGACGCTGCGGAGGGGGGAATGAAAACGGCGGAGGAAAGAAGGTCAAAATAAGCGCGATGAGTGGGAGAGACGCTGGTCGCGGAAAAGGTCCAGCGTCGACGTAGGGAGCGGCATCAAGGAGGACGGCAATCGAGGTTGAGAGTTGTCCTCGTCCTGCAGTTGGCAGAGCTTGGGTGAGGCTCTATCGCAGGTTGCAGTTCACCTGGCAGTTGCTCACCAAAATCGACATCCGAGCTCAAGTGGAGCCTGCCGTGGAGCCTTCCTTGCCGGTCGCTGACGACCAAATGAGGCTAGCGCGGTTTGGGCTTTGCGCAGTTACGGACCGAGGTGAGCTACAAGGGACTTTCTTAGACCACATTAGAGTGACACACTGCGACCAGCCTGCAACTGATCGCCTATCACTAGGTGAGGCTTGTCTACGATTTCTTGACTTGCCGTTGAAATGCTCTATGAAAGCAATATAGATTTCCTTGCAATACACACTGGTTAACTTGGTGAAGGATGCAATTGTTTCAATCAACTTCCTTTCAAAGAAAATACGATGCTGCAGGTTACCGGGGTACATGTACCTGGCTGCCGGGGCCCCACCCGCGACATCAAGTACCCAGGTACCCGACTAAGAGAATGAATGACTCTTCAAGCTTCAGATCCCAGGTCTTTTGCTCCTCATGACTCTGCCGCTTCTTGTACAGTACTCGGAACTAATTGCGAAGCTAGTTTGTTCGCACCTCTTTCACTCTCTCTCCGAACTCTACGGCCGGACGGGCATTGGGTATTTTTCATTGGGCGCTGGTCTCTGGTATCGACTTGGACAACGGCACCGGGAGACAATGACCTCAGACGCCACAAACGGCCAGGCCGAAAGCGGCAGATATGGTGAGTTATGCGCCCAACACCCACACATCATCGCATCCAGGCCCGCCATGGCATCAAGCTGTGCCCGAAGACCAGGGACTGATTACGTCCAAGAAAGAATCACTTCGCAGGCGGAGAACCCGTTCGCGAGTTTGATCCCAGACCAGCAGATTGCTGTCATACCGTCTTTCACACTTGAATCCGGTGTCACACTCCAGCATGTGCCTGTTGCGTATACCACCAAGGGCAAGCTGTCTCCCAACGGGGACAACGCCATGGTTATTTGCCATGCCTTGACAGGAAGTGCCGATGTCAGTGACTGGTGGGGCCCGTTGCTTGGTGGCCACGGGAGAGCCTTCGATGTGTCGCGCTTCTTCGTGGTCTGTATGAACAGCTTAGGTAGTCCTTACGGCACCGCCAGCCCGGTGACAGCCAAAGATGGGAACATGGACAGCGGCAGATATGGCCCTGAGTTTCCCCTCACCACAATTCGCGATGATGTCCGGTATGTCCTTGTCGCAAGATACTTTCAACTGGCCAGCACTGACACCGCATCAGCCTCCATAAGCTCCTCCTTGACGACCTGGGTGTCAAGCAGGTGGCCGCTGTCGTTGGTGGGTCCATGGGTGGTATGCTGGTCCTCGAGTGGGCTTACTTCGGAAAGGACTATGTTCGCTCGATCGTGCCCATCGCGACGTCAAGCCGACACAGCGCCTGGTGCATCAGCTGGGGTGAAGCTCAGAGACAGAGCATCTACGCCGACCCTAAATACGACGATGGATACTATTCCTTCTCTGATCCGCCGACCACTGGACTCGGAGCTGCGAGAATGTCAGCTCTCTTGACATACCGCAGCCGCAACTCCTTTGAGACTCGCTTCGGCCGGAATATCCCAGATCCCTCGAGACGCCAGACAATCAGAGAGATCCCGCGGCCAAGCACACCATCAGAGGCTCACTTCAATATCCACAACGACGGCCACAAGATCAACCGACCTGTGAACTCACGGAGGGCCAGTCAAAATAGCCAGGGGGGCGACGGTGGCCGGGTACAAGCCAATAACGATGCGGCTGAGCAGGCATCAGACCCCCAGTTCCATGGGCCAAAATCTGATGGTCTCACCGGCAGCGACAAAGTGCCGACCTCGACCTACTTCTCAGCTCAATCTTACCTTCGATACCAGGGTAAGTGTATCCCTCCAGCATCTCCCCTGGATGTCACGCTGATCGTGTCCCGCAGGAGAGAAATTCGTCAAGCGATTTGACAGCAACTGCTACATAGCAATAACCAGGAAGCTCGACACACACGATGTCTCGCGGGACCGGGCGGCCAACATCCCCGAAGCCCTGGCCCAGATCGAGCAACCCGCACTCGTCCTAGGCATCGAGAGCGATGGTCTCTTCACATTTGCGGAGCAGCAGGAAATCGCAGAGCACATCGGCAATTCGAGGCTCGGGAAAATCGACAGTCCTGAAGGTCACGACGCCTTCTTGCTCCAGTTCGAGCAAGTCAACAAATACATCCTCGAGTTCCTCCACGAGGTGCTACCCGACATCATGCAGAAGGGAGGCAATGCCGCGGTCGCGGAGGCTTCCGTTGGTCAGCTGACCAAGAGCAGCACCTTTGGCGAAGCCGAAGTAGAAGACATAACTGCGTGGTAACATCGGTCTGCATGCGGTCCCGAGTGGCGCCTGAATCATCTGGGAGGCGAGCCAAAGTGCGGGTGATTTAACATGTTCAACTCGTGTACAATCAGCGAATATTTGGGTTCAGGGGGGGGGGGGGGGAATTGCATACAGGCTGGTGCGTTTGGCGTTCGACTCGCCCGTTCTGGCTTCGGGGTCAAGATGTGTTTTCATGTGTTCAGACAAATGATTTCCAGGAGGCAAAAGTGCTACATCTCACCCATACATAGGCTAGCGAATCCAATTGCTTCGATTCGCCAGAGCGACGGGCTCCATGGCGAGGAGCCTCGTTTCCTTCTGCGCGGTTGGCCGGCTCATCGTTACCCAGTCAGGCCTGGTCAGACTCTAGACGTTACGAGTCGACAAATGGCGATGTACTCCGTGTACAAAGTACCCTCTTATAAATCTTGGAGTTTAAACTTTCCCAATGTCTGGGACGATGTGGATGCAGGGGCAAACCTAATAACCTGGTCCACGTCGTACTGGGTCTGACCACACAGCGCCCATGTTCCGGACGAGAGCGGAGACACGATAACTCCGGTTGGGCTCCAAGGTGAGAGCAGTTCTGAGCGGCACCGTCGACCTCAGCTCAGCCCTGCCCGCCGGCCAGAAGTTGTCCGCCAGGCTGTGGCGACGTCAACGAAAAAAGGGGGCCAGGCTGCCAACGTCGTACTTCTAATGTTTCGGCGAGCAAGCAGATTGCCATGTTAAGAATTGGGCCCAATGGGAAAGCAGAGCATGTGGTTGGCAGGCCCTGAGCGGCATCCCACGTAAGACTCAGGGAGCCCGCGCTACCGGCCTGCCTTGTCGGTGATGGTTGCACGATACGACTTCGCCGCACGCTACTCCAGCAGGCAGTAGTACACTGGCCATCCCACACTCGTTCCACCCCAGCCAGCCTCATCAACCCGCCTACACGAAGGAGAATCCTGGAGGCTCGTCTTGTCCTCCCGCAGAACCTCCCACTCTTCCGGCATGATCTGCCAAGCACGGGCGATGGGGGATTTGATTTGCAAGAACCTTCTTCGCTCGCGGGTAGCCCTACGTCGGCCGTGCGTTTCTTTCTGACGTCTCAGCATTTGCTTAGCATTACAAAAAAGCACATGCTAGTGCCAGATACCTGCCCGTTACGCAACCTGCCTTTCCCATGTGCAGACTAGCTCTGCATCATCAGCGTCAGCCCGCCCGCCCCATGCCGGGAGAGTCCGCAGGGGGTCCTCGCAGCAGCGCACCCGGGAGCTTATAAGCCGACCAAGCCGTTAGCCCTCGCCTCCGCCCGCCTCCTGGGGCCTTCTAGAACTCTTCTGCACTCATCTCCCAAGAGCCGGGCGACGTCAAAGCCTCAGATCGCCTGGGCTCTTTTATCTCTTGAGTATCATTTCGCCAAGGTCGACTCCGATCGAGTCGAGGCGAGCGAAACCCAGAGTAATATTCCGTTGACGAATTCGCATCCATGGAGGGTGCTGCACCACGGCGGCGGCTTGTACAGTCGAATTAAGACCGAAAATGGAGATACTGCCCGGGCCGACGACTACGACGGCGGCCCACCAACGGACACATGGGGGCAACAATGCATTCCACAACTTCGGTGTGTTTTGCCGCTGTCGATGCAATCACGGTGTAAATCTAGCTTGCCAAGACTAATATGGCATAGCAAATGACTACTCGCATATACAAGATCCCAACCTGCGGAGGAGGCTCGCGCTGTCTGAGATCGACAAGACGCCATTTGGTTCATACCGTTCGTCTCTCCCGCACCCATGTTTCCTCACTTTGTTTTTATTTGAATCCACTTGCGTGTGACACATGCGTGGGCCTCGGGCATGTCTTGGGTTACTCAAAGACATTGTTCGGGAGCGAAACAACGGGATGGCCGAGCAGCTCGGAATACCCTCCTCTTTCAGGCACAGAACAAGACCAATGGTCGCTGACCCGATACGACAGATGTGAGAGCCGTGTTGATAGCCGGAGTCGGTTTCCTGATCGACAGCTATCAGATCTTTTCCATAAATCTCATCACAATTTTCCTGGGCCTAGTGTTTTGGCAGGGCTCTCCCGAGGACTCACGAAATGGCTTCGGCGGCAACAACGGACACCTTCCAACGACGGTCAACCAGGCTCTGAAGGCCTCGACGAGTGCGGGCATAGTTATCGGCCAGATACTCTTCGGATGGCTGGCTGACTACCTCGGGCGTCGGAAGATGTACGGCGTCGAACTTGGCATCATCTTGGTGGCCACAATGAACTTCGCGTTGGCGAGCCCAAGCCAGTCGATCAACTCGACGGCTTTGCTAACGTTCCATCGCATTATTATGGGAGTTGGAATTGGCGGAGATTAGTGAGTGACTGTCTCAAGTCCTACATAGCAGTTTCCTTTTTGGGCTGTTTCTTGCCTGAATCCCCCTTCTCTTCCGGCTATACGTACGATATTCTCTAACCTAAATAAAGCCCTCTATCATCCGTCATCACATCCGAATATGCGCCCACACGATTTCGAGGCGCAATGATGGCAAGCGTGTTCTCGATGCAAGGCTTTGGCCAACTGCTGGCTGCGGTCGTCGCACTGACAGTCACGGTCGCCTTCAAGGAGTCTTTCATCGGCATCGCAGATATTTCCGATTGTGACTTGGGCTGCCAGATTGCAGCCGATAGGTGCTGGCGCATAATCGTCGGCGTGGGAGCGCTACCAGCAGTCTTTGCGCTGTATTACCGGATAACCATCCCTGAGACACCGCGTTATACATTCGATGTTGTCCATGACGTGGAGAAGGCGGACAGCGATATCAACTCTTTTTTGAGCAAGTCCAAGGGAGAGCTCGATATTGTGCGGCAGGCTCGTCTGCTAAAGGTCGCTGGGCCCTCACTGGCGACGCCGGCGGCTTCTTGGCGGGATCTGGGATCGTATTTTGGACGTTGGAAGAATGCGAAGGTGCTACTTGGCACAACACTCAGCTGGCTCTTCCTCGTAAGTAACTGCGCCCGTCGCTGCTCTCGGTCTGCCTTGACTAACTCCCATTTAAGGATCTCGCATTCTACGGCCTAGGCCTGAACAACTCGATTGTTCTCTCAGCAACAGGCTATGTCAATGGTGAAACCCTCTACCACAAACTCTACAACAACGCAGTGGGCCTCATAATATTATCCGTTGCCGGCTCCTTGCCCGGCTACTGGACCGCGATCTTTACAATCGACACCATAGGCCGGAAACCCCTTCAGACCGGCGGCTTCCTGGTCCTCACAATACTCTTCTGCATCTTGGGCTTCGCCTACCACCACCTCAACGCGGGCTCCATGTTCGCCCTCTACATCATCGCCCAGTTCTTCTTCAACCTGGGCCCCAACACAACCACCTTTATCGTGCCAGGCGAGTGCTTTCCTACACGCTATAGGGCAACAGGTCACGGGCTGTCGGCAGCAGCGGGAAAGATTGGCGCCATCATAGCCCAGATCATATCCCTCCCGCTCATGACCAAGAGGGACGACGGCAGCGCCGACCTGGACACCCTGCTGCAGATATTCGCGCTCTTCATGCTCTGCGGCCTCTTCACATCCTTCCTCATCCCCGAGACCAAGGGGCTCACGCTCGAGGAGCTGGCCGGCGAGGCCCCCACGAGCTACAACTCGGGCCGTAACGGGAGCATCTCCTTTGATGACGCGGCGCACCTGCACCGGCGCTGGAACCCCTTCGCCGGCGGGAAGCCCGCCGGGTTCACATACTCGCGCTCCAAGGGCGCGAGGGCGGCGTGGAGGGCGTCGGACCCGGAGACGTGCAAGCCGGCGCCCGTGAGCAGGGACTGGTGGAGGAGGGCGACCAGGCGACACGGGTCCGGCGGCGGCGGGCATCACAGTAGTGACTTCGGGATGAGTAGCAGCACCTCGTCGACGAGGATGATCGGTGCTGAGCGTCCCATCTCTCCGCCACCAGGCAGTGTCCCTGCTTGGAACGCGGGCTGGGGCAGAATTGACCGAGGCCGGCCACCGGATAATATAATGTTGGAGGATGTAGGGGGTCTCGTCGCTAAGTAGACAGATCACGATGCTACAGGGGCAAACGGTGACGGTCACTTACTATCTGTCAATGTTTTCCAAATTCGATTTCTTTCCAGCCCAAGGAAGCAAAATGCCAGGGACTTTCTGGGACTCTTTCAGAGTGTCATTGACCCCAATTCGCAAATTGCGAATAACGCATCTTGTGTCTTCAAGATTCACACATGACAGCCAGATGAAGCCTCTTTGAGTTCAGAGTCATTTTCATGGCTTAGAGATTTGCAAATAATTGTATTTCGAGACCGAAGGTAAGAAGTAGTGGCCGAACCCGTAATGTACACACACCCCGCTGATGCTTGCTGCCTAACAAAATAAAAATCAAAAAGAAAAAAAAAATCAACAAAAAAGAAGAGTGCTCTGTTGGCTCGTAGGGGTATTTTCCGTACTGTTTTTCCTTGAAAGATACTCAGCCGCCCGCCAGTCCGTACCTTCCCTGCCTGTAATTAAGCTTTCTTGCTGACAACCGACTTCAGCACCTCCAACTTCTCCTCGGTTATCCTGATTGCTTCCTTGACTTCACTCTCGTCCATACGATCTTCTCTCAGCTTCTCGGCCATGGTGCGAGGCTCGACCACCTTCTTCCGCGTGTGCATCTCACCGCTGTTCAGACGGTCCATACCGACGCGCTCTTCGAGCCACTCCCAGAGCTCGCTCTCCTCGCGCCGCCACATTTCTTCATAGGCCGCAAGTCGATCGGGATAGCCGTAGAAGCCAAGTTCAGAGCCGTAAGGTCTGGCGATTGGCCTCGGATTGAATCCGAACCCGAACCAGGCGGCGACGAGCAGGCCAACGAGCAGACCGTAAACAACATTTCCTGTGAGAATTGGCTTGACAATATCCACCACAGGTCCCAGAATGCCATGCAGCGGCTCGAGAATGCCCCAATCTTGCTTGGAAGAAACCTTGGTGGCATCCTCAGTATCGCTAGTGACGTTCGAGACTGCGGCTGCCTTGCCCTTCTTGCCCTTCTTCTTGCCCTTTCCGGCCCCGGCGGCGAGCGGCTGGCGGGCTTTCGACGATACAGCTGCTTTGAGGCCTGCGAAAAGGTCCTTGCAGTATTGTGTCTGGCCTTCATTGGCGCCGTTCTCAATGGGACCTATCTTGAATTAGCTTATATTGTCCAAGACCGCAGAGCGTTTGCATGGGAGTTTGCTTTACCTTTCAGCCAACTTTTGCCAGTCCACTCCACAATACAGTTGATTTGGACCCGTGTCGCATTGTTCTCGGCCCAAGAGAGACAGTATTTCGTCTTGACGCTGAAGACATTGCCACTCGGAACGTCTGGGTTTTGCGTGCTGACCAGAACGTTGACAGACTTCTCGAGGTCGAGGTTCTCCAGATTTTCCGACACAATACACTTGGTCTGTTTCGGGCCAATGGAGCCACTCAGCGGCTTGATATATGTGTAATTTCGTGTTCGGTTGTCCAGAGTGAGCCCCTTCTTGTCTTCGGATTGTAGATCTGTACACTTCTGGTCTACAGTGAGCCATTTCGCCATCCACGTAACTGCGGTTGGACCAAACATCAGGTCATAGACCTTTCCGAGGGGTGCTGGGATGACATCGTCTCCCACGATCTTCTTGTAATGCGCGTCAGCATCGCCGCAGTCCGTAGGGGAGTGTGTAGCTGGACCAGGGAAGTCTTGGCTGGGTGCTCCTGCCGGCGCATCCTTAGGCTTGTCATTTGGTAGACTAGCAGTGACAGCTCCCGAGGGCTTGCGAGAGACAGACTTTTCCAGAGCAGACTCGAGCAGTGGCGGATCTGCAATCTGGCTTGGTTCAGGGACATCATCGTCATCCTCGTCCTCGTCGTACACATCGTCCCCGTCGTCACTTTCGTCCCCGTCCCCGTCCTCATCGGCAGAAGCAGAGGCGCTTTGATCGTTGCCGACAATGGACTGCGAATCGACCTTCTCCGTCTTGTCGCCACCTGTCTCATCCAGGCGCACACCATTGAGGGAGCTCTGAAGTTCGGGGTGGCCAAGCTTCCAGATCTTGACGATCAGGTCGTACGTGGAATCCCGGCTCGTGAAACTGGCAAAGATGTGTTTTGCGTGAAGCGTAGAGATCATCAGCCCATTTTTGAACAGCAGAGCTGTGCTTCTCTTCTCGACAGACACAATCTCATCAAAACTCATGACCAGCGTGGTGACCCAGCCGAGGATGTTGCTGCTGAAGCACAGGTGACCTTCAGATACGTACAGTCGTCCGTGAGCCAAGATCTCGCGCTGCAAAGCACAGCTGTAGTCTTCAATTAGGTAGTCATCGTCTGGGACGCTCTTGAACAGCACATGGAAGTCCCGGTTCCGCTTCTTGCTCGCGACCGCAAACCCAGTAAGTTTCGGCGCGTTAGACAAGTTGCCTGGCTGTGACAAAGCAGCATTGGCAGAGGCGAGAGCGGCGCCTATCGTGTTGCCAGTGCCTGAGGTGCCTCCAGTGCCGTTGGTGCTACCGCGTTTCCTGTTGTGGCGGCCAATGGCGCTCCTGATACTGCCGCTCCGATGTATACCAGTGCTTTCCTCGTGCAAACTCCCCGGTGGTGGCGTCTTGTCACCATGCGACGGCGGCTCTGAGCCCTGATAGACAGACTGCGGTCTCTGCGTATCATCCCATGGGACCTCGCCGCTGGTCTTAATAGGCGTCGCTTCCGCGGGCGCAGACTCTGATCGTGACCTGTTGACATCGATTTGTTCTGGAAAACTCGGCTTTGTGGGCGTGGTGGCCCTGGCGGTCGGCTCGATGCCCAGGTGGCTCAGGCTGAGGTCACCCGTGCCAAGGGTCTTGACGGCAGGCTCGTGCGACTCCATCGCTTTGCCAGTAGATACCTCGACGGAGGACTCGACCTCGACCTTGTCGTCGTCAACTCGGCTACTCTGCACGCTCTGTGCGGGGTTTAAGCCTCTGTTCTTCGTGACACCAGGGCTGATGTTAGTGTTCTGAATAGTGCTGGTAAGAGTATTGGCGGCGTTCTGCGCGGCGGAGAGCACAGATCCAAAGAACCCTGAAGCTGGGTTGGAAGGCGTGGGAATGCCGTTCTCGGGGGTTGGCGTAAGTGGCGCAGGGTGGATGGTGGACAACTTGCTGGGCACCAGACTTGCTGAACCCGATCTGCCGCGTCTCTGGCCCAGTCCAGGATCCTCAGCAGGGGCGGTGCTCTGCGGCGGAGATTGAAGCTTGGGTAGCTTGGGTTTGGTAGAGTCGGTCGGCGTTGGAGGGGTGTTGACAATGACTGGAGTGCCCTGTTCCGAAGCACCAGGAGTTCCGGGCGGCGTGCTTGTGACGATCGTTTGGCCCCTAGAAAGGCGACGAAAGCGCTCCGCTGAACCTCTTTTCTGCTGTTCGTCCCGCTCTTCTACAGCAGCATGCTTCAGGTCCGAGTCCGAGTCGGTCGTCAGATCGGTCTTGGGAGGATCGGTAAGCTTAGGGGCATCGGTTATGTCGGAGGACAGCCTTGGGCCTGCGGTCGATGGCCGCCTCTCTGGGCTAGATGCTCCACTCCCGCCCCCGGACAGCTTCGAGGAGCTTTTTTTGGACCTGAATACCCCCTTGAGCCGTCCCACAGGTGAGGGTGATCTCCTGCTGGACTGCGATGATGGAGGTGCAAGTCCCACCGGGTTTGGGGACCCAAAAGGGTCGGGCTCTCCTAGATGATCCGTGGTGACTGAGCCTTGGGAAGGCTGGGAGCCTTGCTGGTAGTATTCGGATTGTATGAGGGGGTTGTTGGTGGTCAGGTAGCCGATCTGGGACGGGTGGTTCGAGATCACGGCGGGCCGTTCTGTAGCGGTGCTGTGGTGGGAAGGATCAGTACCAAGTAAAGAGAGGCCGGCACGTTGGCCGGTGGGAGCTCAGGGGGGTAGCTCGAGAGCGGACTGGGTCCAGATGGAAGGGCTGAGTGAGAGGGACAAAGGAAATTGGCAAGGATGGCTATTTTGGGCTGGGGGCTCGTGAAAGAAGAGAGTAATAATGGGCAGTTGTGAGGGTCATTGCAAGTGGCACAGCAATGGAGACCGCAATAGACGGGGTCAGCTCCGGCCAGGCCCTTATTAGATTGCTGACGGTGCTGGTGCTGGTGCGTGTGCGTGGGCGTGGTGCGGCGTATTGCGTATTGGAGTCGGCGGCGGGCTTGGAGGAGGATCGGCTTCTGTGATCTCTCACCCTTCCTCCTGCGAGTAGGGGTCAGGGGGGCATTTGGGGGGGCCCTGAGGGGAGAGGGGACGAGGGGCCAGCGTGTGGGAAAGTCTCAGGGGCGGCGCTAGGAGCACATCGCAGTCGCAGCATCAAGATGGGCAGCCCCACGGATTGGCATTTGGGGTCCAGCGCAATTCGCACGCGCTGCGCATGCTGCAACCTCTGGCAGGGAGGGCCGGCGAGCTGGACCTCTCAGGCCTCAGACCTCAGATCTCAGACTTCGGAGGCTCTCGCACAGAGGCTGTCGTGCCGGGATGTGCCTCCGAACAAACCTCGGCCATGCGACGGGCCATGCGACGGTACCAGAGTCTGGGGCAACACCGAGGCGGCAAGGTGCAGTGCAATAAGGAGACGCTGATATAGGTAGGCTGGTTGCCACTTACAATTCGAGGTCTTCTGTGTCGCAGGATGCAAGGCTGGGATCCTCGTCCTGTGCCTCCTTGTCGGCCGAAACGTGGTAGACGACAACCGGGGACGTGGGACCATCGTCGGCCTGGCTGTCCCCAAGCACGTCAGACGTGTGGCTGCGTCTGATGCTGGACCGCCTGGACCGTCCTCGCGACAGCGACACCGTAGCACTATCACTGCCAATGCTGCTGCCGTCTGCATCCCTATCAGCAGCATCCGCGTCCACGGACCCTCGCCCGCGTCTGAGGGACCGTGACTTTCTCAGCAGCTTTCCCAGCGTCCTGTCCGACATGTCGGGCGTGCCCGGTGGCTTGAGCCTGGGCCTGAGATGGTCTAAAAGTTAAAACTTCCAAGCCGTTTCTTCCAAAGGATGGTTCCTCTGTCGGCTGGGGATCCCTTCGTTTGCTCGTCGCGGCATTCAGTTTCTCGAAGCCGTGCCAGGTTGCGCCCACGCGACTCGCAACCGCAGACTTGGGCATGCGCAAGGTGAGTCGAGTCAACAAGGTTGGTGGGTATCGTGTCGGCTTGAGGGTCCAGTCCAGGTCGACGTCATGGCAAGGCATGTACGAGTCCAATGGTTACGAGCAGGTCACCCCGTTGTGCTGCCCAGTGAGGATGTTGTGAGACGAGTCTTTCCTCACGTTGCTCGCGATGTTCTCGACTAGGGTAGTGGTGATGAGAACTGAATTGTTACAGACGACAATAAACGTCCTCGGAAAGCTGTAGCAGACGGAGGAGACTGGTGTGTCTGTCTGCTGCCCGCTTGTCTATTACGTCCATGAAAACACCAACAATGTTGGAAGATGAATACGAAGGGATTCTGCTCCAGTGTGTGGCGACCGGGACGCCGGCTGCGACGGCTTCGGGACAAGCCACCTACCAATATTGTCTTCATACAGTCTGGCGGGCAGCACAATAGTCCAGGTAGGTACGTAGTCTAGGCCCGGGGAGGCTGTCAGCAAGGTACCTAGTTAGGTATGCTGTATGTGCCGAGCTGGCTCAATTTTTTTTGTTTAGGCTAGAGGCAATGGCAATCTCATGGTCGGCAATGTTTCACTTCGTCATCTTGTCGTGGTTGGCACCGAGACAAGACTCCCAAGGTTCCATCATTGTTCCCCATAGGCTTAGGCTTGGTCAAGTGGTGCAGGTTAGCATCACCAACAAAGCAGGTACCCCCAGCAGGGCCTGGTGGAAGGAATGGAAGCTGCTTGGCCCCTGGGGCAGGCATCCGGACCAGAAGCTCCGTCCAAATCGGGTGCCGATAACCCGCGACATCATCCCGCCAGTCTTGGTCTGTACAACCCATCTGACAAGACTCAACTCATCATCGCCGGTCAACAACTTGCCATGCCTTTGATACACAACTCTTGAACCTCACCACAAGCGTACCGCGAACGAGAATCTACGACTAAATCCACTCAGCGTCCTCAAAACGGGTCGGCCACACCTGCTCAGTTGCCCAACCGCGCGGGCGCATGTGTAGCCTTGTCCCTGGCAAGGCGGTTCGTGTCATGCGCGAGCGACACCGACTGTGGTAGACCTCATATCACCCGGCCTGGACACCATGGACTCTGCGCCCCTCATCAAGGCATGCTCATCCGCGCTTCTTCGTGGCGGCAGGACGGCTCATGCTGACCGAGTCTTCACAGGCGCATGATCATGCCAAAGCCGCCTTGGACGCTACGCAGACCGCCGACTCCACCGTCGCCATCAACGAGCACACCCTCGCCGCAGGAGAATTCTCCAACGCCGCCCAAGCCACGTCCAGCATCGAGGCCCTCCGAACCCTCAGGCTTCTTGAACAGCACCACCAGAAGCTTTCGGAGCTCATAAAGTTCTCGGTAGACCATCCTGGCAAACACGCGAACTCGGAGAAGCATGACCGCGAGACAGAAGAGAAAGACCCCGCGCAGGCTGCCGGCTCTGATGCCTCGTCTGGTCCTGTCGCGGGCAGCGCATCGAAAGGTCCTGCGACCTTGCCGGGCTTGACACCACAGCGTCGCTATCCCCCATCCCGAGAGCTTTCATCGTCCATCGCGAGCAATTTGGCGTCGGCGCGGGGCATTCGTGCCTCACGTTATCGTGGTCAACCCCTTGCGCCTAGCATTTCAAACGACCAAGCTCCCGGAAACGTTGATCTGACGGCTCGGAACACCGGTTCGCGCACGAAAATGCAGCACATGCTTGATAGCAAGACCGGAAAGCCGAAGCCGAGCTGGGTGCCTCCCACTCAAGCTTCCTCGCAGAGCTCGCGGCCTCCTTCGGTTGACGAGGCTGTGGAGAACGAGCCTGCGCCTGGGAACGCACCAGCCGATGAGGGCTTCTCTCGGTTTTATAGTACCTTTGGCAGCATCATCAACCGCCTCTCAACACCTTTGGCTTTCGCTGGCCTGCCTCTCATCACCGAGGAATCCACTGCGGAGAGCCCCGCACCCGAAGTCCCTCCACAGAAGCGAGATCGCGGCAAGACTATACCACCATCAGGCGAAGAGCCAGACCTGTCCAAGATCTACTCCAAGGCTGCCTTGCGTGCAGTGCAGCGCGACGGCCATGCCGTGAACGACTCGTTCTATGTCGTGCCTACGAGCGGTCATACTGTTTCATACGCCAACATATTAAACTTTGACCAGAAGGAGAGGAGGCGTGCCATCGCCGCGTCGCATCACGATGGTGAGGTGGAGATGGCTGACGACCCCGACGAGGATGATTTCGTTGATGCCAGGGAGTCGCAGGTGTCTGTTTCCCCAAGCGCCAAACGCCGAGTTGGCAAGAGTCAGAGTCAGACGGAAAGGGATCTCTACAATGTCATCGAGGAGCTTAGCACTCAGAACGCCAGCCTGAAGAGTATGCTCGACAGAGTCACAAAGCGCTTGCAACTATTTGAGGCGAGTGCTCAGCACTCTCGCCTCGCACTGGCGGACAGCATGCGCATCGCTAGGCCTGGATCACCAATGTCACATAGTGGTGGCGCCCAAGGTCAAGCGACGGATGAGGCGCTGAAGAAGAGGAATCAGGAGCTGGAAGAAGAGTTGCTCACAGCCAGCAAACAGTTCGATGCGCTCGAGAAGGACAACAAGCGTCTCAGACACAATCTTGACAAATACCGCGACAAATGGGAGTCATTGAAGGCTGGAGCGAAGGCGCGAAGAGATGCTGCTCAATCAACGGACACTTAGGTTTGAGTGGGCGTGAACCCCAGGAGAAGGTGAACAAGCGTTTGGTTCCATAGTACGGCGAAGAATTGACAATTTACTTTGAAGGCCAGATTGTGATTGCATTTGATTTTCCTGCTCTCTGTCAACTTAACTGGTTTCCAGCCCTGCCGCCACGCCCAGCGCATGATCCTTATCATCGAGCATTGCGCCTGACGCCTTCTTTCCGTCGCGCCTGCCCGATACCTGGCCACATCCTGTCAACAAACGGGGCAGTCGCGGCTGAACTCTCTAGGATCGTTTCGCTGCAATCTTTCACTCCCGAGAGAGCCTGTATGAACACCAAGCCTCTCAAGGGTGAACATTGTCGCTGACCTCGGCGACAAATACAAACGTTGGACGTCCAAGAACTCCCTGCCGCGCTGCAAACAGGACCCGAGCCTTCAAACAAGCCTTCTCAACAAGAGTCCACCAAATCATTCAAAAACGTAGGGCCAGTTCGAAAACGAATACCCAGCACGTGCCGGGGACGTCACCCTCCGACACAAAATATGACAAGGAACAGAGGCAAGAGGAAGGCAAAGTCAAAGAAGAAGGCAGCAAAAAAAGCCAAAAGCAACAACATGAGACAGTCCAGCCATCCCGTCGCCGGCAGTCAGCGCATCGCTCGCGACGAACAACAAACCCTGCATTCTGCAATGGCCCCTGACGAGAAACCCGGAGCATCACCCCGAGGCGGCGACGCCAGCCTAACAGTCGATCGCAGAAAACTTACCTTCAATCCGTCGGTGATCAATGCTCACGATGAAGGAGATCCAGATGTGACTTTGTTGGATGTCTCACCGGCCAAACCTGGCGAAGAACGCAATCCGCTCTTCGACGAGGTCTCACCGGTCGAAAGCCGCGGAATAGATATCTTCAAGTCCGCCCCTGCGCGTGGGCACTTGATAATTGAGGAGAAAGAATCGGTCGCAAACTCCCAGCGAAGCCTTGAGGACGTCATCGCCGACAATCCAGATGCCAGGCTGTCCAACCTGGACGGACAGACGCTGGCCTTTGCCGGTCACGCAGTGAGACAAGTCGTCGTGGAAGCGACGTACGGTTTTCTTCAAAGTTGTATCCCAGAATCCGAGCAACAGAGGGTGTGGGACCAGATGTCCGGTCAAGGGAAAGCGGGAAGTCCTACCAAATCCTCTATTACCATACCAGATGGCATTATGGACCTGAAAAACGGAGTGCGGTCTACGTCGGATCTTATTGGCAACTGTATAGGCGTACTCTCGAAGAATTTCCAAGTCACCGACCAAAAGACCCTCAAGCTATCCCTGAGCCAGGCCGTGACTCTCTGCGACGCCGTGGGGGATGAGAAGAGGAGGCAAGCCTTGGAGAAGGCCGGCTACGAGCTCAATTGGCTCATGCTGGGGCTCGACTGCAAGACCATGGAGCTGTATCGTGGTGCCAATCGGCAACTTGACAGGATAAACCTGGACCACCCTGTCGACACTAAGCCGGGCGGAGTGAGCAGTGCTGGAGTATATGATGAACGAAAGGTGGAGGAGCGAAATGTGCTCCAATCGATCAAATTGGCGCATGATGGATTCAAAGAATCATTTCGGGTCCGCTTCATTGAGACATTGCAGAGTCTACTGGCAGCACTCTAGGCTTCAAATGCTAGGACAGAAGGAAGGGCACGCCGCTTTATGAAATTCCTGTTTGAATACGAAGTATCCAAGGGAGGTTGAAGGTGCAGTTTGCATTATCCAGATGCCAGAGGCGAAATGAAATAACCTAATTAGACACGAAGCTGTAAAGTGCTAGAGTCCTTCTCCATTCATGCTATCAAGGACGATACCCGCAACTTGCTGCTGTTGCTAGACCGTGATGTGCGGAATCGGCTAGTCGTCTCGTTCTAAACCAGAGAGAAGCTTGAGGGGGGCTATGACGTTTCTCCAACGGCTGGTAAGACGATGATGCGTAACATTTGAGACACTCTCCCTCACAGTCCCAGCATCTCAGCTGTTTCTTTCCTACAACTCCCGCATAATCGCACTGGCTTGTAGAAGAATCGAAGAACAAGGCAAACACAGTAAAATGGCTGGCAAGATCACCGGGAGTTGCAACTGCGGCCGGCATGTTTATACGATCCCAAAACCTGCAGACATGAACCTGTGCCGTGAGTGGCGAGAGCCGTGGGCAGCTGCGCGTGAAACCGTGCGCGAAGGGACTCGCCTCCAAACCACGAAGCTGACCACCGTAACCCATGATCATCAGACTGCATCGACTGTCGCAAATGGGCCGGCGCGATGTAAGCAACACCACCAACCCCATCCCCTTTAGTACGAGTATCGATTCCGTCTGACGCTGAGGCGCGCACAAAGGCACTCGGCCCACCTCTTGGTGCAGACGGCAGACATCGAGACCACGAGCCCGGAGCCCAGGACGTACAGGCAGAAGGCGGACAGCGGCAACGAGATGACGCGCGCGTGGTGCGACGGCTGCGGCGCGGGCGTGTGGTTGAGGTCGGCCAGCAAGCCTGGCCTGACGTTTCTCAAGGCAGGTGAGTTCGGGGGAAGTTGACTGGTCAGCTGGTAGAGGGCGGACACTCGGCCCTGGGTATCCATCCCGCTGGAATACGGATCTGAGCTGGTGTCATGGATCTATCTTGTAGGTTGAGACTGAGCGACCGAGACTTTTACTGAGATGATACCCATGGCAGGACTCTTCGAGCCCGGTGATATACCTAACCCCACGATGGAGAACTGGCTGAAGAACATGGAGCCTTGGGAGACCCCGGCCAGGGGGACTAAGAAGACAGCCCAGGAGGGCCTCGACTGAGTTTAGCAATCATCGGGGGTCTACATTGGGCATTTGAGTTGGTGGAGGCTTTCCTCGGGCAAGTTCCTTGTGAGGGGCTCAGCTGTTGATTAAAAGTTCAAGACACAAACCAAATCTCACACAATCGAAGTCTGCTTGGTAACCTACTTGAATCGTGTTCCATATTTCAACGATAGGCTAAGGTGTAACGAAGCTTGATCCTCCTACATGGCTCGCGTCCAACAAGTCGGTTTCAACTACGGAAGTAACATCACACAGCAGGAGTGGCACGTCTCGGATGGAGGTGGGACTTGTCAATTTCCAAATGCTGAAGCAACGAGCCAATGAACCCCTAGAGAACACTTTGCGTACTTGATGATCCGGGCTCTTCCTTGGGTCACCCCCTACAGCTCGGTCGCGAATTATCAGAGCTTCGCAGGTAGAACCCGGATAATTACCAACTGAGCCACTAATTGATCTTTCAAGCCACAAACATTCGTTTATGCGGAATGCACTTATTCTGAAACTGAGGCTTGAGTTCTACCAGATTTCAGTTTGCGGCGCAGATTTTGACAAACTGTAAGGGTCTATACTATACATGCCGAATTCATGATATTAGTTGGTGTTGAAAATGAAAGGAAGGGAGGTAATTGTGACATATTTGTAGACAGACAGAAATCTGGAGTAGCACCCCGAGCTCATGGCGCGACATGGCTCACATGGGCTGCAATTGACTGAGAACTCACAGTTCGCTATGAATGATGTTTGATATCTAACAGAGGCCTAGCTGTATTATAGAAAACTGCTCTGGCTCTTCTTGTAGCTATCGCCTTTTGCTACCACAGCTGGATGCTCGCATGTACATATGTCAAGTTGACAGCATGGATCGAGACTGGTCCTGGGCATTATTGAAAATACATGTCAGCTGTCTATGTGTCCCCTGCGATCGTGGGTTGAGTCGCCATGTGTTCATCATTAATTTGACAATCTATCTCCGGGCCGGGCTTGGTGCTGAGCCGAAGGCCGGGATCGTGCCGAAGCGAATCTCGAGTCAAGAACGGTACTTTTGTCGACCCACAGGCATCTAGATAGGCCATGTACTGTGTGGGACATACACACATACAGTCAGTAGTACTGCATAACCCCGTTTGACATTACCAGGCTCGAGCGCAGGGCCGCATTGAACAGTTTAAGCCACCAGTTAAGCTTGTATCAACACCGGTCGCGCAGGCCAGATAATGAGCCGCTGATGCACACGAGGTCTCGTCTCATGTCAGCAAGGGAAAAGGAATGAAAAAAAGGGGTGCTTACTGTGCGTGGAAAGTGGTCCCACTCTCTCTCCAACTACCGACAGGACAGGACCGCCCAGACTTCTGGCCATCTCAGACTAGCCCGGGTCTCGCTGGTGCCCTTTCCCAGCCCACCGGGTCCGCGTACAGCGCAAGCCCTCTGCCCACACGTGGTTGGCCTTCGGTCTTGCTCGCACTCCGCCGTCGTACTTTGCTCAAATTGGCCCTGCTCCTAGTCAAGCCTAAGAGATCGTCCAGGCGTCCGAATGGAGGGCGATGTGACCCTCAACGGGCGGGGCCCAGACCATTCAGGTCCTTTTGCACAAGCCGCCATCCTGAGCCCAGAGGATCCCGAGAGCCCAGCTCCCCGTCCCCGGGTCCCTGGGTCCCTATCCCAGCTCGTTCCCGGTTGCTCGTGTCAGCTACTTGGTACAGACCGACAACACTCGTCGGCTGCTAGCAGCACCACAAGCGTCGAGGAGCATCTCGCACAAGGCCTGCGTCAGAACATATGCAGAGGGACAAGCCAGTCTCGACAAGACGTGACAGGCGGCCGCTCCCTGCAGGAGGAGAGGGCACATCTAGCAAGGGCTGACTCGATCTGTCGCCATGCAGCTGCTGCGGAGCTAGCGTGAAATTGCCCGAAGGATCACGAACCTGGGCGGCCTTCAGCTGAGCTTGACATGGCCCAGGCCTTGCGAGGCGGCTTGCAGGGCCTGGATAGCCCTTTTCTTTCCTTTCCTCTGACATGCTTGTCCATCTTCGCGTTCTGGGCTTTTATGTGAATGCGATTTCCCCCCCTTCCTTGCGCGCCCAGTGCTCCTCTTCGTCCCATGTCGAGTCCAGACAGCCGGAACAAGTACGCTTATACCACAATTATGGATACAGTAAGTTCGCCTGTATGCCTTGGTCACGCTCTCCCCCGGAGGGGCGTCGCCGCGGACACTCGATCTGGTTCTCGCGTCATACCAGGCTGACTGAGATGGGCCCAAAGCAAGAGAACCATGCGCATCATGCTCCCGAGGTGGTGCAACAGGACTATCCAGAGGCCGTTGCGCCGCAGCAACAACAGCAACAGTACAACCAACACCAACAATACCAACAGTACCAACAGTACCAGCAGTATCCATTAAAACCAGAAGATGCCCAGTACCCACCAGGGAGCGCGCCCTACTCAGCCTACAGCGGCAGCCAGCTCGACCCGACATCACCAAGGCCCCAGGCCGCCGGTCTGGGCGGCGCGGCGCAGGCGCCCGCGGGCGGCGAGAAGAAGAAGAAGGCCACGATATGCGGCTGCACCGTCCTGGTCTTCGTGCTGTGCATCATCATTGCTCTGCTCTCGGCTGCTGTGATCGGTCTCGCCGCGGGAACGGGGGTGGAAGCAAGCCGGGCGAACACGGCCGACGCGAGGGCCGCCGAGCTGAGCTCGTCGCTCGCGTCCGCAACAGCCACAGCGACTGCCACGGGCTCCGCCGCATCGAGCACCTCATTCGCCGACCTGGACAGGAACTGCTCGGCGGATCCCTTGGCGGTGACGGGGACAACGTACGACGCCTTCTCATGTAAGCCGAACCCCCTAACTCGGTGCCGTGTGTGTATACATCGGTGTGGACCTTGGGCCTTCAGTGCTGACAAAATCACACCTCAGTGTTTGGCAACTACTCCTTCAAGATCCAGTGCAACAAGGACGCCAAAGGCGGGCCGCTGATGGCGCTCTTCGCCGCTGACTTCGACACCTGCATGGACCACTGTGCCTCCTACAACCACTACCTCCCCAACCTGTTCGGCAGTAATAACACCAACACCACCTGCGGCGGCGTCAGCTTTATCCCACTGTGGACGCCAAAGGCCGAAGCGCTCAAGGGCGGCGCCCCGGGCAACTGTTACATCAAGCCCACGCAGACTGGGGACTTGACCGACCCCAACATCGGCACCGAGTGTCACGCCGCGGTCCTGAACACTTGAGCCCTTGGCCTGGACCTTTTGACCATTTTCATGTTGATTTCTTGTTGTCGCAGCATAACGGCGTTTGGGGAGGGGGCTGTCTTCTGGCCAAGACGAAGAATCGGATGTTATGGGATATACTTCATAATACACAGCGCATGAGTGTGCATCAATACCCTCGACAATTTCAAAAGCCCCGCTCGGTATTGCTTCAGGGGGGATGGGGCTGGGAGGTTTTAAATCATGGAAGCATCATGGGGAAAAGCGAGGCCTGGATGGCGGACTTGTGGATATACCGCCTTGAAGGCTAAGCGGTCCTCATATGGGAAGCGAGCTCAAAGAGGGGGCTTTTTCACTTTTACAATTGTCGCCACATTATTGATATCCGACATGACTGAACGCTAAAACAAATTCAACAATTCTTTCGACTTGTCGAATCAATACCTGTAAGCCCGTCTCATGTTCACCGAGATTCTGTTGATGCGACTCGACACAGTCTATTCGGCAACTTCAGACACCCTATGCTGCCCTTACGTCTTGAAATCTACCAGACTTACTGGAGACGTTAATTATCCCTTGGAGTCCTCATCCTTCCACTGCCCTACTGTCATACAGCCCCACTAATTTAAGCTCACAAAGCTTGTAACCGTGTTCTCAGCCCTACCCGTCAACCAACACTGCGTTGGTCCCACACCGTTGGGTCCGTTCGTGACTAAGGTCGTAGCGCAGCGCCTCTGCTGTTGGCTCGACTTTTCCTGTTTGCCACCTGCGGCGTCGTCAAGGCGCTTTGCGCACAAGCACACCAAGCAGACGTGAGCGTTCAGACACACACACATGTTGCCTTATCTTTGCATGTGCTGTGGGAAGGGTGGTGACAACCAGCATGCATATAAGTCACGGCTTGAGCAGTCATTGTAATTCTAGCTCACGGGTTGAGCCTTTCCGTTGAAAGAGGAATATGGGTATCGATGATTACAGCATTACGGAGTACAGGACCAGACGACCACAAAATAAAACGAGCTTCGGATAAGCAAAGCAAAATGACCAGCAAATAAGACATCGGGAAGGCAGGCCATCACCCTTGAAACTCCCCTCCATTTACAAAGATCTTCAAAAACAAACATTAAGCTTCCCATGTGGAAGCAAACCTTAGCTCTTCCGGATGAGACACCCGCCCAACCCTGGAGCTGCCCCAGGATTGCCTCACTCCGGCGTCTCGGGAACCTCCCAGATGGCATCATCAAGCGGCCGCTCGCTCTTGACCCTTGCAGGCGACGAGTCTGTCGGTGTCCGGGGGGCAAAGGGAATCTGGGACGTTGGTGTGAAGATGGGTAGATCAGCCCGCTTCATCGGGCTCGGTGACCGGAGCGAGGCCGGATCAACGTGTTTCATCGGCGTGGGCGTCGTGTCCATGACTGGCGCCGCTTGCTTGGCCACGCTGGGCGTCGCTGTGTTTGGGGGAAGCCACGTGAGAGGCTCCTGTGGAGCGGCGATGTCCGGGGCAGGCCCTTCCGGCTGGTATTGGATAAAAACATCTGGAGTGGCAGTTTGAGGTTCGGGCGGAGGGCCCGTGGGTGTGTCCTGGCCACTTCTGGGGAGAGGTATCTCCTGTGGGAGACTGTCCTGGGAGACAATCTCATCTGAAGGGGTTGGTTGTTGGACCGCAATGGGGTCAGGGCTGGATGGCGGCAGAGGCGTGTTCCCTATAGCATCCCCAACTGGCTTTGGTGGCGAAGCTGTCAGTTCCTTCTTTGCACGCGCTTCCTTCTGCTGCTTCGTAACCAGCGTGATCTTTTTGAAGCCGGTGGTGATCTTGTCAAGCTCATCGCCAGACTTGGGCGGAGGTGCCTGTGTGTTCTGAGCTGGCTCGCTAGGGCTGGACGACTTGGGTTTTGATGCAGCTTTTGTAGCGGGAGCTGTGTTCTTGTTTGGCCGGGCGGTCTTGGGCGCATCCTTCTTTGCTTTGGGCGCCCTGGTCTTCTTGACGGCAAGTGGGCCTGCAGTAGTCGTCCTCACACTCATGGACGTGTCTGGTCTCTCAGTCATCGACGTCGCTGGTCGCTCATCCAACGGAGCAGGGTAGGCCGTAGCGCCATCAAGAGATTCAAGGATCGTTGATGCAGCACTAACGCGTCGTCCTTGTCTCGTTGGCGCCCGGTCATTAGGCTGTGGTGTATTGCTGCGTGATGCTCCCTGATGATGTTTGTCAGCAATCCAAGTAGGAAAACGGTGCCGATGTCGAGTGAAAGGTATGCCGTGGGATTGGTTTTGAACTTCACCAAATATGATACATACCTTTTCAGAAGCCGTGACCGAAGCACCAGCCACAGTCTTCCGCCTGTTCTTGCCCAGATCATCGTCTCCCTCGAAGTAACTCGTAGGCTTTCTCTCACGCAGACTCATCCTGGATGGCGCTGCAGCCGGCGGAGGCGCAGGCGCCGGAGTGCTTCTGCCACCCTCAGGCGGTACGATGCCTTCCAGAGCCATCTGCCGGTCTCGTCGGATCCGCGTAGCTTCAGCAGAAAGGTCTTCCGGCCCGCAACTCGTTGTCGTCCGATCCGTGGGCGTCAGCACCGCACAAAGCCCGTGAGCCGCGACATACCATGGCACCTCGGGGGGCGGGGGCGTAGGCGGCCTGGGAGGTGCAATTCCGTTCATTGATGCTTGCCGACGGAGTCGTGCGGCTTCGACCATCTTCGCGGTCGAGGACTGCGTTGGTGTGCAGTATGTTGGAAGTGGCCCGTTCCGAGCAGCTTTGACCTGCGGCGGAGATGTCATGACGCCGGTCTCCAGCAAATCTAGGTCCTCGGGACTCCACCAGATGGGATCGTAGGGGTGAGGTCGAGTCTTCAACTCCAGCGAGTTTCTTCTGTCGTGCGAGATCCCCGTTCTTTGATCCGTCGTGCCGTCAAGCCCATTTGATTCGCCCTTCGGTGTAGGCTCACTGCCAGCAAGACCACTGATATGACTGAGCACTCCGGAGGTCAATGCCCGATCGCTGTAGCCACCCTCAAGAACGCTGATAAGTCTACCATCGACACTTGTGCCCTGTTCCTCAGCGATCTTGGTGACATCCCGAGCGATGCGGGCATAAAAGCCAGTCGGCACATTCACAACATGACGCTGCATGCCGGCTCCCTCCCATTCACTCGCATCGAAGCCCGCCGACAGGAAAATTGCCGCCTTTGACGTCTGGTTTGCCATACGAAGCCTTTCCGTGTGCGCTTTCAAATATTTTCGGGCCTTTTCCAGCAAGACAGCGTACTTGTCCTCGTAAAGCGCCCAAAACTCGGCTTCCGTCTTCCAAGGCTCCAGGTGCACATTCCAAACGTGCTGGCCGTGCGCGTTGTCTATGCACAAGCTTGCATTCTTAACCTTCTCTTCGTCGCCCATCTCGCAAGGGTACGAGTTGATATCGTGGAGCGAGAAATACCCAATCGATGCCTTCTTCCAGTACGCCGCATTCTTCGCCAAGCCTACGCCCCTAGAGTTGTGCTGCCAGGCGATCTGCTGGCTTCCATCGCCGTGGTGGAGATCGAAATCGATGATTGCGGCATGGGTTAGGCCATGACCGAGAATACCATGCATGATCCCAACATGCACATTGTTGACCCAGCAGAAGCCCGACGGATATGATGCAGAGCAGTGGTGGCCCGGTGGCCGAACCGCGACAAACGCGCGCTTGGGACCGGAATCCGCAAAGACAGCGTCAACAGCGTCGCATACAGCCCCCAAAGAACCCTCCAACGCCTCCAGCGATTCCGAGCACAAATACAGATCCCCCTCGTGCAGCTTCTTAGGCTGCTCATGGTCCGGGCCGCGGTTCATCTCGGGGCGCTGCAGCTCCTTGCCGCCGGTCGCGAGCTTCGCCTCGGCCGAGTCGCACATGGTCTTGAGCTCCTCCATCCATTTGGTGCCGTGCACATTCGTGACCGCAGGAGACGTCAAAGACACACGGCGCTTCGACTTTTGTATCCGGAAAGGTATCGACTGTATGGCCGCCGGGCTCAGGCTCGGGTGTAGCACGTGCTCCCCTTCGGCGTGCCTCTCGCCGAGCAGCACATATGCTGCCGAAACCCCCAGGACACACGCCTTTATTCTCTCGGGCCGCTCGACAATGGTGCTCAGGGCGGAGCGCGACGTGCGCGGGCGAGCAAATCGGTGGCCGTAACACGAATCGTGGAGGATAACCAGCGTCTCGGCGGCGCGGTTCGACTCCTCGCCATGGAGAAGCTCGAGCTCTTTCGTGAAGTGCGTCCTCGCTATGGAGTTAGCAGACGGAGGAGGCGGCCGCGGGGGGTCGGGCGAGCTCATGGCGCGCGATGCGGTCGGGGACATGTTGGCGGAGCTGGAGCGTCGCAGAGGCGTGACGCCGTTGGCCGAGTGTAGCGAGTTCATGGATGCTTTTCGAAGCAGAGTCGGGGTCGCCGAGCGGGACTCGCGGCCATTTGAGGAAGGGCCGTTGTAGGGGCCGCGCGAGGCAGCCCTGACGCTGAGGGCGGAAGGCGATCGGTCGACAGCTGGTCTGTAGGGGGAGCCCGTGGCTCCTGGCGTTGGGTTTGGAGAACGAGGCGAGCGCGCGGGGACGGGCGAGTTCGAGGAGGGCGAAGTTGAGAGGGAAAGCTGGTGGAGAGACTGCAGCAGCTCGCCGTCCGAGTCCCTCATCTTGTTTGTTGAAATCCTCCTGCTGGGAGTGGCCTGGCCCTTTGGCGACGACATGGTGAACGAGGGGTCGTGTCGGCAGTCCTCGCCACACACGTCACCAGGCTGCGCGGGACAAAGTTGTTGGCGGCCCTTGGAAGGCTGCTGTCTCTGTATGCGACAAGACGACAAGACGGAGGAACGAGTGGTTTGAAAGTAAGGAATGAATTAGATTTGTGTTCCCCATTTGGGGACCTTATTTTGCGGTCACGAAAGACAAAGCCCGACTGGACTTATGCAAGATGTGCACATGTCATTTGGAGCATCGCTTGGTCAACTTTGGGGTCAAATCAAAACAAATAACACACCAGTAATAATAAGAAGCTTGGGCTCTTGGAGGGGCCGCGTGCCGACGTAAGACGCGTGAAATGAAGCTCACTGGCCCCACGTGACGGAGTATCTGGGCCCGGGGGCCCCCTGACAGCCAGTGGCCATCTGCGATCTATCCACTTACTTACATACATGCTGCACATAGCAGCGGCACAGTGCTGTACGTTATTAAGACCCCTGAGAAACAAGATCCACCGCACCATGTGGGAGTAGGGGCCTTAATTGCCTCATCGTACTCACCGCACACCGTTGATTGGGACTGCAGTACGTCGTCCGACAGACAAAAGGCCACTGCGTACTATTGTGGGCTGAAGCAGCTTGTGGCTTTGTATTCCTCGGTCACAGGGTGAAACAAGGAGCAGGCCTACCTGTCATGTTTGAGGGTTTTCTCACAAAGTCACAATGGATGAAAGAGACCAGCAGCATGTTCAGGTCCATCTCAATTGTTGCACAATGTGGGCCTGATACGGATCAGCTGCTTTGCTGCATCCTCTGCCTGGATACATACGTGCGTACACAGACCCAGACATGCAATATCGCTCAGTCAAATCAGTCACGAAACCGGCTTGAGCATGCGATGAAGCCTTGATATAATATATAATTGTATTTTATTGTATCATGGTAGTCTAAAAGAACCATCGCTATGAAGCCAACCATCCAGGCTTCCTTCCTACCCGCTCTGTAAGCCTTCACCGTCTGGCAGCACTGCCAATGGCTGCTTACCCAAATCTGCCCTCTTGTCGCACATAGAAACTCCGTCTATTTCTCCTCGCTATGCAATGATGCCGGAACCAAGATTCCCGCCCCCGTAATTCCTCCATCGTGACATGGACTGAGGAGAATACGGTATTTGTTCTTGCCGAACTCCAGCACGATGACCCTGTCGAGGAACGCCTGACAGTCTTTCAGGTAGTTCTGAAAAGCTGTGATACATCCCCCTGTGTATCCAACGACAAGCTCGCCCGGACTGTGTCTAGGAACTACGGAGTGCTTCTTCAGGGGCGGTGGCAGGTTTTCAGCTAAGGTGAGCAAGCCGATTGTATAAGCAGCCATGAGGCCTGCAGCCCGGACCTCGATGGCAACTGCTATGCGGTAGAGTGCCTCGGCGATCTCTGGTGTCCACTCAAGCTGTTCGTGAACGGAGAACTTCGTGTTCTCCTTCTCCACAATCGGGAACTCCCTCCGCAGTTGCTCCACCAGGGTGCCATTTTTATTGCTTTCAGGTTTGAAATGGCTGAGGAAGGTTGTGCTTAGGGCGAACGGCTCCCTGAGCTTGAGTGGAAGTTCGAAGATGTCATACCGCAGAACCTTTGTTAAGTATTCTTGAAATATGATGCGACCCAGCTCGCCGAGGTATCGACCAGACGTCATGTACTCCAGGGGTTGGAAGCCGGGCCTTTCGACGTTCATGTTTAGCAGTGTATCCCATTTGGTTATGATACCATGGCTGCTCAGGACAAGTTGTGTACCGTTGATGCTCCATTCGGTGTTCACGGCTATCTTCACGTCATTGCCAGCCTGTCCGGGTATGACGCTCACTGTCTTGGGCCGCTTGCTTTCCTTGAGGGTGCTGAGTTTCAAAGGTATTGTGGCATTGGTGCCGGTCCCGCAAATGAGGGACATGGCGGCGCTCTGGTTTGGCTTTGCCCGGAACTGGTAAATGAACGAGACGAGGCTTGCGACTGCGTCGTTCGCAATGGCTGCGACCCTGATACGCGGCAGGTTTGCACGGCGATGCTCTTCGTACCCCGCAAGTAAATAGGCTCCCAGGTCGACTTTGCAATCGAGCGCAAATCCTTTGCCCATGGGCATGAGGGTTGCCTCCTGCAGTGACTTCTGTTCCATGGGAAAGCTGAAAGTGACGCCCATGGGTAACTCGGTCTGAGGATCGAGGCCCCAGTCTGTGCAAGCCTGGCCGACGACGACTGATATGCATTCGCCGATGAAGTCGAAGAGGTTGTCTGGGTTCTGGTCCTTGAGCTGCTCGCCAATGGGCCATGATCGCTCCAGGAGCCGACGCAGCCGTGGGGACTGGAGTGCAAACGACGAGAATCCTCTCCCATTAACTGAAGCGCCCTCGTTGCTGGTCTCGCCAGCCCCACCGGCGAGCAGCTCTACAAAGCCGACTCTGAGATTCGTTCCTCCTCTGCAGCTCCTGGTCAGTACATGGCCCTGGGTCTTGTACAATCAAGAATGAGCTCACATGTCAATAGCAAGGTACCTGCGGTTGGGCAAACGGTCAGTCTTGACTGAATGAGAGTGGCGTGTCTGGAGTCGAGGGAACCCACCGGCCGCGATCGGCGCCGTCGACCCGCCGAAGGAGGGACTCGCTGATGGGCGTTGGCAAGAACTGGTTGTCTGACTTATTAGACAGTTGCAAGAACGTGTTGTACAACTCCCGCGAGAGCGAGAGAACAGTGTCGTCGGTTATGTGCAGAGGTCGGAGGAAGTCGTCCAACGACTGCTGCTGTGGTTCTTGTCCAGACGCCATGTTGGGTGTGTCTGCTGGAGAGGTGTAGAGATACGTATGCTCATAGCTCGCTGCTACTACGCCCCGAGGTCGAAAATACTTGGTGGAGTTGGAAGATGATGGATAAGAACAGAGAGTGAGTCACGCAAGATCAAATGAGTGAGTCGGTTGGGATACAAGAAGGAGTGTATGGGTGCTCATGACCTTGAAGTAACAACCCGACCATCTAGCATTCACTGTAGCCACGCACAGGAGAAGGCGCAACTGAGGTCATGCAGGCTCGTGAGGTGAGCCGCTGAACACATGCCCAGACGGACCTAGGTACCTGGTAAGCAGGCAGGAACGGCCCCTCTAATACCTGCTGGGCCCCCACCCCTGCCCCAAAAACACAGGACGTGCCTCTCCCGCCTCCACAGCAAACGACTCCACAAGGTGAGGGCGACCGTGACAACGTAACGTCGAGTCGCACGCGACCACACCACAGCCAACGTTTCGCTGGAAGGCCCGGATAATGCATATCGAGCTCTGTCTGATCCCCTGGATTGTTACACCTCGGCACCTGCCCCCTCTCCCAGTGTGGTCTTGACAGGGGGATAATCTTTTACCCTTCTCAATGCCAGGCTGCTATCAACCTTGGAACCCAGTGGAGCATGTGGCTAATGACATATGCCAGACGGTTCAGAAGTGTGAGTGGTCTATGCATTGTTGGTTTGTGAGCACCTTTGCAAGCGGCCTGGAGGGATCCTCCAAATGCTCAGGTGGCCTGCTGCTGTGCCCACCCAGCCTCCTTCAGGACGCGGCATTGCTACAAATAGAGCTGCAACCCGAGTCTTGTGCGATCTTCCCCACAGATTGTCTCACGCCAGCGATGGTGACAAGAATCTTCCACCGCAAAAAGTATTTCATCTAGCGTTGAAAGATTCCAGCGTTAAAAGTAGGGTGGTCTTAGATATAAGCTTAGCGCCCCCCCTCCCCCAAATCCTCGATCAAATACCCTAGCCCTGAATCACGTCAGTGGAGTCGAACACTTCACGATTGCTGATAGTCTAGCTGATAACTGACACACACATACAACGCACACTGGTCATGGCCACCTCGCCGACCGTCCCGTCCCTAGAATTCTGACAGGAGCCATCGCTGAATTTGCTGTCTTACACGTTCCAGAAAAGGCAGCACCCGCACCACAACCCAAGATGGACGAGAAGTACGCCAAGTACAAAACATTCCCCCCACGCCCGGCAGGTTCGCCGGTGCGGCCCCACGCGCGGAGGGCAGGGCGGTTCCGGCCCCTGTTGGCGCTGACGCTGGTCGTCATCTGCCTCTACGTGTACGCGAGGCCCTCGTCGGTGCTGAGCCCGCTGCCGGACATCTCGTCGCGCCTCTCCAGCACGCTGCAGGCGGCGGCCCCGGCCCCCGGCTCTGGCTCTGACGCGAATGCCGCCCTGGTGCCGCTCGAGGCGCATATCATGTCCAAGTGCCCGGACGCCAGGGACTGCCTGCAGAAGCTGGTCCTGCCCGCCATGGTGCGCGTCTTCGACAAGGTCAACTTCACCCTGTCCTTCATCGGCACGCCTACCGAGAACGACGGCGTCGCCTGCATGCATGGGCCCGAGGAGTGTGAGTCGGCATCCCCTCGCCCCCTCATCTAGATTGCGTGCTCGCCGGGGTTACACCCGGCCGAGTCTCGGACAGTTGAAAACTGACTGGACGTGTCCCGACTAGGTCTTGGTAACATCATGTTGCTCTGTGCCGAAGACCTGTATCCCGACCCGAAGACCTACCTTGGATTCTCCATGTGTCTGATCAAGGACTACCCACACATCCCGCAGAGGAGTCTCATCGAGGACTGCGCGCTGGAGCATGCCATTGACTTCAAGAAGCTGGACGAATGCGCGAGCAAGGACGACGGCGCCTGGGGAGTCGAGATGCTCCGTAACAGCGTCCGCCGATCTTCAGATGTAGGTCGTCACCGTGTCTGCGGAAGCTTATGTTGGAGACTTTCCTTAACTAACAGCATGGGTCCTAGGCCGGAGTTACCAAGAGCTGTACAGTACGCCTGGACGAGGATATCTACTGCATCCGGGACGGTGGAGAATGGGCAGACTGCCCGCACGGAGCGGAAGTCAACGACCTGGTGCTGGAGATTGAGAAGAAATACCGCGCTTGAGCGGCTCAAATATATCCGTCCACAGTTCGCTAGCCTCTCCAAGCGTGTAACCCAACGAGACCGAGTCCATGCCCTTCTCCTGGTCGTTGCCCATGCTCTTCAGATGCTCGATTATGCTCTCCAGCCCGATCGCCTTCCCCGTTGCCTGTGTCGCGCCGGCCTCGAGGGCCACGTGGACGATGTGGATGTGAAAATGGTAGTACGTTGGTTGGTAGTGGACATATAACTTCAACTGGTCGGACTCGATGTCAGGGTAGACCTTCTCGGTGGCCTCGATGAACTTGGCCTTCATGTGCTCGAGCCAAGGTATGTGCTTGACCTTGAGGTCTCGCAAGCTCCAGATGTCGCGGCGTTCCACTATGCCCAGCAAATGCAGAGCCTCTGTTGTCTTCCTATCCCAGTTCAGATCTGGCAGTAGGAGGAAGCCCTCGTCCCCAGCCTCACCGAGGGGCGTCCTGTAAATGACGTCCTCGACCTCCTTGCGTCCCTCGATGATGTTGAAGACCCAGTTCAGCCGGCCCTCGTCCCGTTTGGCCTGCATGTGCGGCCGGATCCTGTCCCTGTAGATCTCGGGTGTCTCGTTCACGAAGCGGACCCCTTGTTTGCTGTACTTCTTGATGTGTTGCTCCGTACACGGATATATCAAGTTGATCTTCAGGTCGGCAAAGTCATCATCGCTCTGTGCGTGGGCAAAGGCGCCGCTGCTGGCCATGTACCAGTGATAGATGTCATTGGCGCCTAAGTTCTTGAGCGTGCGGAGGCTGCCGGCAATCGATCCAAGGTAGTCATGGGAATTGGGGAAGGGCGCACGCTCCAGAACCAGTAAGGCTGGCTGGCCGTCAATGGTGCCGCAGAGCGAGGTCCTCCTGCCTGCTTGGTCTGGAGCAGAGGAGGTCCGGGGTCAGAGTTTCGGAAGACTTTCATTCAGTCCGGTGGAGAGAGATTGGTCGTCTTACCCTGGTTGAGCAAGCGCTCGAGCTTGAACCGGGGCACGAGGTCCTCGGGGGTCGACATTCTGGCTGGTGGGGATGAGGCTAGCCGTGGAAGGGTGGGTATCTCGATTAGGTATCTCGAGGCTGTCATCAAACATGCAAATTCTAGCCTTGGGCTGGAGAAATGGAACGGGAAGGGGATGGAGCTACCCCGCGGTGAACCCTTGGCACATGCTCCCACACTACTCGGGTGCGAGATACTGGAGCAGCCCCGCTGCCAGACCCCCGTTGAATGCGGGCATCTAGGTACAGTACAAAGGTACATAGCTGCCTGTAGCTCGCATAGCTCCTGGTCCGCCCGCAGGACCGCGTCTCGTCGTCGTGCCTTGCGCGACAGGCAACGCAACGAACAACGACTCGTCTCGAACAAGCGTTCGACTCTGAGGTGGTACAAGCACGCTGCTCCCGACTATGACACAAAAACCTGGGAGCTGCTGGTCAGGGCTAGGACTGCCGCCCTCTCAAGGCTGCCCACCTGGCTTTCTCGCCAGCTCGTTTGTATGCTCTCTCTCTTGCGATCCTGCTTCCCTCCGTCTCTACTCCCTCCCACCTTATCTCTTTCCCTTTCTCTCTACGTCTCCCGATTTCTCTCTTGTTCTCTCGCCTCTTGCGTTGCCTCGCTCCTGCGCAGGGCTCAGTTCTTCCCGATGTCGCATACGAGCAACCCGCTTCCTCCAGGCTCGGCTCGAGCCCCCATGAGTTATCGCATGGTTTCTTGGGACTCTGTGGACCAACAGGACTCGTCGCCTCTCTTCAGCCGTATTCCTGCCGAAATTCGTACTCTGATCTTCAAATTCACACTCGCTGAGTTTACTTTACCGGCACTGGACCGCCCCATCAGACACGACTTCTTTGCCCGTGATGACCATGAGAAGCTCGACGATGAGCCAGATATGGAAGGTGGTCTAGTTGGCCACGCAGGTGACCGGGAATCACACGAAAGTGGCGTCCAAACGCTCAATAACGAGGATGGTCCAGCGCCAGCGGTCCAGGGACTTCCAGCTTCCGCCCTTGTCCGTCTCCAAGAGTTACTCTCCAGCTGGGACTGGTTCCGGCCTGGCTACACAGGGCAGCGGAAAATTCATACAGACTTGCTCAGGACTTGTCGACGCGTCTACCTGGAGACCTACTATCTTCCATCGCAAGGGAGCAAGATTTTCTACAACGCAAGAGGGCCAAGATGGTGCCCACAGTCCCCAAGTCAATATGTCTCTGTACTTGCCCCGGGAGCCGCTCGACACATTCAAAACCTGCAAATATTCCCGCAGATGTGGTGGCTCGAGCGAGACCTCGTGGATATAGTGACTGGCATATTCAGTGCCAACTCACGTCGTCACGGACCCCATTTGGTGCCGGTAAGCAACCCACGACTGCAGCCGACAATTCACCCACCTTTCCGTGGTCCTCTACCTGTTGCTCCGCACATACGGCCTCTTCAACTTCCTCCTGTCAGCGCCTATCCTCCAGGCTTTGTAGGGTCGTCGCTTTGGACGGAGTTCCCACCAATACGGGATCCTCCAGAAGCCGAACGAATCCGCCCCTGGCGCCTAACAGAGCACATCACCAGTCTCCGCATATATCTGCGCCGCACAGATTGGTGGAACTGGGAGGGAAACGCGCCACTGGTCATCAGCCCCTTCAACTCAAGTCCGGATCGGCCCACGCATCAACAGATGCAGCAAAGCATGCGTGCTTTACAGAATGCCGACCGAATGCTGGCGCCGCACCTGCGGTCCTCGTCGCCGAGCACAATCCCACATTGGAGCTGCTGGGGTCTCCTCTTCCTGCGGATGCCCAAGCTCAAGACCCTGACTATCGAATTCGAGACGTCGGAGGACAAGAAGAGCGAGATGGATACCATCGTGAGCTGGGCCCACCAGCACTGGCGATTTCCCGTGCTACGGCGGTTATCTGGTGACGATCGCGACCCGTACACATTTGATCACCTCCAAAGATGTCACAATCAGCGCCCGGTCGACCTCTCGCCATGGTCACAGGACCTGGACGTCTTGTCTGCGGCGGACGAGCCGGTGCAGAAAACCAGCTGGCGCGGCCTGCCCCATCACTTTGCCGGGCAGTGCCCTACCTGCAGCACCCGATGGAACAATCAAAGTGGGACGGCTGACTGTGCGGAGTGCACAAAAATGCATAAGCTGAAGGGTCTCAAGAAGGGCCCGCAGCTGCTCGTGTGGACAGTGAATTGGAAGCGGAAGGTGCCTCCTAGGGACCCAGAGCCGGAAACGAATGCCGCCGGTGAAAGTAGCCGGGAGCCAGGCGGACAGGCTCCGCCGTGGAGGGCGCCTGATGGACGACAGGACGGCGCGGGGCCCAGCAGTCCGGCGGGCACGGAGAGCCATGTGTTGGAAATGCTCCCCGAGGACGCGCAGTACCGTACCCGTCGCCGAAGGGAGCTGGACGAGCTAATGAGTAGGGAGGTGACATTCTAGCCGGTGCTTTGCACCCTTGGTTTCTCAAAGACTCTTTACCTGCGATACCCTTTACTTTTCTGAATGCCATAATGCGTGGAGGAGGCCCTACCCATGGAAAAAGGGGAAAACGCCTCTACCCCGGCTTGAGGGGAGAGCTCGGCACTGAAGTTAAAACAAAACGACAAAGAACAAGGCGAATACCATTTGGGTTGAACAATCCGCTACGAAGTATTGTGTCTAGTTATGTCCTTACTTGACCAATAGCATCTACCGGTAGGGTCAATGCCGGCGTCATCACATGCGAATATTCTGGCACGCGCCTACCGTCTCTGGTAGAAAAGCAGGCGAGGCGGTGCTCAGGGTATCTGCGTTATTTTCATAGGGACCATTTTTTGTCTGATTGCGACTTTTGGGCTTCTCATTCATGAAAATAGTGCTGTTATATCCCCACAATGCCCCCTTGCCATGCCGACCATTTCAGGCCATATGCAGTCATTCAAATGTTCTCCGGCGCCTTGGCAGTATCCAAAAAGTGACGTCCTCGCTATGTGCAACAATGTGTGCTTGAGTGATCAGAACTTTTCCCATATGAGCTGTTCCAGCTCACTAGCAGTCCCTATGTTCGACCTCCCCGTGGTCGCGCGACAGTTCGCTCATCATAAATTGAGACCAACCACTCAACCCATCCGATCAAACTCCAGCAGTCTGCAAAAACTCTCTGTGGGGGTTTTGAGCCAATGGGATTTCATACTCCCTATTGGTTCGCCCACCTGATTGTACGAGGATTACCTCCACCTCAGTCCAAAGTAGGGGTCTCTCGTGTGTTCATTATTCTCTGATAGGCCGACAGCGATTTCCAGCCAGCCTCACGCTCCTGGAGACACGGTTTTGAGCGCGCCCATCGCTCTTGTTGACCGATACTGTAATTTTGGTGGCTCCCTCTCGCCTTCATCACTCCCATCATCAACTTCCAACATCCCGCCAGATCCTCCAAATGGGCTCGGTTCTGGATCCGGTGCGAGTCTGTTGCCATCGAAGCCTCCGCTAATAACCCTTCCAGCCTCGCCACTGCCTCTCCCAGCAGTCGGATTTGCAGATGCAAGGCTGGCGCCCCGTCTCATACTCTGCGGGCGGTAGCTCCTGGCTCGAATCGGCGCCTCGCTGAGCTTGGCCTTGAGGGAGTCGTCACGATCCAGGATGCGCTGTATTTCGTTCTCCGCCGATGTCTTGGTCCCACCGAGCCGATCCTTGATATTGACGACCTCGTCGCTGCAGTCGCCATCCCTCAGGAACTGGTGCGCCGCGTGCTCGCACATGGATTGGACGGACTCGAGGCTCTTATCCAGGTCATCGAAGACATCGGGCTGCTGAGGGTCCCCGAGGCCCAGTCCAAAAGAGGAGAATGAGGAATAACCACCACCGAGCTTGGGTCGCGCGGCAGGTACAGAGCTGGGCTTGAGGGGTTGCGATGGAAGCTTATGGCCATTGCCATTGCCATAACCATTTGTGGCCATCGATGCGCGCGCGTGGGGCGACCGACTAGGACTGATGGTGGGCGATGACCCGTTCTTCATGTTCTGATCTGGTGTGCTTTGAGTAGCATCTGCCTGAGCCTCCACCTTTCCGCCGAGCAGGTCCACTCTCATCCCGCCGGTTATTGCAGGTGACATGTCCTTGGGACTCGCCAGCTGTGGCGGATCGAGATCCATACTCGTACTCCCATTGCAGGAAGGCTCTTCTTCTGATGCCGACGAGCCGTCGTCCGGCACCTCTAGCTCCGCCATCTTCTTGATTTGGGCGACCTTGGCGGCCATCTTGGCCTTGCGCATCAGGTTACGGCTCGCACTCACGAACTTGACCAGCTCCTCGAAGAAGGATTGCACGTAGCTATCATAGTACACCAAGACGAGATTGCGGTTGCGATACTTGCTGGGCGTGGCACCCTCAGCCGAAAGCATCGACTCAGCGGCGGCAGCGCGTTTCTTGCTCAGTTGCGTCCTCCGAAGCGTCGCCCGCGCTTGAGCCGTGGCAAGTGCGATGACCTGGTTTGTCTGTCCTTCGACAGCAGTATGGCTCAAAGGTGGTTTCCCATTGCTCGAGTCCTGGTCTTTGTGCGGCCTGTCAACGCCGCCCCTGGATGCCACGGACGCTCGCCGTGCCTCGTGCGCGGCATTCTTGTTCTCCACTACCCTGACCAAGGCCGGCGAGTCGGGATGTGCCTCCCCGTCATCGTTGGGCTTGAGCGACTGGGTGGAGCCGCGGTTCCGCACGGATTTGGTTGACTGTGGGCGGCCATTGGGGTCCAGGCAGCCTGAGGAGTGCTGCTCTGCGACCTCGGCCAGGTCGATCTGCCTCTGTTCTATCTGGCTGCTAAGCTCGTCGAGCCGCTTGGCCCAGTCAGGGCAGTGCTCCTTGAGGTTGGTCAGGGCCTCGATGGCGAGCTGTATATCCTCAGGGACGGCCGAGGCATGGGGACTCCGCCATGAAGACGGGCCCGGCGCAAAGACAGTTGAGGCTGGAATGCTGGGCGGCGAGTTGCGGCCGCTAGGTTTCCAAGACCTAACCAGCCGCCGACGGAGGAGTAGAGCTGTTCAGAGCGCTCGGGTGCGACGTAGGAGAGCGAAGACTGGCTGACGGGGGAGCAGGACTGGCCCAGACTCGATCGAAGGTGGGACGGGGGCCGGTCCACGATATTATGTGATGCCGATCGAGATGGCGTTCAAGGGCGTAGTCCACCACCATGTACCGCAGATCGGAGAGGCGACCGGCGTTGAGCAGCTCAGGGTCATACGGCGTCCTTGGAGCCAGGTCAGTCAAGTGATGCTGAGAGCTTGTGCCGACGGGTGGTTGGGCTGGGCTGGGTTGGGCAACAAGCAGCCAGCCAACATCGACTATAGGGTCGACGTCAAGCGAGGAGCTCAGCCGGCGGGGAATCTGTGCAGAGTAGCAAGGCGGAGCGGATCTGTCATTGAGTTTCCAGCGAATGGCCCACGTCCGCGGGCGGAACGGGGAGGTTCAATTGAAGTGGAAGGCGTTAGGACGGGTGCTGCATGTATGTATGTATGTATGTATGTATCGAGACGAATGGGCCCTGAGTCTCGAGTCGAGTCGAATCAAGTCGATCCAGTTCAGTTCAATTCAATTCATCAAAGAGCTACCTCGCAGTAGGGCGGCATGGATGGATGGTCGTGTGTCTGTGTGTAGTCTATGAGCCAGGAAGAGAAGGGCAATGGGGTGCAAGGGTTGGGCAGGCCAGGTAGTTCCTGGTTGACATTCCATCCAAGGCGTCAAGGTCAGGGAGCCAACGGAAGCTTGAACGCGAGTTGGATGGAGGGGAGTGGTGTGAGTGGAGAGAAGCAGGTGGGCAGTTGGCAGGCCGGGGGTCTTTGATGAGGGAGGATGGCTGGATGGATCCATGGGTTGGGACACATTGGAGGGAGGGGTCGGAGCCAACTGGGAGCTCTGTCCCAGAGAGCGTGTCCTGGCAGCCGTCATCAACCTCCAGGCAGCAGTATTCCGCCCCCACCAACTTGACTTGACTTGCCCGTCACGTGCCCGTGTGCAGCCCTGCCATGGAATAGATTGATTGCAAATCATGTCGTCAGCGTGTTTTGTTTGTTTCCGAGTCGCAAGCCTCGTCGCGTGGATTGGCCCTGAATGGCGCTGCTGGCCATGGTGCTGGTGTCATTGAGAGCTCGTCGTCGTTTGTCTGTACGTGCATGTGCGTTGCGGTACAGGGCTGACAGACACGACGTTGGATTGAGATGGATCCAGCTTGGACCACCGTATCTCCCAGTGACAGTGCAGTAGGCTAAGCTCTCAACACTCATTCAACACCTAGCCACAAACACCAGTCGGTGTTGGTGTTCCAGAGCCGAGCAAATACTCCCGTACTCGGTAGACTATTATTATATTACACTAGAAGCCGATAGTTCCCAGCCCCTGCGATGAAATCGGATCGATGGTGGCTGGCCCCGGTCCACCACCAAAGCCAGCTGCGCTTTGCTGGACGATGTACCGCAGTATCCAGACTTCTAGGTATCTGATAGGCACGCATGGGGGAGGTAGACTACTTTTATACATACATGCATACGCACAAAAGTCTGAGCTCGGAGCCGCCGGGGCCCCAAGCTCGCGATTCGTTGCACATTGAGCTGCACTGCATGCGCAGGCGGGATTGTCCAAGGAAGCCAGTCCCCGCCTTTGGACGCGCGGAATTTGACTTGCATGCATGCCATCGTGCTGTAGCATCGAATTGACGGGCCGTTGACCTCCTGTGCCGCCAGCGCCTTGCCCAGTGGTCTCGCTCGGCATGCGGCAGTTGATCCAGCCCCCATCCCACCACCAAATAAGCAGGTCCGACGGCCGTTCGTAATGGCTTGACAATTGCTATATTAGACTATGGCTGCGAGATCCGGATGGATATGGACAGCCCCAGCCCCGCCGAGAGAGAAGGAGGGGGGTGTTCGAGCTTTGAGGCTTGAAGGGAGAAAAAAAGAGAAAATGTGACGCTGTGAGGACACCTCCCGGGTGTCGCTGTTGCGACCTGGTGGCGCATCGAGTCCAACCTTCCACATCTGCTTTGGGGATGTTTCGTCGAGCTGGTGGGACTCGGACCAAAGTTTAAAAATCACTTTTTTTTTCTTTTTTGCATTTCAATGCTGCCACAGGCCGCATTGAACCGTGAACATGAGGCCCGCGCTTTTCGATTCGCCGCCTTACGAGACGGAGACGGAGAGGAGACGCGGTGGTTGTGTCCGTCACTGCGCAGCGCCCCCCTCCCCCGGTCTTGCTGTATCTCGGTTGCTAGTAATCGCTGCCCATGTCTGTTCGCCGCAAACTTTCCTGGTTTCATCACGCACAACCCTCGCATTTCCAAGACTCAACAGGAAGCCTGACCCGGGCCGGGGTGACGCCTGTTCGCGCACGACTGCGAATCGTCCTGTCCCTCGAACGATGGCTGCTGCCAGCTTCTTTTTTTGTTCTGGGCCCCGACGCCGACGTCGAGCCTAATCAATTAATACCGTCGTCGAACCTGATCCGCGCCAAGGACAGTAGACTACTGTGCTGTATTTCATTTTCCCCGTCCCCACTAAAGTGACAGGCATGACACGTGGGATGAGGTGTGGGGGCCGGGGCCAGAGTGGATCGTGGAACTGTTCCACCCGTTCCACCTGTTCGCCGTGAGAAGGGACTGGAGATTGCTTGCTTGGCCGGTGAGGCACGACCTTCCTGTCCGGTCCCAGAAGGACATCCTCGCGACGTCACTGGCAACACCCAGGAGTCGGACAACCGCTACTGTGCAACATCTGACAGAACTGCACATGCATAATGCTTCGAGTCGCCTCCTCGCCCAGGAGCAACTCTTTGGTCCCGATTCGGGACGGGCAGCCCAAATGGGGGTGGACGGTGAATCACAGCTCCGGCCGGGACGACTTCTCTCTGGTTGATGAGACCCTTGAAGTGCCTATCTTGCTGGGGTGCCGGGATGCTGTGACGGGGTATGTCACATGCAATGCTCGAGTATCCATACTCTTACGCACGAAGCAACTCGTCCCAAGGTCGCGTACCCACTTACAAGGCTTCTTATTCGTAATTTTAAAGAAGAAATGAAAAGCGCCTCCGTCCTACATGTCAAGCTCAGATCCGAACTGCTTCAAGACCCCCTTCTCGGCCGTGCCCCAGTCCACGCCCTTTAGCTTTCCGGCCTTGTCGGCCTCGTGGCCAGACAGCACGTTCCAGAGCTCGTCGACGACCGACGTCCGGACGCGCGGCCAGGGGTGCAGCATCAACGCCCCCAGCCTCTTCCTCGCCTCCGCCACGGCTTCTCGTCTCTTCTGCCCCAGGGTGTCGGTCGCCATCGGTACTAGCCCGCCGGGATCATTGCCAATGTTCGCGATGCCCCCATACACCTTGACGCAGGCGATGAGCTTCCGCACGTTGCCGGTCTTGTAGCTTGCCTTCTGGGACTGGAGGCAGAGGCTCTTGAAGTCAACCGTCTTGGTCCTCTGGTACAGGCCCACGGAAAGGAGAAACGCAATGATCTCCAGCGTCGGCACTATAACCCTGTCCTGGCCCTGGCGGGCCTTCATGTTCCGATAGAGTGAAGCACACACGCGGTCGAGATTCTCCTGGCTCCCACCGCAGTATTCGCAGAGCGCGGAGCGGCTGGCTATCACGAGGTCCTCATTGCCTGTGTCTGCCGAGGTCACGTACCCAGCCAGGAGCTGGTCCATCCACTCATCAGGTCCCGGACCGTTGTCGACGCGGAATGCTTCATGTAGCCAATGTTCGTGGGTTGTGAGGTCAAGAAGGAAGTAGAAGTAGTCCTGGGACGAGCAGCTACGCTTCCTCAATTCCGTTGATGAGCTGCGCCACAGTCAATCTCCTTTCACGTCCTAATATAAGACTGGGGGTGCGACGTACTCTGAACAGAGGGCCAGAGCCAGCGTTGACTGGGCCTCTGGTCTCACCTTGTCAAGCTTCTCAGAACCCAATCGCACGATGGGCAACAAAAGGCTAGAAGCTGCCGAGTGACAGGCCTTTTCCGCTGGCCTTGTCTCTGGGTCCGCCATCAACGCCCACAAATGCTTGGTTGCCTGTATTGCGTGCAAACGAGCATGAGATCCCACGTCACCTCTCGCATCCGTCGTATAGTCCTCGAGTGCCTCTGATATTATCCGAAGCAATGTTTGTACATTATACCTCAGCGCGTCACCTTCAACAAGGCTCTCAAGTATCCACACCCGCACATCGACAGTTGTGTCCTTTGCCCAGCATTGGAGTAGAGTTCTAGGAATTGTGTCCGAGGTTGTGTTCCTCGCCTCTTCATGTGACAACGACACAACTGCATGTGATCTTGTCAGGGCGAACAAGTGTCCTCTGATATTCCCAGCTCGCGGTCCGTTCAGCACAAGATTGGCCCAACTTTCGATGAGTCCATCGCGTTGGACAGGCTTCAAAAAGAGCAGTAACACGACTGCAGCCTCAGAGGCCGCACGGACCACTACCTCTTCTGTCCTAACAAGACAATCATTCAAAATTCTGGGCACAATGTCGTTGACCCAAGCAGGTGGGGAGTCCTTCGAATTAGAACATTCCGCCAGCCGCGATACAGCAGTGCTTGTGGCACTTGTTCTTAACGATGGCAAGAGGCAAGATCCAGACACCAGATCTGCCGGAGTGATGGCATCAAGGCCGAGATACGATGCTTGGAAAACCGGGAACGAGGAGGTGAATAGTCGGGATGCTGACTCTGCGATGAGGTCTGGGCGTCGGAAGGTCGTAGCACCAATGAAGTTGAAGCTGGACTCCAGTTCAGACAGCATCCTCTCGATTAACGGTGCTAATTGTTGCTGATGACCTTGGGCCCTGCTGTATGCAACCATCTCTGGCAGTCGATCCATGACTGAGGCCAAGGCTAGCAGGAGGCCGTGTCGTTCCTCAACTTGGCGCGGTTGTAGTGTTTGGATGGACAATGCTATATTGTCAAAAAATGTGGATATGACTTCCGAGCTGCTCGAAGTCATCCGTGCCAGCTCGGCTGTGATCATACCATATGACACTCCTGCATATCTCCGAACACGATCGTTCGCGTCACCTAGACCTCGCCAGCCGAGGACAGCCTCGAGGATTGCCACTCCATACTGTGAATGTAGCTTCGTGGCGCCCAGGGCAACATCTTGCATCGCTCTCGATCTTAATGCCACAGCATGGTAGTCAACTGTCTGTACAATCGCGATGCCCTGTTCCACAGTATCAGGATGCCTACCAATGAGCTCCTGTAATGCAGCCGAGGAGCCACGCCTGATATTTCCCGCAGGGTCCAGGCAAGCCGTGACTACCAAATGAGTGGCGAGCATCTGCAAAATAGAGCCACTGTCACTTTCACGGTTGTCTCCTTCGAAGAGCTCTTGATTGACTGCAAGAAGTTCCTCCGTGGAGTAACGTCTTGCGAGAGCCCAGACGCCGAAACAAGCTGCATCGCGAACATTAGCGCCGACAGAGACTCCCGATGCGCTCCGCTGCTCGAACGAGAGACCAAGCAGCAGGGCTTGCACGATCTTCCCAAGGCTCTCCGGGGGTGGCGAACGCCGATACAAGAGATAAGACAGGGTGAGCATGAGGCCATGCCACTCAAGAGGATCCACTGAAGTCAAGTCTTTCTTCGGTGGCTGCCAACTCGGTGCGTTCGAACCTGATGCCTGATCGGCCACCCGAACATGTTCCTCTAGCGCTTGCAGAACAACCGCCGCGACTTGTGAGGCCATTTCATTGGGCAAATTGAGGGTGATGGCTCCCAAGGCTTTGCTCGCTGCGAATCTGACAGGCGTGTCTTTATCGGACAAGCTCCTCAGAAGGTACCGCACAGTGGTTTCGACAAGCTGGATTCCTGAGAGGTCTCGGCTCTCTCTTGTCAACTTCGACACAGAAATCGAGCGCATGACCTTGATGACCGTCTTCTTTGCCACCGCAGACGAGTTGATAATGTTAGAAGTACTATCATCGCTCCACATCGTAGCATTGACGGTGTAGAAGACTTTTGATGAGTACTTCTCCACCTCAGATGCGTCGGCAGATGACAGGACTCCTGCCAGAAAAGCAAGCACTCCGATGAAGGTGTAAGGATTCTGGTTGGTTGCTTGTTTCAAACCATCATTGCTCGCAGAATCATTGTCCTCTAGGCTCGGATGCAACGAGAAGAGAGCCCAGTCGATGAGAGCGTGTAGGATACCGAGCTCCTGCATGTCCCGGCGCATGGCCATCCTCACAAGGAGCGTTTTTGCGGCATCCCTTTCTTTGCCTGGTGAGGCAATGTACTTAGCTGCTAATGGAAGGATGCGCACAGTGATGCTGGGAGGATTGAATGGCCAGAGGAAACCCGGGACGCCTGCCAAGTCGACATCATGCATGTAGACCGAGGATATTGTTGCTAGGTCGAATGGTGCAAGCATGAGATGAGACAGCCAAAGCAGTACGATGTATCGTTCCTCCCAGGTCCATTGAAGCGCATCGCTATTGGAGCCCAGGTTCCTCTCTGACTCCTCGATGGCGGACAGGAGGAGCTCAAGATACCGGGTCTCAACATTAAGGAAGTTCACGATGACCTTCTCACCGCGGATCTTGCAGAAGGTGTAGATCAGCTTGCAAATTGCCGTCGGAAACGGCATCAGCAATGAGGATGTACTGGAAGCTCCTTTGATGTGTTTTCGCCGGGTCTGCTGGTATTCCAGGAAGGCCTCGGCGAGCACAGGAAGCCACTTGGGCAGATGTGGGTCAAGGAGCTGAGGCAATTCTTGGAATGGGTCGAGCAGCTATCTCAAGCCGTCAACACAAAAATAGACCAAAGGGTGGCATTGTTTACATACATTTGACACAAGATGCGACACCTCACGTGCACGCACGCGATAGCGGACACGGCCAGATCCATCTGCCTTCCGCAAGAAGGGCCTGAGGCGAGCGTCAAATTCGGCAATGAGGTCTTTTGAGACGGTCTGCAGCTTGATGTCCAAGTCTTCCTCGGGGGCGTCTTCCATTTTGATATGCTTGACCGCGGCGGCAAAGTCCCTGGGCCCAACAATCCTGTTTACGGGAGTGGTTCAGTTGGTGAAGGTGGGTGAGACGGCACGCTAGTCCGAGCGTGACTTCCCACGATGTGAACTGCTGTCTGCTAGGATTTTGCGATGCTCTGATCGCTGCCGAAGTTTGTGGCTAGACGGTAACAACTGGCAACAAACACTTCAGGCTGCTGGTGATCCTGGCTGTCAAAAGGGCCGTATCAGGGCATGAATGTGCACGTAAATCTCCAGGCCTGGCACCTTGCTGTTCGGGTCTCTGCTCAAACCCTTCCCTTCAGGGTCTGTACCCCACCGCGGCCGCTTTCCAGGGAAAGTGTTGGGGGGGGGGGGTCAACGCAAGTGTGAGCATTTCGATTCTGTCTTACAATAATATTGTATAAGCTAGATTTATATATTGGTTTCGAAACAACTTTCTGGTATTTACTAGATAACCTTCGAATTTGGTAACCCCCAAGCCTGGAACGCAGCACTGTGACTGCCCAACTCCCTCGAAATCGCCATGCCTTGGACACAAAAATATACAGAATTTCGAACCTGACCGATACGCCAGAAGTTGTGGATCATGTTTCCTACGAAAAAGCTGTTCATACGCCCTAGAACACGGCCACCGCAGCAACGAGCGTGTCCAATGCCGAGCTTTGCGTGCTCGCATCAGGGAACCCGCCTGCCGAAGGAGGACCAGACCACACGAGGCCCAAGAAGTCACTGCTGTTACGGTCGTTATTCCAAATGGAATCCGCGTTATCCAGGATAAAGCTGCGGAAACTGTCTTGCGGGGCCTCGAGCTGTAAGTAGTACAGGTTCCTCATGAATATACCTGACAGTGTGTCTCAGTCAGCCTTGGTCACCCACCCAATGTTTTTTGTATGCGGAGCGGATTCACTCACCTTTGAACTGAGAGCCGTCGGCCCCGCAATCATTGGGCTCACAACTTTCATGAAGGATGCCGTCCTCCGAAAGAGCCTCTATCGCAGCCTCCGCGATCGAAGTAGCCTCAGACAGGTACTCAGAGTCCCCAGTGGCTCTGGAGAGTTCGACCAGCCCACCGAGGATGACTCCCTGGTTGTAGGACCATACCGTGTCCCCATTATTGGAACAAGACCCATCAGAGTTTATGTCGAGTCCATCATTGATCAAGTTATTGTCGTTTATCATACCACTGCCCTTGAACCAGTTCCATTCGTCCTTGGCGATGCTCAAGTACGAATCCGATCCGGCTGCACGGTTTGCAAGAGAAGCAGCAACGGATAGGTATAGCTCATTGGCGACTACAACTCAAGAAGTCAGCCATTGAGCACCTGAAAAATCCAAGTCTGAAGAATCGGTGCACCAGGACGCTCTCTTCCAATAGCCTCTGTCTCTAACGAGACAAAGCTTGCTAGAGCCCGGCATAGGTATTTAAAGAGGGTTGTAGGCATGGAAGAGGTTTAGAATCGAATCGGTTTCAGAAAGTTGCTTACTTGCGTTCTTGTACTTCCTGTCCTTACTCCACCATATGCCTCCCCCACAAGTACCGTTGACACCGCCTTGCATATCCGCAAAGATACTTTCCGCCATATTAAGATACTCCGTATTGCCAGTGACGTCGTATGCTCGGATCCAGGCGAGAGCCCACCATCCTTCGTCATCATAGTAATTATTGATGAAGCCACTAAAGCCCCTGGCAGCGAGGCCGGAGTCGCCCAGTACTGGGGAAGCAGTGTATCTTGATTCGAACAAACGCCTACTCGAGCCTTTCACAAGCGTCTTGGTTGCCGTCTGAGTGGTCTGTTGGGCTTGAGTGAAAGTATTGGAGAGCACATTGTCCAAGTCTAAGTCATTTGCCCCGTCAACGGAAAGGGAGAGGAAGTCTCCCAGAACAGTAAGGCAATTTGCATTGTTCCACCAGCCTGTCGTTTCCCAGAGCCCATCTGGCTCATCGTAAAAGGTCTGTAACGTCTTGATGGCTGTCACGGAGTGGTCGGTATAAGTTGCCTTGTCTGTGGCCGCCAATGAGAATCCAAGCAGGCTCGCCTTGGCTAGCCAGTAGTAGCGGGTCCGGGGAGCTGCCATTTCTGCTAAAAGAGATGACACTTGCTCTGGAAGACTGCCTAGGTCGACCAATACGGCGGCAAATCGATGGATATGGTCGGAACAATTCCCAAACAGCGAGGTATAACACACGGATATGAGTGTGGGGAGGACAAGGGCGCTGCAAAGCAAACCAGAACGCAGGCCCGAGGGAATGCTTCGTCCAGAGCGCTTGCTTCGACTTTTGAACGAAGCGACAGCAATCTGACAACGCATCTCGGCACCATCCTGTGGGATCAGCTGAGCCAGCCTGCCCTTGTGGGCCATGATCACAGCCTCGCAAATAATCCGGGGCCGTCTTATGTCACTCCGGCTCACCAGCCTAGTTTGCATGGGCACGCGACGTTAGAGGTCGAATGGACCGAGAGAGATAATTGGAAGGATCCAAATCGCAGCCAGGCTCTCTTGGTCCTACGTCCGTAGCGTGCAGGGCTGCCCGGGTTGGCTTGGTGGAGAGCGTCGCATATAGCTTCTCGAAGGATGACGTCCCCGCCGCAGCTGATAGCACCACAAGCGGACTGCCGCTGGCGGAGAATGCTCTCGAGCCAAGAGATGAGCGAATGACAGGTTCGTCGGATGTTTCAGGCTTATGTCGTAAGGTTGGCTTTCGCGTAACCTTGTTTCCCCCTTCGGGACCGGCGACAGGCGCATCCAGAGTTGCCTCTGAATGGCCAAAAGTCAATATTCAGACGATGGTCGCTCAGACTCGCCATCATCGAATGGCACCTCCTCGGTGGATTCTGCGTGTTGGCGTAGATGGCACTGAAGTGTTGCTTCTGCTGGAGGGGTCGATTGCATGCGCGCCACCTTGTTCCTTCGTGGATGATTCCCCTGTCAGCAAAGCGGCCGCTGTGCGATCTCGCTGCCTCGTTGTTGCCTGCTGCGGTGGGGAAACAGGCAAGCTCTCGGCCGCGATCCTTCCATCATGCACAGCCATCCACGATCAACGCTAAGTATCCTGCTGCTGTGCGATCTTTCGGTCAAGCTGCAACTTTCCCAAAAGGCGCACACGACAACCGGCTGCGATTTGTGGTCTGGAGGGATTTGCAGACTTGGGACGGTGCTCCGGTGTGCATGACGTGACATGCGGAATGTCGTGGCCAATTGAACAGGGAGGTTGCTGGTTCCGGGATCGACGTCGACCATGTTCCAAGAGAGACATTTGCTGTCCCGAATTGGGGTCACCGACAACTACCTAGGGCGTCGACATGCAGCAACACTGCGTGCGCTGTGCATGCGCTGTGCGTCACTGACGACACGAGGTTTGCTCAAGCCGTGCATGGCCTCTGCATTTGCTGCGCAGGGTTGTCGGGATACCTAGGTAGGACGTCAACACAAGCAGTCGTCACGAGGAAGGACACTGATGCACGCCATCATCAGTCTGGCGCCTCGGTTCGGATGACAGGCGCTGCCACTGCAGTCCTGCGCGTCCAGGGAATGCAACCAGAGACTGACTCGCCCTCTCGGCCGTGGCATGGTGCGCGATGAAACTGAATTCTCCGATGTCAGTGCTTTAGTTGCCAGCGGGCCGAACCTCTTTTCCAAGTGCCGGACTGCCTGACTCGGTGGTTAAGATCGATGGATCGGCCTTGTCTCAGATCGCAGTCTCCCTCCATTGGCAACGCTCCTAACAGACTAACGGCCTAGCAGCAATGGCAACCTCAGCAAGCACCTCATCTTGCACGAGCTGTCGTCCCACCCATGAGACCTCGTGGCTGCTCTTGGCGAGCATCTGATAGGCATCGTCAATGGGGACTATGGCCAAGAGTGACGATGTGGTGATGGTCGGTCCCACGATCCTGCCTCAGAGCCTGCATTGGCTTCTTCAACATGTCCACTGCTGGAAGGCCCGCTTGACCAAGTTGCCAATTGCATCCACCAACCACTGACCCTTGCAGGTGTCGGGCCGCCTCTTCCTCTTCACGCCCGTCAGTCACGGCCTTTCCAAAACAGCACATCCATCTCCTTTCAACGGACGCGCAGTAGCGCAAGTTCTTCTCGATTAACTCGGAATGTTCCGCGAGCAAGAGGATTTGGCCAACGCCTCAGGACACAAAGAGCTTCTGATCGGCCGGGTACTGCACCTGGTGATGATCGAGGCACATGGTGCCGCCTTAGCCAAGACTGCATCTCTCAGGGCGTGGTGGACGGACGGCCTGACATCGGCGGGTGGATCAGAGGAATGGATCGCCTCCTAGGCGCTTGCTATGTCGAGTCCAGGTCTCTCTCGCATTCTAACTCGTCCATGTACAGTGAACTAACTCATCGACATCAGCTCGCTGGCAACGTGGTCCGCAGAGAAGATGTGCTCAACACAGGCTAGAAAGCACAGAACTGCCAGCTCAAGTCCGTGTCAGATCTGTAGGACGAAACAGTCTCATCTTGCGATCAAGCATTCATCGAAGCAGTCTGCACGGTGAATTACCTGGGGATCCGGCCATCACAGCGAACTGGTCGGGCTTTTTCTTTTTCGGTTCCATGTCTTCTCCTAATTGGTTCACTTCGCCTTGTTGTCTCTTCCCTTCAGCAATTTCCCCTCACGGCTCCTTCTGGGCCAGGGTAGCGTTGTGAGACGCATGGTGAAAGCGGTGAGACACTCGACTGACTGGACTTTTTGACAGTGCTGGCGTGGGCAACAAATTGAAGGGTCAAATCTCAGACGGAGAGGCATCTATTCGAAGATGATCAGCAAGGCTTATCTGAAGATGCCGGGCTTGGTAGGACGCCAGACCGTGGTGTGGGCTGAACCGCACATCCACCTACCCTTGCTGTTTTGTTCGAAGTACTCAGTCTGTTTTCAGGCATCTCCCTTCATCGCTCAAGCGAGTCTATTATCAAATTTTGAGTCTGATTCACTGATTCCCATGCACTTATCGCGGCCTAAAAAGGAAATGCCGAGATGGCTCGCAGGGAGTGGACGAGATCGACGAGGATATATGTGAGGGCAAGAACAGCAAGGTACCAGAGGTCGCAGCTTGCTGCTCATGATTTGTCCAAGAGACCGGCATTCGCTTGGCGTGAAAGATCGCCTACAGCTATTCTTGTCCTCGATCGTGACGGCGCATGCCTGTTGGATTATTGGCCTACCTCTCAAGCACACAACCGCTCTTGGGTTGTGCCATCCAACTCATAATGGTTCGATTGTGAGACAGCTGAGAAGCGCTACACCTGCCACTGGAGAAACTGGAGAAAAGCCACCCTACCTAATCTGGGGCAAGCCTATTTGTTTTACAAGGTCATTTTCACGCCACGCACATATGTCTCCAGTCACATGTCCTTGGCCTACTAGCCGGACGCCAAACCACTTACAGCCTGGCTAGCTGTCCAAGACCAGTGCACAGAACCAACCCCCACAGCATGGAGTGTTGAGGGCAGGCAGCATTAGGCCAAGGTATGTAACGATACCAATACACGGGAGTTGAACATTATTAACGCACTCGGTATAATACAGTGAAGTACGCGGGAGCCGCCGGGATGGGCATCAGTAACTTTCCAACCAACACCGTTTCAAGCTTTCGCATTTTACTGCCTATGTACGATGCCTGGGTCCCAGCCGGAAGTGTATACAGCACTTCCGGCTCGCCGTTTTTATTGCTGTAATATGCCGCCTTCGTTAACCCCTCTAAAACACAAAGGCCGATCACGTCGCCGAATAGATGCCCCTTGGGACGAGCCAAGAGGTAACTAGGCAAGCCACCATCTCACATGGCGATGTCACTTTGGCCCAGGATCAAGGTTCCAAGCCTCATGCAGCCTTCCGGTGTGCCTGGCTAAGTTCTTAGTCCCACTCCCGGTCCAAGACGCACCCTCACAGCCCGTTAGAGGCACGGAGTCCGGATGACACTGGCTCAGCATAGGCCCGGTGATTTGATCTTCCTGGGCCCCTAGCACAAGCCTCCCGACCATTCACACGATAGGGCCGGTCCCTGGCCACCGGGACCTCTCCCAAACCTTCCCCGGAGCGCGAAGCCGCACGTCCATTCAAGGTTTCCTGGGGGGACCCTGAATGGCCGTTACCTGTCCCAAACCCCTCACCGCTTATTTTTCATATCTGTGGAAGAAAACCTTCTTACGGTCTGGTCGCGCGGTACTGGCCCCAACGCCTGAGGGGTCTCGGCCGCCGATGTCATGGTTCTCAGCTCCTGCTCCGTCAACCGGGGTCCCGGAGTTTCACTCGCTTGAGGTGACAGCCGCCTGGCGGCCTATCACCTATGGCCTGCCTGACTTGATGTTGCCCTCCATCTGCGGGCTGCTGCACACTCACCGCATGTTGATGACTCCTTTCCATTGCTCGTGCCCGCCCGCGCGCACACCGCTAGCGCGGGATGCTGGGGCTCCTCCCGCGCCCGCCTGGGAGCGTTGGTCAAGGACTGAAAACTGCTGGCAGCCGTACGACATGTACGAAGCCTGGGGCCGTGGGAAGGGGGCGGTGCTAGATCCGGCAGTTGCCCGGCCTGGGGCTTCCCCTCCACCGTGTCAGATCTGCCAAGCATCTCGTTCCTGCGCGGCAGTGACATCGCCCAATCTGGCAGTCTGCAAAATAAGCCGACCGTACCTCAGTACCCCCGGGAAAACATACCTCTCAGTACTTCCATTTATTTATCAACCACAACCATGGACCTTATCTAATATCTTTATATCATTAGAATCAGACGCCGATTCTGAACATTTGAATATAATTAGAATCGAGCACACACTATTTGATTGTTGAGAAATTCGGGTTGCAATGTAAAGGGTTTTGGTGGGATACGGGGTCCCGGTCGGCTTATTTTGCAGACTGCCAGCCAATACGGTCTTTTGTGTCCTCACAACGGGTCCCCTCTGCTGGCCTCTGGAGACGTCACCCTGCCTGGACTGCTGGATTGGGCACCGCCGTTGGGATACCAAAGGCGGCCCAATCACCGTGCGGTCTCATCGCTGCTGCACTTTTATGGCCCTGGCCCCTGGACGGAAGGGATAACACCTCGCCGACGCAAGCATCT